TCTCGTATACCGTAGCTCGGTTTTTTTGCGAATAGGACTCTTTACTATTAGAACGATATCCCGTTCTGTGGCAAGGATTATTAGCACTTAAAAATGACCAAGCAGCAGTTCAAATGCACTTTGTTTCTGGCAATCACAGAGTAGCTCAATCATCATTACCTCAAGTAATGGGTGAAGGTGGTACTCCACCAGTTCGAATTGCCCAGCGAATGAGGCTTGAGCAATCACAATTAGAAGTTGTTGCTCGTAAAATGCAGGTATGTAATGCTCTATTCTACCCTTTGTTTCTCCTTCTTTTCTACCTGAAATAATCTTGTTTCCATAGATAATAATACATGAAAGAAATAATGACTCTTCATAATAGCTTTGAAAGCATAGAAAAGCAAAGTAAAAAGACACTCCTTTACCAGAAAACTATAGAGAGAGAGAAACCATTTTTTCCTCTTGGTTCTCTCGTATGCAATCTTTTGCGCCTTTTATTTTTAGTCTTTCTATTCATTTACCAATTTCATTCAATTTCCTCACTCATATTCCTATTTTTTTCATTCTTATTTCTAATTCTCATTTCTCATTCTTTCTCAGATGCAAGATGAACATGCCATTCTTTTAGCTTTACCCACTGGTCGTGATCACATGGACATTCTTCTCCAATCAAATAACTTACGAAATGGTTTCATAAATTACCTTCAAAGTAAACAAGCAGCAGGCATAGTCAACTCAAATGCTCCAGGATCTCAGCAGGTACAGTATTTGTTCATCTCAAGCTTCTCATATTCTTCCTTTTCTTCATCTTCATCTTTTTTATCCCCTTTTTTCTTGTTCTTCTGCTTCTACTTCTACTTCCTCCTCTTTTGCCTCTTCTTGTTCTTCTTCTTTCACTTCAAATTTTGTTCCATCTTCTTCTTCTTCTATCGTCTCTATTCGTTCTATTTCTGCTTGTTTTTCATCTCACCATTTTTTTCTTCTCTTTTTCTCTTTTAGGCTGCTTATGTTATCCATATATTCCCTTCATGCGACTTTTCAAATGAAAATCTAGCCCGGATTGCACCAGATCTGTTTCATAGCATTGCGGAGATTGCTCATCTTCTTATTATAATTGCTACCGTGTAAAATATTTCTACCATCATAAAAGATGATAAAGATGAATTTATTGATGAGGATACAAAACAAAAAATTCAGTGTACAAATAATAAAAATAACAAATTAATCTCACAATTTTTTGATTTAATTATTTTATTTGTTGATTTCCTTTCTTTATTATATATATAGATAAATAACTGTGTGTGTATATATATTTATAAATATCATTCAAGTTGTAGTGATTAAAGTGAATAAATATTTTTAATTAACAAACAAAAAAACCAAAGTTTTTTGGTTTTGGAAAAGGTTTTTGGAAAAGAGATTTTATATATTTTGTTGGGAAATGGAAGAAACGAAGAAAAAAAAGAGCCAAAAGAAGCAAAAAGATTATGATGAAGGGAAAGAGAAAAGGGAGTGAATAAGTGATCATAAAACTAAAGGGTGTCTTTAGATTTATGATCACTTACTCACTCCTGGTTTCCAGGCCAACAGTCAAGCTTTCTTCATGCCATAAGCAGAGAAAAGAAGCAAATTGAAGCAATTTATACCATTGAGCGCCATCTCTTTGCCTCATCAAGAACCTCCAATAAAATGATTGAAAAATGGTGATAAAGACGTTTGTTTGTAGAGCAGCTTTTAACGCGCCGATTCGATCTTCCCTCCTTTATATTGGCTCCATCTATTGGTGACAAAATCGTCCTCCTTTCTTTTTCCCTTTCGGCGGTTAAAAGCGACACGATAAGAGAACAGAAAATAAATACATAGCTGGTAACGCCGTCTATTGAACAAAACCTAATATCTATAAGTGATCGTTTCGAAGAAAATCAATAGATGCCGTTGTCTAGTGATTTTTTATTCGTTGACAATATTAAACATTGTCTTTAAATTGTATGATTTAAATTAATAGGATATTGAATGTGGGATATTGAAAAACATGTCACCGTAAATATTGATAGTTTTTAGAAGTAAATGAAATACATTTAATGGATTATCAGGTGAATTCCAAGAACAACATTTAAAGCATTCTTTGACTTAATCATACCTAACTTGCCGGCTTTTTGCAATCAAAAATCGCTCCTTTGATGATGAAATGACTCATTGGAATTATAATTCATCTCTTTTGATTATGTTTCTATATTGTGGAGTTTTCACAAATTCTTGACAAGGACTTGACATGTTTTGAATGCTGTTTTTTGTTTTTTTAAGTCAACCGATCGCTAGTTGTATCCTTCGTCTTCCCATCTTTACATACAATATGTAATTTGCTATTTTTCATTACTCTTTTAAAATTATTAATTGAAAATTAATGGCTTCTAATCACCAAGTCTGATCTAATTTGTGTCCTGTGTTGCTAAAAAATAACTAATGAATATACTCATTGGTAAATCTACTGATCAAGTGGCTTCTGATTTGAAGAATTTGAAGTTAAATTTATTTATTTATCAATTGTTCAAATTTGATTTGTTATCACATTTTAAATTTAAACTTTTACATGAAAATTTCATCAGCTAATTGCTTTTGACAAGTTTTTTACGATATTTTTATATTTACAATATTTTGCTTTTCAAGCATTTTTCAGCTTTTTCAAACAAAGCGCCAGTAGCTTTTACCTCATTCTATTGGCTCTGATGGCCGCCAGTTTTGTATGCTGTTCAACATCAGCTGGTGAATGATTATTGTTATATAAAATTGTTTTCTTTCATTATAATTGGATTTGAAATTGTTTACTTTTTTCCCTCATTATGAAGCAGTTAGGTTCTGTGCCTTATCCTGCATCTTGGAAGACTTCTAAGGGCAAAAAAACTACCGATTCCTTGAGAATAAGAATTAAAAGTCGTAAAGTTAAAGACTTGATCCGTGATCGTGAAAAGAAAGCTTATCGTGCCTTGCTGAAAACCTTCTCAACTTGGACTGATGATGATAAAGAGGACGACGAAGTTGATAATGTTAATGTTGATAAATCTCCAGCTTTGCTTGGCGAAACTAGTTGCGTAAGTGAAATCAAGCCATTAGATAGTTCACATTTAGTTGATACTACTGTCAATGTAAGTCAATTTTACTATTTTTGTCTACTTACGGCTCAGTTTTCTAAAAAATTTGAATTGCGTCTTTTCTAATTTCATCTTTTCTCTGATTTTTTAGCTTTCGACTTGCTCGGTAGAGCAACCTCAAGAATCAACTCCAGCCTCAGCCAAGTTTTTCTCATCTTTTAAAGCTGTTTTTGCCCGTGATTTGATAACCAACAAAGCTCAGCCTTCAATTGTTGATGTAGAAGATAAAAAAACTGAGCCTGTCAAAAATGATTCCGAGTTTAAGTTACCCAGTTTACCAAAGAGTTATGAAAATTACAAGCTTGAAAGAGCGGAAAAAAAGAAATTACTCAGTCGTGAATGGATAAACGATATGCGAAGAGCTATTCAGGATAGTCATCTTGAAGCTGAAAAAATTCGCCGTGAGAAGGAAGACTATTTAAGGACGATTGGTAAGAAGAGAGAACTGTTCATAAGGAAATTCAGAAGAGAGACGAGTAAAACTTTGTATCCTGAGACTGAATTTTCTTATCTACCTTACTTCTATCGATTTTTCTCCGACGAGAAAGAAGAAACGGAAGAAGAAGAAGAGTCCGAGGAGGAAGAAGAAGAACCAGAAGAGGAGGAGGAAGAAGAGGAAGATGATGAGGATAAATTTCCTCCCTTATCATCTGATGCATTACAAGTTATTGATGATTGTTTGTCTAAGAGAAAGGAAGAGTTAATCGTAGAAGAAAATGGAGTCGAAGTTCGTGTTAAAGATTTAGAAACTTTAAAAGGTACCTGTTGGCTCAATGATGAAATTATAAACTTTTATTTCCAGTTGATACAAAAAAGGAGTACCAATAATAGGGATAACGGCAGTCTTAAAGTCTATTGTTTCAATACTTTCTTTTATAAACGGTTAACTGAAGGAGGCCATAAAGCGTTGCGACGTTGGACTAAAAAAGTCGATTTATTCTCTTATGATTTAATTCTTATTCCTGTGCATTTGGAAGTTCATTGGACACTAGCAGCTATTTCTATGAGAGACTCAACTATTAAATATTACGATTCTATGGCTGGTAATAATAGAGAATGCTTGCAATTTCTTCTTAAATATTTAGAAGACGAACTAAAAGATAAAAAGCAACAGGTATTAGATGCCTCTAAATGGACATGTACGATTGTTAAAGGTATACCACAGCAAGAAAATGGTTCAGACTGTGGAGTGTTCACTTGTAAATATGCTGAAAGACTTTCATTGGATAAACCTTTCGATTTCTCACAGGTAAGTCTTTTATTTCTCTCATTCATTGACGCATCACAATTTTCCTGAATTTCAACTTATTCTCTTTTTGTTTCTTTATTTTTTTCAGAAAAACATTCCTTACATTCGGCAAAAAATGATTTATGAGATTTCTCAGAAAGAGCTATTAATGGATAAATTACAAGATTCAAGCTCAAATAAGGATGTATAAAGAAAATTCCTAGTTAGTTATTTAAATTTTCAGTTCACCCTAAACTTCATCAACTATATTGTCCATTCGCTCTCCCTCTTCATCCATGTTTCAATCAACTTGTCTTATCTTGTACAAAATATGTTTCACTCTCGCTTTATTATGCGTTGCCCATTTATCGTGAATTTGATCTCAATTTAAAATCAACACGAATTCATGCCTAAAGCAATTATTTTTTTTCATTAAACACAAGAGATAATCTCTAATTTAAAAAAATTTCTAGAATTTAGAGACGCGATACAGAAAGAAATATTTCAAAGAAAGAACGTTATTCACAAGATGCTATTCTGCTGAGCTATATTCAGATTCGCTTGACTTTACCAACTGTTTTGAATATCTTGAATCTCATTATAAGAACTATACTTTGAGTTATATCAATAAAAAATTGGTTTGTATGACTTATACAGAACATTCAAATAAAATCAATTTTGATTAGTTGTAAAAACTTCTCTAGTTTTTAATAGATACTAAAAGCATTTTTAAGGTTTTTGAATCAATTGTTCTCTTCATCAAGATGACCAACAGAAGTAATAGAAGACCAAAAAGCGTTCATTTATGAATATATACGATAGATATAAACTTTATTGGAACATTAGTGATTCTTTCAACATTTACGTGCCTCTGCAAGATAGAAGAAAGAGAAATAATAGGTTAATATTGAATGTGTGAATCAAACATACGTTGAGCAAAATACGAGAGAGAATAAGAAACTCATTTAAATCAACTTACACAATGATGTTGTTAATAGGAATGTGGATTAGTTTGACAAAAAATCCAATGAATCCCATAATGGCAAAACCAATTGCTGTGGCCATTGCAATCTTTTGAAATTCTAAATAAAAACAATAACATAAATATGTTTATAAAATCAATAGAGATAGATTAATTGAGAGGGAAATAAAACCGACAATTTACTAAATAAGGTTACATATCTAGTTTAAATATTTACCTTTACGATCGGGTTTAGTACACCGCTTGACCAATCGATACGAATCCTTGGCAAATAGACGCATAGGGTCAACAAGACTTTCAACACGAAAATCCATAATTATTCAACAATGTAAACACCGAATTAAAATTACTATTTTATCACGATCAGGATTAAGTGAATTATTTTTCAATGTCTACGTCAAATTTCCTATTTTCAGTTGTTCCTTCAGAAGTAGCACACTCTATTGACCAGGTTCAAAGTCAGAAGCAAACTGAAAGCGGCAAATTGAAATTTGAAGGATAACAGTTTATTTTCCAATTTTGGATCAATTGATGATCGTTGATAATTATACTTCATTTCATTTATTGATGCTAATAACAAGTGAACAGTCATTTATTGAATAACAAAGCATTTTATTTTATAATTATAATTTTAATAATTCTGTAGATGGCCGGAAAACGAGATTATACGTAAATAAGTTTACTTTCAGATCGGATTTTAGCAATAATTAGTTAAAAGATGATGAAAGAATGGGAATCGAAACTATAGTTTTTAACTAATTTTGGGTGGCGTATCGAACAAGAACAATGGGTTAGTTTAAAATGATTCAAGTTCTGATAGATATTTGGTTATATAAGGTAAGCACAAAGCCTAACAATTTGATGCCATACTCGTAAGGCAAAGGGTGGACACATGGAATGTTGCGCGTTAAATATAATTAGCCGCTCATAACTGTTTTAACAAATTCTTCGTAATGAATATTTCCTTGGGAATCTTCTTGGCCAGCCAAGAGTTGTTCAACTTCATCGTCATTCAATTTTTCACCCAGAGTTGTGAGCAGATGTCTTAACTCAGCTGAACTAATAACACCACTCCCATCTTTGTCAAAATGCCGTAAACCTTCAATGAAATCCTCTGCGGTATCAGTGCATCGATTTTTGCTCACTGTCTGCAAAATAGGCAGGAAAACATCAAATCCAATCCTATCGTCTAATCGAAGATGAAAGAAAATCATTAAAATGAAGCTTCTTCAAATGGAAAACTCTTATAACAACAAACCTGATCTGAGTTGGTTACAGCATTTCTTAACTTCAGCTTCGGTAGGATTTTGGCCCAACGCTCTGAGGACATCGCCTAATTGGGAAACGTTGATTTTACCATCGCCTCTGTTGTCAAACAATGAAAATGCCTCATGAAATTCAGTAAAATCCGAATCTTTGGCAAACAAACGCACTGGATCATTAAGACTTTCCCCACGAAAATCCATTATTATTGAACACTTGATTCACAGGGTTATTTAATCAAATTCTGGGTTAGGGTGGTTAAAAGTTAATTAATCATATACTAACTACGTCGGTTTTACTAGAGATTTTTGCTGTTTTCAGTTTTCTTCGTGAATAACACACCCTGGCGATCAATTCCAATAACACAGTCAAACCAAAGGCGGCAAATCTAAATACATAATTTACTTTGAATTTGATCTTGATTAAAAACGAAAACAATTCAAGAAATCAAGTGCTCTTAGTAATGTGTAATTGTGCTGAAAATATAAATAATCAAACAAATAATAATTTATAAAATAGTGATTTTATTAATTTTAAATTCAAATAATTTAGAAAATGTTGGAAAATATTCATTTTGTTGCAATTTTATTAATAGCTAACATTCAATGATTAGCATGTTATGTTTAAATATCTTTCAACAAAGATTTTTTCATGAACTTTTTGGCCTCAATCAATCTCAAAACCGTTCTTTTCAAGCCCGAAACAGTGAAAATATGCAGCATTCGCTAACTTTATGATGCGATTTCTAGTCTTGTGAGTATCCAGCCAACTCCTATTCAGTAGCAATTCATTGATTTACGCTTGCTGTGTGCAAGGTTTGTAAAGGAAAACCAAAGTCATTCTATCATCTAATCAATGATAAAAAATCATGTTGCCTCGTTTGGTTGTGATATCCAGCTTCATTGGTAAACATGGTTTTCAAAGGGAAATGTTAATTTGATTCACAAAAGGAAATAGCTAGTGAGCAATCAAGTTTTACTTCCTAATTTGGAAATATATTGTATAACTGTTGGGTTGACGGGTCTAATATGATTGGGTGGATATCCATCAGTTCCCTGTCTGATTGTTTCAATCGGTTCCAAACTTTGTCCATGTGTTACAATTATTTCTTTCAGATGATTGTCTTCACAATGTTCCGTTCTTTTATTCACTCCATCCAAGTCCTACAATGAAAAGATAAATTGACAAAAAAAAATAAACTTAAAATAGTAACTATGATCATTTTGGGTGAAATCACCCATGAATGAGTTATCCAAATACAACATAAAAACATAATTTTAGTCACTGTTTGCTCACACAGATCAACGTATTACGTTGTTACATTGTGAGCGGATCTAGTTGTTATCATTTGTTAAACTTCCTTAGTAGTTAAAACCTTAGGTAAAATCTAACAGTGATAATCTTACCTGGATAAAGGGCAAAGTAATTAAAATTGCTAACATACCTTGTTAATATGGATAACATGAGAAACTCCTGATAATGAGCGACCCGAATTAAATCTAACACCAATACAAGTTACTGTTGACATAGCTGAACTTGCTGCAGTAAAGAAAGGTGGATTAGTTGGTCGACGTTCACGATTATAATTGACTGTTTTAATGGGTAAACAACAATTAAATAAAGGTGGACCAAATAATATTATGCGACAAGAACAGCAAATAAAACCAATACCAGCCATTGCAAATCCAACCAGAAAAGTCATCTCCTGAAACTGTTGAAAATAAACAATTGATGTAATAATATGATTAGTAAATAAACGGAAAAGATTTTGGTTTTTGTTTTTCTTTGGGTAAGTCAGAAATGCATGTATGGTGGGAGAAAAAAAACGTCGCTCTAACAATAATACGTAATATATTTGGTGATATAATATGTAATAGCAATAATATAATAATCTTACCTCATCCTCATTGAAATAAACATAAACACCAATCAAAATGGCACCTAATCCGATTAGAATCATTGTTAATCCTGCCACCACAAGAACATCCGGTGAACGGTAATGGCGACCAAAATAAATATCAATTAATGAGGCACTAAGAGATAATCGCTGTAATTGAACCTGAGTATTTGATCTAGAGTAGCGTATATCATTGGTGTCGTGAATATCTACATTTGTTTCCAGATGATGTTTTGGTGGTTGTTGGTTAAACTGTTGAAGACTAGATTGTTGTCGAGTAAATTGTTTTTGCTTAGATTGTTGTTGCTGTTGATATGAACCATTTTTGGCCATTTGCTGAACAAAGACACTAGGAGATGTTTTGTTTTTTGAAACAGCACCAGATTTAAGTGAATCAAACATGGGTCATAGTTTATTATGACAAACAAGTTGAATTTGTGGGAAAGAGAAAAGAATATTGAAACGGCAAAATTGAAAGTGAGTCAAGTTGTCAATTGATTTTCATTGGTTAGACAAAGGTTAACCAATTTATTATGTAAACTGTAATATCTGGTGAAGACAATTGGATGGGAAAAAAAGACACCATGATTAATGTAGGAACCAAAAAGTTGGTTAAAAATTGAAAAGGGAATCAATGGTTAAAGGATTGAAGGTACAAATGGCTAGCTAAAAGTAAACAGTACAATAAAAGTTACAGTGACAAGTTATAATGTTTGATGGTAATAAATGAAAGTAAAACAAATTACAGTTAATTACAATCTTCTTCTTCTTTTCTTTTTTCTCTCATTTTCTCTGCTCTCTTTACCTTATCTTCAACCTTTTCTTGTCATCAACCAGTCAAACCTAGAAATTGTTCTAGAAATCAAATCAGGAATTAACTGTAGCTTACAGATTATCATTAACTCAGCTACCATTGAATGTAAAAAATAGCAATAACTGGCTAACAAGTTGGAGTAAATTTAACAATTACCAAAGTCAGTAAACTGTTGACAAATTATCACCAATCTGATCTACAATTTAATTCCCATTGAAAATCCTTGCGTTTATTTACCTTAACAAAGCCAATCCTTAATCTTACCAAAATCCCTCATCTTGTTAGTTGATTACTGAATGTTTAGCAGGAATTTACTTGAAATTGACTGAATTTGATTGTCTTTAAAGGCTTAACCATTAAACGGTAAACAACAAAAAACGTTAACAATCAATGCTAATAAACTGTTAAATACATGAGAAGGCAAAATCACAAAAGGAATCAATTGAAGTATCAACAAACTCTAATTGGATTGATTGTGGTTATAAATGGACTGAAATTAATTGACTTGCTACTGAAAAAAACTGGATTAAACCGATGTCTATCAAATTGACAATTAATAATGACTTATAATTTTGATATTTGAAAAGACGATACTTTGAGTTGAGTCCTCATAATGAGCTAGTTGCTAAGTTAGATACTTTAATGATCTATCCCGATGGTTAAGTATCAATGATAATTAGTCAATTATAAGAATTGATTGTTGGTCGATTCAAGTGAACAAATTAACAGAAATTACATCTTAATCTGTTGATTATTATCAAAAGCTATTAAAAATTTAACTACATAATCATAAACGTTGAGTTTGTAACCTCGTCAAGGTATTATTAGCTGTGTTGCTTGTTTTCAATGGATTTATTGAACGTAAACATTAGCGTATCACTTTTTTGTTGATTTTTAGGTTTTTATTATTGTGAGTTTCAATGTTAACATTTTATACCCATTCCAGGTTACTAATTAACTCATACTTTTTAAATAAACTCAATAAAAAAAAGAGAAAGGTAAATAATCTAGAAAAGAGTTAATCACAATCTTCCAATTGATATCAATATTATGTATGGCAACCCAAGAATCCATCCATCATTACTCACCCATTTCTCGTTGGCTCCACTCATTTTATCACCAACTCTTGGTTCAGTAACAATAACCAAAGTAAACCTGAAATTCAAGCCAAATCGGTAAGATAATCAGTCAGACAAAGTCGGAAGATGAGGTCAAAGACAAGGGTTTGTACACAAAGTCGACAGTCTCTGACAAGGAAAGAGTTAACAGGTTTATTACCAGTTCAGAAAGTTAACCTCCTAAAATAACCAGATAATGGTAATTTTCAAAATTTGTTTCTTTTCCTATCAATTCTCAAGGAAACCTTCAAAACATTGTAATCTAAATAATTATCCAAATAATTAGGCAAATAATTTTCCAACCAATGATGACCAATAGTATCTAAAATTGGAATCAAATTTAAAGGTTTTGGGTTGAAAAGGTTTCTGAACAATTGTCGCTTCTGAAAAGGTAAAACTGGTTGAATTCAAGTTCAAATGGAAATTTAATTCTAGATTCATGTGATCATATAGTCAGGATTTCCGTAGGTTGATTAAAAATATTTAGAGCTTGTTTTTGCGTTTGTTTTTTTTGTGCTTTTTTCGCATCAACGTTGGGTTTTGTTTATTTGAGGATTAAAAAGGAGGTTAACTTTTGTGAACTGATAATAAACCTTTTAACTCTTTCGGAGTGTTTGGCTGTGTCTTGAAGCGACCGAAAAGGTAAGACAAAAGGTTAAGAAGCTTAGGAATCAAGGCGACATCCAAAAAATGAGGAATTAAGATTTTAAAGCAAAAATATTGCCTTGTTATTACAACATTGGGCAGTTTCAATTTGCCGCTAATAGCTAGTGATTACATTGAAAGTTGTTCACCAGAGTGTGTTACTTGCCTGACTCTTGAAGGCAATCTGTTGTAAGATTGACGTGTACATTAGATGTTAGTTAATTTAAAGTTTTATTTTTAATCTTATTACTGTTATTTTTTTTGATTGTGATCGTATAATTATCATAATTTTTAACCCTCTGTTTCCTAAACTAGACAGTTATGGATTTTCGTGTTGAAAGCCTTGTTGACCCTATGCGTCTATTTGCTAAAGATTCTTACCGATTGGTTAAGCGATGCACAAAACCTGACCGTAAAGGTAAATATTTAAACTATAGAAACCCTTTCTTGTTAAATTAATAGCTATTTGTATACATACTAATGTCTCAATCCATCTTGACCCGTTAATTAAATATATGTGTTACTACTAATGTTATTATTGCTGTTATTACTTCTGTTTATGGGCAGAGTTTCAAAAGATTGCAGTGGCCACAGCAATTGGTTTTGCCATTATGGGATTCATTGGATTTTTTGTCAAACTAATCCACATTCCTATTAACAACATCATTGTGTAAGTTGATTTAAACATGCTTATCCTTCTCTCTCGTAATTTGTCTAATGTATACATTCAATATTAACATATATCTCTTTTTTTTCTATCTTTCAGAGGCACATAAATGTTGAAAGAATTACTAATGTTACAATAAAGTTTATATCTATCGTATATATTCATAAATGAAACGTTTTTCTGGTCTTTTATTTCTTCTGTTGATCATCTCGGTGAAGTAAACAATCTGGTATTCAAATGATGAGGTTATCGGATACAAGATACATCATCTTCGATTATTTCTTTTTTTACCTGAAACTGACGCTAGATTTTCCGTCAAAAATTTTAGCCTCTGGCGTTGAGCTCTAATTGACCAGGAGTAGATTTAGGAGCATCTTGCTATTTTCCGTCTTTATATCGATTTTTCTAGTGTTGTTTTTCCAGTCAAAAGCAATAACAATTAGTTTCGTTCTTGTTTCAGCTTGAAGGCAAAGGACAATAATTTTTTATTCCCAGAACTTAGAAACAATTTGTACTACAAGGACAAAAAAAAGTACAATTGTTCTAGTATTGGCTAGTAAATAATTAAAAATTAATCAAAGAAAAACGATAAAATCGGTCTTTATGTTCAATGATGAAGTCAACAAAATCATAAACTTGAAAGATTCAGCACCATATTATAGAAGGGTTTCCATAAATTTCAATAAATTAATTAATTCCATTACTAGTTTTCATTACAGCATTTCTCGGTGAGTTTAGTCGAGTAGTCATTTTGCATTGTAATACGAAATACATCTTTTGTCTGTAAGTTAACTTTACCACTTTGACTGCATTTTCAATGGTCATCTTATAATATTAGTGACGGATTAAAATTGACCAAAATTTGGTCTTGATTAACTGATTAAGATATAATCAATTCTAATCCTTTGACTTATCGACTCTGCGAGTCAAATGAAACCTTTTATTCCAAGTCCTTTCTTAAATCACTGATGTAAAGTTAAATTGATTAGATCTTCACAAGAGAATAAAATAAGATTTTATGTTTATGTTTAAGTTATATCGTATATATTCATGAATGAACGCTTTTTGGTCTTCAACTACTTCTTTTGATCATCTTGATTAAGAAAACAATTTATTCAAAAACCTAAAAAATACTTTTAGTATCTATCAAAAACTAGAGAAGTTTTTACAACTAATCAAATTTGATTTTATTTGAATGTTCTGTAAAAATCATATGAATGCTATTTTTTCATCGATACAACACACAATAATGAGCAGGGCTTTTCATTTTCTATGCTGTTTGCATGCTTTTTATCTATGAAGATAAACCGAAGAAAAGTCCATTGATATTCAATGGGGAAAATTAAGATTGATAAAATTGAAAAAAGAAAGACAAAAAGATCACGCATCGGCATAAAATCTATGCTTTTGATTAAAAATATGACTGCATAGAAAATGAAAAGCCCTGGTGATGAAATTCAAGAAAAGGATGAAATGAGAAGCGAATCAGAACATAGCTCAGCAGAATAGCCTATATCTGAAGGAGGATCTGAAATGAATAGGGAAAATCTGCTCTTGTAATATTTTTCTGAAATGAACTTTATTAGATGCAATTTTTTATGCTGATTCTAAATATTTGTTTCGTTTTTTGAAAAAACAACGCGTTCGGAAGAAAAGTTCATGTGGTTCGAAGGTTGCATTTTTTATCGCGTTAAAAGAGTTCGCTAAGTCAGTCGATTCTATTCGTGATCTATGTTATCAAGGATGCTGAACAATATATTGAAGGTTTAGTCCGTGAAAAAATCGCCAAACAGGGTTAAAATTGCCCAAAACCAGATTAAAATAGGGATTTATTAGTGACCTTTTAAACATAATGAAGATACCGTCTAAGCCAGCTAAATCTTGGTATAATTAATGTAATTGAGCACAGTGAATAATATGGTGATGGTATAATGTTCGTAAAAATAGCCAAACAGGGTGCTTCATTGACATTTTGTAAACGAAATCCAGTTTTCTGCAATTTTCATCCTGTTTGACTATTTTTCAAAGCTGAAAGCATACTCACTTACATTAATTATGCCAAGATTTAGCTGGCTTAGTATCTTCATTACTTCCAAAAAACACTTATCAATCCCTGTTCAAATTCAATTTTTTACAATTTTAACCCTGTTTGGCTATTTTTTCAGGAATCAAACCTTCACTACACTGGTAGCTGCACTTAACGCAACAAATGGGTCAATTTTTACCATAGTCACCATCTATTAGATCATGCAATTTTCTTCAAGGTTGACCATTATTCACATATTAATGTCTCTAAAACAATAAAATACCAAAGATGACGACACCTAAAAATTGCGTTAACTGAAACCCCAATTTGTTGCGTTAAGTGCAGTTACCAGTGTATATTATTCAGCATGCTTAATTACATTGATTATGTTGACATTTAGCTGGCTTAGACGGCATCTTCATTATATTTAAAAGGACGTTAATACTATGTGATATTTAGTTATTTTGGCCAATATCTCAAAAACTATGCATGCTATGAAAAAAAAGATTTGATCTTTGAAATCAACATAAAGTTTTGTGTCTGAAAAGTATCATTTCAAAAAAAAATTGAGAACAGGCGATTTTGCAGATCCTCCTTCAATTATTGATTTGAAATAAATATTATTTTCAATTGATGGCATTTTAGCGCATTTGCTTGGAATCCTTTGTTATAATCACAATAACGATAATAATGAAAATTTTATTCTTTTTCCTTTAATTCCTTTTCTTTTCTCATTTTTTCTTCTTTTTTCCTCATTCCATTATTTTCATCACTTTTCGTATTTAATTTCATTCCTAATTACTTTACAAACATTTGGATAAATTTGATATGACCAAATGAATAGGTCAACTATCGATCAAGAAACATTAAGGATTGAAAATTTGTCTTCGAATCAAGATAATTGAAGTTTTACAAAATGCTGATTCTCGATCAAACAAGTGAATTCAGTTTGGTCTTCAATCGTAAATGGTCTTGAAGTTGGGTTAAATGCTTACCGATTGGTCTTCATGAGTTCGCTTGATAAGTACTTTACCATAAGAACATATTGAACAGGTTAAAACTAGGAATAGAGCTAATCGAATCCAAAGTAACATGATTGATGAAGAGGAAGGTGAAGATGGATAAATGATGAAAATGATGAGTTGAAAAGTGTTCAAGTTTTACTCAACCAACAATGGTCACTTTGATGGTTAAAGGTGAACAAATGATGAAAATGATTACAAAAAAAGAAAGGTTCAAAGTTAATCAGTCTTTATTGTGATAATTCCAGGTGAAATGGTGGAAAAAGAGAAAAAAAGTTTTTTAGAGTATAACATGGCGCTTCTATGGGAAATTGGAAAAACTTGACTTTCCGTTAATTTTCCCATAGGTTTCAAAAACTGTTTTGCATCGATTTTTTTCAAAACTGATCTGTGCGCTATCTATGTGTCCCAGAACTACGATTATCGTACCAAATAAAAGATATTAGTCTGGATTTTCAGTTTATAAAAAAGTCTAACTCAAAGAATCAAAATGTGAAATGTTATTTCATTTTGAAAATGGAACCATCTTTTTGCTAACCCTTGGTATTTGATCTAAAAGGATGAATGTGGTGCATGATGGTGCTGATGATCGCTGGCTATTTGAGTTACCCATATATTAGTAGTTTGAGTATTTGACCATTATAAGTCTTCCATTATCTTGTTGATAAAAAATCAGCAACGATCGGAATACCTCAAATTCACCTTGGCCTCAGGTCCTTTTTTTTCACATGTAGGTGCAAAAAAATCTTGTATTTTCTGAGTTTATTTTTCCATTTTCTCATTCTTCTCATCAACATCTTCATCATCTTTCTCTCTCTTTCTCTGTTAAGTGTTTTATTGCTTTACAACTTTAGCCTTTCATTTTTCCTCTCTTTTCCTATTTCATCTCTAGCTCCACCTTATCAACCATTTTCATCATGCAACCTATACCAGCCGATAGTTAGTTGTAATGCAAAACGAGCAAAAGAAATTCATCTTTTGAATCAATCTCTCCCAAGGTGATCATCATCAATTGAGCTTTATTGTGTAAACTTAACCAAAGTTTTATTTATGATAACCAGTTAACCAAATACAATTTATTTCCATTTTTATAGGTTGCATGATGCAAATGCTTCATGAGGTGGAGCTTGTCCATGAATAGGAAAGGAAAGAAGGCCGAAGCTGTAAAACAATAAAATACTTAGCAAAAGAGAGGGGACAAGAGAGAGAGAGATAGAGAGGATCAGGAAGATGGGGAAGATGAGGATAGGGAAGATGGGAAGATGAAGAAGATAAAAAGAGGTGTAAAGAAGGCAGTGAAAAGTTTTTTTTTGCAAATCACTTTTGCTGTCCGCTTCATTCAGTTTTCAAGTCAACTCGACTCGACTTTAACTTATTGTTTTTAAGACTTGTTTGTTTGTTTGTTTGTTTCATTAAAGGTTGAAAGAGATGCAAAACTTTCAATCAAACCCTTTTAGTGACTATCATCAAAGTTACAACTTTTACCAACATCAATATCAAACAACAACACCTTCATCCTATTTCAATGATTCACAAATGGCAGACAATTTAACCGATTTTTCAACCTGTTCTTCTTATCCACTTCCACCTCACCCTCATCATTATCATCATCATCAACTTCATCAACATCACCAACATCATCAACACCATCAACATCATCATACACCACCTTCATTTTTGGATCAAATTACCAGTGACCACGAGAATCAACACCATTCATCCTTTTTAAATCAAACATCCAACGGTGATCATCATCATTTACCTGATGTACCTTCAACCACTCTATCATCATCTTCATCACCTTCCACTACATCCATCACAACCAGCTGGAAGACTTCAGTTTCAAATCCTTCGTCGGGTAAAACTCGAACTCGTGATAAATACCGAGTTGTTTATAGTGAGAAGCAACGGTTAGAACTCGAAAAAGAGTTCTATTCGTCTAAATACATCACAATCAAACGTAAAAGTGAATTGGCTAATCAACTATCATTGACGGAGCGACAAGTAAAAATTTGGTTTCAAAATCGACGTGCCAAAGACAGGAAACAAAACAAAAAAAAGGAAAATAAAAATAATTATTAACTATTAATTATTGATTATTAATTAATAAATTTCACTTTTTAAATCAACTTTTGATTTTCGATTATTATTATTATTCTTTATTTTTTTACGAAAAACATTCCTAATAATCGGCAAATATTATAAAACTAATTTTTGTTCTCCTGATCCTCTTTTGGTGTTTCCTGCTGTTGTCCTCCTGATTCGCGTTCAGCAGCCATCTAAAGGGAAAGTAAAAAAACATTAACTAACGAACTTCAAATTTAACTCTAAAACTTACCTTTTTATACGCCATCTCAAACAGTTTTAGAGACGCTTGTTGTAGGTCATTAGTAGCTACCCTTATATTTTCAGCGGTAGTTGTTTCTTCATCTTTTTTGGCTAATACATCACGTGTTTCTTGGATTTTTAGTTTTAATTTTTCGCATTCATCAGCGGGAAGTTGTGCTTTGAACTCTTCCATCTTTGTCTCTGTATCATGAATAATTCCTTCTGCTTGGTTAACAGCTTCAATAATCTCTTTATTTTTACGGTCAGTTTCAGCAAATTTCTCTGCCTCTCGAATCATGTTTTCAACCTCGTCCTTACTGAGACCACCAGAGGATTGAATAACTATTTGCTGCTCTTTTCCAGTTCCCTTATCTCGAGCTGATACGTGAACTATACCATTAGCATCAATGTCAAAGGTAACTTCGATCTGGGGTACACCTCTAGGAGCTGGAGGAATGCCTATCAAAGTGAATTGACCCAGTAATTTATTTGCTGCGGCCATTTCACGTTCTCCTTGAAAAACTTTAATTTCAACCTGCGTCTGACCATCAGCAGCGGTGGAGAAAACTTGGCTCTTCTTGGTAGGAATAGTTGTATTCCTGTTAATTAACTTTGTAAACACACCTCCTAAAGTTTCAATACCTAACGATAATGGCGTCACGTCCAATAAAAGGACTTCTGTGAAATCACCGGTAAGAACACCTCCTTGAATGGCGGCACCGACTGCTACAGCTTCATCGGGATTTACAGATTTACTAGGTTGCCGACCGAATATTTCTTGTACTATTTCTTGAACTTTTGGCATTCTGGTCATACCGCCTACAAGAATAACTTCTCCTATTTCTGATGTCTTGACTTCAGCATCTTTTACTGCTTTTTTACATGGTTCTATTGTCCTTTTGATCAAATCACCCACAAGAGACTCAAACTTAGCTCGAGTCAATTTAAGGTTCATGTGTTTAGGGCCACTGGCATCCATTGTTAAGTAGGGAAGATTCAAATCTGTTTGCATGGATGAAGATAACTCAATCTTTGCTTTCTCAGCAGCTTCCTTTACTCTTTGCATGGCCATTACATCTTTAGTCAGATCTATACCTTGATCGCGCTTGAATTCAGCAACCAGATAATTTACAAGAGCATTGTCAAAATCTTCACCACCAAGGAAAGTGTCTCCATTAGTCGATTTAACTTCAAATACACCTTTTTGGATTTCCAAAATAGATACATCAAAAGTTCCACCACCTAAATCGTAGACAGCTATAATCTTATCATCGGATTTGTCTAAGCCGTAAGCAAGAGCAGCAGCAGTAGGTTCATTGATAACTCGACGTACATCGAGACCAGCGATTAAACCAGCGTCTTTGGTTGCCTGTCTTTGAGAGTCATTGAAATAAGCTGGGACTGTTATAACAGCATGTTTAACACTATGATTAAGATAACCTTCAGCAGTTTCTTTCATTTTCATTAAAATAAATGCACCAATTTGACTAGGACTGTAAACTTTTCCATGAGCTTCAACCCAGGCATCACCATTAGAGGCTCGAACAATTTTGTAGGAAACAATTTTACTATCTTTTTGAACTTCAGCATCTTCAAATCTACGACCAATCAATCGTTTTGTGGCATAAAATGTATTGGCAGCATTTGTGACAGCTTGACGTCGAGCTGGCATTCCAACCAGTCTTTCGCCATCAGCGGTAAAAGCAACAACTGATGGAGTTGTCCTAGATCCCTCTAAAAATGAAATTAAAAATTAAAATTTAATTAAATTGATTCGATAAAAAAATGAATGAGTCTAATCGAAAGTTCCAGAGAGCATGCATTCGATACACCCTATCCCTAAACTGTAAACCATGCTTTCTATTTGGTATATTACATCTTGTTAACAAGTCAATTAAGAAGTTTCAACTAACCTGCATTTTCAATAACTCGCGGTGTTTTGCCTTCCATAACAGCAACACATGAATTAGTAGTACCCAAATCGATACCAATGATAGGTCCGGAAACTTTACTATCGGAGGCATTTCTTTGACCTGCTAAACATACTCTACTTCCAGTCTAGACATAGGATAATGGAAAAAAAAGATTAGAAACAAAGCTAAAATAAAAGTCAACAAGACTGGCTGAAATGAAAGTGCGAAAAGTATAATCTCTTAAAACTGAGGTAAAAGATAAAAGGGAATTAACCAAGGTTAGCCACTTTACCTTTAGCAGAAGATTGTTGAGAACAAAAGGATTTAAACGAGCAGCTGACTTTAAGTTGATTAGCATTTTGGTAAAGAATAAAATCACAAAGTAACAATATACAAAAAATTAATGTTAGTAGATGTTAATTTAAAGATGAAACAAATAATTAAACTGATTATCAAAGTAAATGCGATGTAAGATGTCAGAAAATTTCATCAAAAAAATATTGTAATCACGTGATTCTCCAAGCACATGGTTTAAAGAGCAAGGAACAGGAAATATGTAAAACAGTACCATCTAACGGTGAATTACATAACTATGAATATTTTGCTTTATCATTTCGTTCTTAATAATATAATACTTTTTCAAGTTTCTTTTTAATTTTGTTTTGATTCAGCAAAAGATCTTTATTAATATTATCAATCATGATATTTACCACACCATAATTCATAAAGTAGCCATGAAATTTGTCGATATTTTAAGTTGTTGTTCAAAGGATAAGCCAGTAACAGCTTGTAACAAGATTGTATCAAGATTAAGTGTCCATCATCTTTCTAAGCACCTTTGGGTATTCAGTTTTCACGGTAAAATTAAGAAACAATAGAGTGGTTGTGATTGTTTACATCGTTGATAATTTGGTTATTACCAGAGTTATTTGTTTTCTAACCTCTTCATCAATAGGTTTAAATGCTTCAATTTAAAAGAGTTGCGTGAAAATATAAGCTCAACATTTTTACTCTACTTTATTATCATTTTATGATCCTCATTTATTCAATGGCTAACCAAATTTTACCATTTATTTATCATTCAAACTGATTTAGTGTTGCTTGGTCTCTCACGTCCATTCTGTTTTACTTTTAATTATCTAAATGGATACTATTTGTCATTTGCAAGCAAAAACATAAAATGCCAAATAAAATTGCAAAGATAAATGACAGTTTCGAATAATCTTCTAATTCGATAGTCGGGATGAATGAAATCTAACAGAATTAAAAAATTAAACTGCTGTTTAAACAATAAACTGAAATTTGGTGGCAAATCTTGAACTGTTTTCACCGAAGATTTGTTGACAATCAAAAGTTAGATATCTTTTTTGAAAATAGATGGCACTGTGCACCAGAATTTTTGATTTTTTGGAATGAAATTTGATGAAAATCTTGTTCGAAATCAGTATTAATATGAAAATCTCACGAACATGCTTATTAATAACCTTGAACCAAAAGGTTCAAACTACCGAAAAGCGTTCAATGATGTTTAAAATGTCACCAGTTTTGAAAAGAATCCTCATTATTCATTGATCGAGCGATATCTTTTTAAGTATCGACTATTTATAACTAAATTTGGTAATCCTCATCTTGAGCATTTTGATCCTATTTTCTTGTGTTCAAGTTTTATTTTGAACAATTTATACTGAATTTTCTTTCCTGTTCATACTGAATATGGTTATATGAGAATATCGTTGTTAATGTTGCAAAATATTCCTATAAAATTCACCAATGAACCGTTTGAATTATCTTTTCTCAACATGTTTTTGTTTTTATCATTTTGATTAGAGCTTGTGTTTCATAGTCAGTTGTCAATATCAGCTAATAAAAGTCTATCTTCGGGATCAATGATAATTTAGAAATGAAAGATCTGAAAACAATGTCTGAAAAGTGATCTTTCATTTGATTTTTTTTTCTTGTCGACGCAATTCCAAACAAATTTTCTAGTTCCAATCAATTTGTAAATAATTGAATGCAATTCTCTATGCAACCCTTGTGTGATCAAGAGAGGATAATCACGTTGAAGGATAAACCAAAATTCACAATGAATGGAATGAAGATGAAATGGAAAGAATTATGATGTTATCCTTGTTTCTATGCTGAAAAGAGATTAAAATCGGTAAACAAATTGTATTTTCTTGTTTTGAACATTAAATCTACTTCGCATTTTGATTTATCTTGCTTGATTGTGAACTCTAGACTTGCAATTTATTGAATTTTCTTTATTCCAATTATTGCTGGGTTTCGTTTTGCCATCAACATTTTGTATTTGTTTCATATCAGTCTGTTTATCGAGGAGCAATAAACTAATTACTCTTTGATCTTTGATGAAAAAATGATGAAAACCCAAGAGTACATAAAACTCAACTTTTATTTGTATCAGCTTGGTTCTTAGTCAAGTTTTTTCCCCACAAAACAGTTTTCACGAGATGTTCAGATTACGGTTTTCTTTCAATATAATAGCTAATAGCTACAATTTGATTAAACATTGAATGTTGAATCTAGATAAGGATTGGAGAATCCTGTTTCTAATGAAGATTGCCTTGTTTGATTTCCTATTGGTGTTGATGCGATTGAAGAGTAATTGGCTAATCCTGAATAGAATGGCGTTGAACTTGTCAGGAGCGAAGAACGACCAAATTGAGGTTGTGATGCATGATGATTTTGTTGTCCATACGAAGATGAATGGTGATGGTGAAGGAGAGAGCTCAATGAAGCAATTTGATAATTGGCTGCTAATAATTTAGTTGATAGTGACCAAGCAGCGGCTGCAGCTGATGCCGAGGCTGTTACTGGTGATGATGATGATGTTGAAGTGTTTGAAATCGGATTTCTAAATGGATATGGATCGAAATTTGATCGATAGTTTACTGGTTTTGACAATCCTAATTCACTCAACGTTACTGGTAAAGAATTGGATGCAAATGGTGAAGTTGTTGATGAAGCTCCTAATGAAAATGCATGATAACCTGAAACAGGTAAGCATGGAAAAGGTATTGGCATAGGTTTAATTAACTTGTTTGATCGACATGCTTCTAAAACATCCTTGGTTAAACAGTTTGAATGGTGATGAAGATTGTCATGTTGATGATTTAACAATGTTAAAGTTGATGAAGATTGGTGTTGTAATTGGTTATTCAATCCTGTTCCCGTTGGTCCAGTTGAAAAGGTGGGTGACGAGGGCGATATTGAATTGTTTTTGATTCCAGGTTTACCCTTTTTATTTTTCCTTGGACCACGTTCTTCCTGTACAGCTAATTTGTTTTCATCAATCAGCCAAAACAATTATAGAAAAAAATAATCGGAGAAAAACAAATCACAAAACAAAAAGGTTAGCAAAAGGTTAAAGGTTTTTTTTCTTGGAAATTTAATTTTTTATAAAATGAATTGATCAATATTTCATACAACCTTACATAATGATGAATAGCATTATCTACAGTAACTAAATTGTTTATCCATCATTACTATTGCGTTTAAATAAACAACATTATAATTAAATAATAAAACTCAAAAACAAGTTGAACTCATCAATCACTTCATTGCACAAAATTTAAAAGCAAGTAACGGATTATATTGGATCTGATACTATCTTTTATTCGGATCAAGTTAAATTAAGCAAATCCCAAATAAATCTCAAGTCGGAAAATTAGGCTCTGATTTAAAATAAATTATTTAGTGTTTTTTAACTAAAAGTGATTATTAAATTTTGTTGATTGTGATTCATGAAGGTAAGTAGAACCCGAAAAACATGGTTTTTTTCAAAATCAGCTAATCAGTCTCTTAAACTTACGTCAGTTTAACAAAGCTACTTACAATAAAGACTGAAAACTTAAACAGATATTTATCAAAATTGTAACTTGTTATCATTGTTATTTAATTATATTCAACTTACCGAATTTGTTCATATTTACTTTGAAGCATTTCTCTAATCTACAGTAGGGACACCAATTACGTCGAGCTTTATCAATTATACAGTTAGCGGTTCCAGCTTTAAAAATGGAAATGAAACGAGTTAACATTCAACAACTTTGGAAGGCATTTTATTCCTGTTCACGATATCATTTGTATGGGAAAGTCGAAAGCTGATGAAATGACCAAACTCGATCTAATCTTTACAGTGACCATGTTGGCTTTGGAAACATTTAATCCTTTAAAATCTGGACTTAAGTTTTTCACACATACGTGTTATCGTGAACTGAGAATATACCTTTAGAAGGAATAGAAGAGGTAAGTAGACAAGATTGGTAGCTCAAACAAATGACCAATTTCTTACCAATACACCGATAAACCGCTGACCTTCGGATACTTCGTTTAAAGAAGCAACTACATCCATCACAACAGTAGACGCCATAATGTTTACCATAGGATTTATCCCCACAAACCTCACAAGCAACTGGAACCGGCAGGGTTCGACCCATAGCATTAGACTAGCAGCTTAAAAGATTGGATGTCTTTTTTTCACAACCTCATTTCTGGTTCACGACTAATTTAATTCTGATGAACACAATCACCACATTCAACAACACCATCACCACCTCCTCTCCCATTTCAATCATCATCATCTTCCATCAATCCCTTCGCCTTTGTCTACCAAAGTAAAGTAATGTAAGTATGTATGTATTCATTTGAATCGCTTTAGCAATCGAAACTCGATATACAAAATGAAAAAGACTTGTGAAATATTTATTAGGCCCGTTAACAAAAAAAAATGTTGAGCAAAGAAAGTGAGAGAATAAGATGAATAAGATGATGAGGATGATGAAAAAGTAACCAAAAACGTTGACAGTCTTTAGCTTTTTGATGTACAAAATGAAAACTTGATGTTGGTTAAAGCTTTTCCTTTTTTTCCTATTCACTTTTCAGGATCTCAATGTGCGTGTCTCTTCATTCCCAAATCACTTTAATCATGATGCTTCCATCATCTAAATAAAAGGACGATAAAAACGCTGCTTTCTTCACAAATAATAGTCAATAGGAATGCCTGAAAAGGATGATGAAAATGTTCAAATAAAAATGCCGTCAGAACCTGTCATTTTGCCATCAAGCCAATTCATTTTCAATTCTGGATCTTTGGAGAAACAAAAACGAAATAAATATCAAATTATCACGTGAATTGGCTCCATCCAAGGTATCATTTTATCTCCATCATCAGCATCATCATTGTCAAAATTGATTATCCAGGTTGAGCGATAAATGATTTATGCAAGAAGTTGATAACCTTTTCTTTGTAAAAAGGTGAGATTGTTTTAACTCCTCATTTCAACTGCTTCTTACTAATATCCAGTTATTACCTCAATTGTACAATCAGACTGAAGTTGTAACATGGATATCAGTAGATCTATTATTATTTGATTTTCTCCTTTTAAACAATTCCATCTGATCCTTTTGTTTCTCTCTACTCTCATTTAGAAGACGTATAACAAAGAAGGCAAAGGCAAAAACAAAATCACAAGAGAAGATGAAAAATATAAAATGAAATGTTTCATGATGATCATTGGATAAGCCAGAAACCTTCATTCCATGTATTCCTCAATTTTCAAGTATCACTTCGCTTTCAAGTAATAAGATTGTTCTCCCCACTAAAACTACTATTACCATTACTGCTTGGATCATCATTCCTCCTCTCCTTCATTTTCCTGCTAATATTATCTTCTCAACAAGTTAAAATGCAAAGTTGAAACTACCTTTGGATGGATAAAAGAGAAGCAAAATAAGAATATAAAAAAAGGAAGAAAAAGCAAAATTTTGAAGCAACATTCAAATAAATAAAATGGAAAATGTATAAGTTTATTGATAGCGTTTGTTGTAAAGGTTGATGGTGATAGTGATGGTGATGGTGATGAGGATGATAAAGGCGATGCCCTCTTATTTACCTTTCAATGTTTGAACGTTTGTCCTTTCTTTTTATTTGTATTTTGATGTATCAATAACATCAAAAGCCGTTTATCGACTCTTAAAAGGTTGTTAACTGTCAACCATCATAACCGAATCACCTTTCAATTTATCCCATTTTAATGGATTCCTCTTGCTATTCAATTTCATCTCATAGATTATTTAACATTTTCACATTATCATCATTTCCATCATCATCCTCATCAATAACATTTAATCATGCGTCAACTGTGTTAATGTTGTTAAATAGTGTTGTTGTTTTTGTTGTTAATGTTCAATGTTGGCTAATTTGGTTCAATTTTTGCTTCTTTTCCTTTTCAATTAAAAAGATAACCTTGTCCATCATAACAATTTCATTACTAAGGGCAATGAACATTTTGAAGTGATTGAGAACAGATTCAGTCTGGGTGAAGGTAGATGTTCATAATTTCAATAAAACTGGATGAAAGGGGAAAAGCTGAAATTTAGATTTATAGTTGGATAATTAACTTTGTTAACCATTTTTGGGTTGGTGATGATTGTAGATGAAGATGTAGACCAAGTTGATTTGTTAAATGGATGGTTGATTGACTGACAAAATAATGGCCATGTTGAGTTGAGAGAAGGCAAAAAGTGTACAAAATCCTTTGGATATCAAATTAATGGACCCAATTGGGTAATTACAGCTATTTAGGGACTTGAAGGACATTTCCAGTTGAATAATTTTGCTTGGTCAAAGAGTTTAACTCAAAAACATCTATTGGTGACACTGACCCTGTTGGTGATGAAGGAGACACATCAGATGACGTCTTGTTATTAGGACCAAAAATTTCAATGATCTCACAATCTTTGAATCCATGATTAGCTCCACTAAATTAGGTGAATAAAGATGAAAGAAACAAAACAAAAAACAAAATTAGAAAGATTTTTAATGAAACATTATTAACCAACTTAATTTCGAGTGATCTTCTCCCAGTATTAAACTATTCGGGTGACGGAGGTCAAAAACACTTTGACGATTTTTTCACTATCGATTTTCTGACGAGTCAAAATTAAAACGTTATATTAATAACGGAAGCTTTTACTTTGATTGACCAAAATTTCAGTCAATTCTGACCTAATATTGGTATATATCTTGAGGTGAATCCTCTGTTTAATCTTTCGACTGAATCTTTTACATACAGTAAAGCTCGTTTGTTTGAGTCGGTAAGAGTGAATGAGTAAGACATCAGAGCCATTGAATGGGACACTTTATTTTTGTTGAAAAATCATAAAAACCTTTTGTAAAACACTAGTTGACCCGACTACCATAAAAAGCTACTAACAAGAAAAGAAAATTTTGAGACTCGAAAAGAATGAAGAAGACAGTTGAGCAAATGAATGAGACAGTTCTTGATTCACTTTCAATTATTTAACTATCCATGAAGTTGACTAACAATTGTGAGTTTCACCTTACTGCCTTTACGATGAGCATCGATAGTTAATTTTTAAACTTATAAATTGATTTTCCCTATTTCATGTAAAATAACATTCTTGTATTTCGGCTTCACCTTTTACCAGTTTGTGACTGTTAGAGGTTTACCTTAGAAGCACCTTCATCCATTTATTTGATCAAAAGATGCAAAAGTTACAAAGTTGATTATTGAAGATTATGCTAAATACTGAGGATGTATTTGAAAACATTTGATCGTGATTTAATTAGTTGAATCTGCTCTTCATCGACATCGCCGAGATGGTGTGATCAGCAAACCAATGATGAATGAAATGATGAAAATTAAGTGATGATGGGATTTAATTGATTGTCATTTAAACGAAAAAATTGAGAAAAGAAATCTAAATCTGTTCCAAAATTGAAAGAATTCATAAAAGAGGAAATTCCCTGATAATATTAATGATTCAAAATTGTTAAAAGTCAAAAGCTAAATGTTGAAACGATTGAAAATTATGAAGTTATGCTATTGTATAATTTGCTGAATTTTTGTAATGTTATTTAATAGGTTGATTGATTAAACAATTTTTTATGTAATTAAAATTGGAAAATCAAAGTTTTATTTTTAAATCAGTTGTTTCCAAATTCATTCCCAAATTTCTCATTAATTTTGCCTATTATATAATAAAAACCAATACTATTTACTTTGTTCCTTTTTCAATTCCAATTTGATTTCTTCATGATAAATCTCTTTGGATTAATTCAACCCTCGTTGAGTTGAACATAGTGAGAGCAAATTTTTTCAAGTAAATGTGTTTTAGTATGTAAGAATAGTCCTTAACTTGATAATATTTGGATGTCTTTGACAAATCACGATAGATATTAGATACTTATTGTTAGAGAGTTGACTTTTGGTGAACAAAATGAAACTTACTCATCATCTTCGGGTTCAGGAAGACACTTATTGAAACCATCCTTGCCTGTTAGCCAATAAGTTGACTTTTTGCCCCTTCCTTTCAAATCGACCTCACCACGATACTCGATATGGTAAATACCAGTTGTCCTTAAGTGTCTCATCGTACGCTTAGATATTTGTATACGATAAGCTCGACCAGTTGACTCCATCCTGGAAGCAATGTTAACCGTATTGCCAAACAAACAGTACCGAGGCATTGCTGTACCAACGACACCAGCCACAACTGGACCTGCCAATAGAAGAATCAATCATAAAGTTAAACAATCTTTTCTACCATTCAACTGTTTCTATTTCACATGTAATTTGTTCAATTCAAATCCTAGAAAAATCATTGAATCTGAAATCAGCATTCATCTTAATCACTGGTTTAGCAGGAATGTATTAGAAACGATTGAAAAAGATCCAAACGAAAACAGATAGCTTAATCTTTTGTACATCTACCTTGAAAAAATTTAGATTGAAATGTTAAATCAAATTAGTTTAAATAACAGTTTCCCAAAAAGGGTTAAGTGTTGTGGGGGTTGAGAAAGCTGATCAATGTTTTTTTCTATGTCGCCATCTTCCGAAAGAAAGGATTAATTAAAAGAGAGGAATTAATCTCGCTTCTTTAACCAGTAACCAGTCATTGAGAGATGGCGGTAAAAAAACGTGTAGCTCAAAAAGAAGAGAAACTCTACTAGGCTTCTTTACTCTTTGGTGTAGCTTTACTAATGTGTGTTTCAATTGGATATGTAAAATTTACCATGTTTCTAGAACCAACTTGGCGACTAATAATTGTCACAACTAAATCATCGTAAGTATAGACTCTAAAGTATCTCTAATTTTTGCTTCTCCTTGTGTTTAAGGTTAAAAGTTCAAATAAATCTCATTGCTAATAACAGTAAAATTGGATTATTATGTTGACTTATTCAATTATAAATTATTTATGTTTTTGTTCTTGTTTTTTTTTCATTCTAGGTTCTATTCTTTCTTCTTTTACCTGTATTTATACCAATTCTTATCTTGAGTGGAACACCAGGTAAATGAGCAATTTTTATCTGTGTACAACTGTGAAGTATATCTAGAGCCATATCAGCTATCTGCTCGGCATGGTCTGAACGTCTCTCTGGGACTCCACTAACAACCATGTAGGCATCTCCAATGGTTTCAACTTTGTAAACTTGGTATGAATCAATGATCCGATCAAAAGAGGTATACAAATCATTGAGAAGTGAAATAATCTCTATGGGCCTGGAGTAGGCTGAAATTGTTGTAAAACCAACAATATCGCTGAAATAAACTGTTACTTCTTCAAATTTATCCGGTTCAATGGTTTGACCCAATTTAAGAGCATCAGCAACGGGCCTGTTATAATTCAAGAAGGCAGAAAAAAATTGAAAATCAAGCAAAGAGTCATTGTTATGAATATTTCTGTAGGTGAGTACTTATTTGCAAGATGATTATTCTTACACTGGAAGCATCCGATACAAAAGAGATTCAGTCTTTTTCATCTCTTCTTCTAATTTCAGGGTTCTCGATGCCACTATTGCTTCCAAATTGATTGTGTATTTTTCTAATTTGTGGACCATCGAATCAATAATTGTCCTAAAAGGAGGTATATCAATAGATGAATGGATCAATTTCAAACACCAATAGTTAATGCTGAAGTCAAGGATAACATCGGATCATGACACAGGCAAGCTCTGCTGATGTAAATTCTTGATGTATTTATTCACAGCCCAATTACACTTTAACCACTCACTCGGTTACTATTGACTGTTAACTCATTGGCGAATCTATTCGATGTCATGATTACATGATGAGTAAATAATCGTGTTTGCTTAATATTGAAAGCTTCAGAAATTAATTCAATTAATTTTGCTTCTTTTTCCTTTGTATTCCTTTCCATTTATAAAATGATTACACATTGAATTGTATTCATAATCAAACGTGGGTTGTTATGTTTACTTGAATTTCCTCGTTGAATCAAAAATGTAATATGAAACAAACAATGAGGCCAAAAAAATTATAAAAAAAAGTGTAAATCAATGCAAGGAAAAAATCAAATGTAAATGATGAGACAAAGAATTGAATTGAGCTTGTAATCTCGACGTAAGTATTTCTAACATACAATCAATGATTGAAAAAAAAATCAGCTTAATCGTTATATAAATCAAATCATTATTTAGTAGATTTACATAATAATTTTACTTACTTTCCTTCAGAGTGTGCTGAAAATTTTTCATGGATATCATCAATGGATGGACGTCGGTCAGGATTATCAGACCAACATTGTTCCATAAGATCAATTATATCATCTGGTACATCAGTTGAATCAACAGTTGGCCTAACATAAATACCTGAACCAATTGAGCGGATAATTGAATCTGTAGTCTTTGAATCTTGACTATTGTAAGGTGATGATTGATTAATCACCTCGGACATAATGATGGATAAACTGAAGACGTCAGACTCTTTTGATCCCCAGCGACAAGGATTTAGTTTAACCTTTTTTAAACTTTCATTTTTGTTACAGGTAAATGTATTATTATTATTATTTTCATTCTTATTCCAATCAACATTAATATTATTATTTACAAAACATTTAATCACCTCAGGTGAAGACCATAAAAGATGAGAGGAAGTTGGCTGAAAACAATCAACGTTTTCATTATTTTCATTGGAAATGGTTTGGTATAAAGTCATTAGTCCAAAATTGGTTATCTTGAGCAGCCAGTTACTGTCAACAACACAATCAGCCGAGGTTAACCAACCATGTTTACCAATAGACGAGTGTAAATATTTAAGACCCTGTAAATCAATTGGGATGAAAATTTGTTTATTTGTTACATTTAATGTGTCCAACTGTTGTACTTGCCGCTTCCAGTAATCACCTTGACCTCAATCTGAATGTGAAATGTAATCAATCAAAATAAGGTAACAAGGTAACAAGGTAAATCTGTTACTTAATGCACTTTCATCTTCCTTAATTTGCTTCCTTATTTTACGAGCAACAACAAAAAAAGATTGACAATTGATTATGCATCGACTTTTTGCATTGTCAAAAATCTCTCTTTTAGTTTATATTACCTTTATTTGTTGACTAACATTGAAATTTGATGATAATGTTTAACCTAATAACAGACTGATTAACTTGATTTGCACTAAAATTTTTCAAATACAAGGTTAGATGAGCTAAAAATATATCATGTCTAGTTGATATTCAAGAAGGTTTTATAAGAGAATCAAGAATTGATAATTTTTACTATTAGAAACTGATGAGCCAAATATTCAAAGTTGTATTTTCCCAGTAAATGTAGAGTTCAGATCAATTTCATGAATAGTCAACATGAAGTGTAATTTTTTCATAAATAATAATAATCTTAAGAAATGCAGATGGAACTATGCAGTAAATGAATTGAAATGAAATAATCTTTTGCTCTCTTCAAGAACTTTCAATATATTCAATTTTTTGAATTTTTTATTCCAAATTTACCTAAAATTTCGATCAAGACTTGAGTTCTATGATTTGCAATATTGGCTTTTCTGTTATTGGATAGGAATATTTGATTTTGATTTTTATTCTGAACATTTCAAGATTTATCTTTCTCAATTTATTTCATGTTTCTTCAGTTAATTTAACTAATCTTTATAAGAGCTTTAACCCTTTAAATTTTTTTTTCATTGAACTTGTCATTTTCAGGTCAAACGGGAAAAAGTTGGAAATGTTTTGGTTAACAAAAATAAAGCTGAGAAAAATATTCAACAATATAAGCAACTCTTGATTTGATTAACTCTGGTTGATTGAGCTGTCTATGGATTGGATGAAAGGACAAAATGTTTTACCTTTTGACAGTAAACAAGTAAAGGAAACAATCAATTGTCTTAAGGATCATTTGTTAATAATAATCAACAGGTTAAGAGGGATTGTGTGTTAGAAAAGGTTGGCTAAATGAACATTTTTGATACTTACATTGGAAAGGTCAAATAAAAGTGACAACTTAAATGACCAGTCAAAGTCAATACATTTTGATTTGATTATATTCTGGAGGTTTCCTCGAGCACAATATTCCCAAACAGTGAAACAACCAATTTGTGGGTAAAGAGTAGAAAAGGCTTGATCATGATGGACAATATGATGATTATCAAATAAACCCTTAAAATCAACCAAATTATAATTACGAAGGTCAATCATTTGACCAAACAGCTTCCATGTTGACTTCTTTAAAGGTAACAATCTATCTGGTAATCTCTTGAGATACACCTTTTCTCCCTGAAAAAACAACAAAAGATATTCAATAAATAAACATAAATATGAGACCAAAATAAACACTTGGAAGGCCAAAAAGTCTCAAGACTAAAATCAATATATCCTTTAATTTGAGGTCAACAGATATTAGAGACTAATTCAGAGACAATTATGAATCTGCCAAGTGAACAAATTCTGTAAAAAATTATTCTAATCTTATTGTTATTAATTTATTAATAGTATTGAATTATCGGCAGTTATAAGTGTTATAATAAATGTTATTCAAGGGATGAATGTATATGAATGTATTTATACTTAAATAACAAGGTGATATGCAACCACAACAATATGAAAGATGCACGAGGGCGAAGTCCGAGTGGATTGACTATCAGTGTTAACCAAAAATATTAGTTGAAATGAATAGCAGTTATTACCCACTGGGTTATGTAAAAACTAATAAACCTTTATTTTGAAGGTAACCAGTGTTTAATCAAATGGTTAAATTGTATAATCTGGAACTGTTTAAAAATTGGTAAACTTAATAGTTAACTAACACTGTTAACTAAGCACAGTTTACTCAAAAGACAATAATAAAGAAAGTAATAAGGCTTGATAAAAAATTCAAAAGCAAATAAAAATTACAAAACAGCTAAATGGAGATGAGAAAAGCTATTGAACTTTTCATAACCTGAAAGAATCGAATATTTTTGGAAACTTGAAACTCATGATTATGTTCTGAATGAAATTTAACTGGGACTTGACGAACCAGAATTGTTTTTTGTAACCGAAATTTGAAATGAAAGACTTTTGTTTTCAAGGACAAAAAGAAGTCAAAAGTCGCAAGAAATCAAGCCAAACGCAGAAAGAAAAGTGATCTTCTTTCGACGACTTTCGATCCTGTCGACTCAAATTTCGCACAGAAATCTAAGTTTTCTCAATATTTTCCTCTATTCTCAAACTGGCTGAATAAAGTGGAATTTGAATTGGAAACGCTGTTGAAACGAAATGAATCCAAAGCGAAATCCAAATTTTCACTCCAAAAAGATGTTTGAAACTCTTTTCAAGTTCATTCAAAGTCCATCAAAATGAAGTTTTGAGAAAAAAATCTGAAAACTTTGATCGAAACTCAAGTTAATCAAAATTCAAGTTCATTCCTCTCTTAACGAAATTCATCATTTTGACTATTTTGAAAATGAATTTTTCTCAACTTTAAAACTTTATCACACAACATTCATTATCCATGGAAGTGAAAAAAAGAAATGATTCATCGTTTCCGGATTATTATTAAAAATAATAAACTTTAATCTTTACCATCAGATGATTATCTCAAGGGTTTCATGATGAATCAACTATTGTTAGACATGAAGTGAAAAAAAAAATTCATCTCATTCCATTTATCTTATTCATCATTCTGTTATCTGTTTCAGGTCTGGGAGTTGAAAAATTGAAATCTTTTATCATTGATCAAAAGCATATTATTAGTACAAGTAGCTATTATCTAATCTTGAACATTTACCATTTACCCTGTTTACCGTTTCATCATTAATCATTGAAAACTTTTTGTGTTTACTTAACTTGATAACGATTTTGCAGATTAAATTGAAAACTCAGTTTTTACATTTTCAATTCCCTTTACTGATTTAATCAACTAAACATTGATTTTGTCCATAATTCAATGTCAACAGAAAAAGATGTTTCAATTGTTTCAGATCTTTCCTCGATCTTTTATCAAAATACAATAAACAACAAAAATGAGAGAAAACGAGGAAACATGAAAAGTTCTGAAAAACTTTCACCTTAACATGAATACATTATTCGAAGCATTTAAATCAATCATCAATTTCACAATTGAATTTGCATAAACATGGAATCCAATGGAAATCTGTTCATTTGTATTGAGCAATTATGTAACTCATGTTGATAACAATTCGATAACATGTAAGAATAGAAATAAATTTACCTTGAAATTTCCAATGAAGTTGTTTGAATGATTAACATCGATAAAAATGATTCCAGTTCCATCCAAGAATATATCATCGCGTTTGATTAAATGTTTGAACCTTTTCTTTGGTAAATCAATTCTGTAAATGTTAACCAATTAGTTTCTTGTTAACTTTAATAAAGTTTCATTTGTTTCATAAATAATGTCTTTTTGTGTTCCAATTTACTCGAGATCATTTGATAACATCATTGGACCACAGGGAGGTTCAATAATGATGATAAATTGGCAATTATTAAATATTTATTTTCATCATTTTTTCAAATGAAATTGATATAAATGACTGGCAATGACACAAAGCTATCAACATTATTGAATCGGAAATGCACAGTAACTTGACAAATTATTAATATCATCCCATTATCATGATATTATGAACATCTCTTGAGAAACAATGTAATCCTATTGAAGCACCTTTTTAGACTAATTAACGAATAATTTGTTTCCGATAATTAGAAAGGTAAAGCCTGTGATTATCAATATGCTCGTGAAGAAAATGGAAAAAAAGTGAATCAGTTTAATCAACTCGAATCTTTGACTAATACTTCCGCACAGGTTATAATTGTGTTATAACAAAAATTATTGATATCGCTCTTTAATCGAGTTTAAAAAGGATCAATTGATATTCAATCCTTGTATCTATTTAAATGTTGTTCAATTCATTGAGAGTTTATTATTTGCATGAGAACTGAATTTTATTCAATGCTGGCGAGGTGCAATCAAATGAGATGGAAAATGAAAACTTTATTCATTTGAAGAGCAATTGGAGTGAATATTTTTGGGTTAGAGTTTGGGTTAAAATGCTTTTCATAAACGATTCAATGACTGTTCAATGATTCCATTTAATGGATAAACTAAATGAAAAAGTCACATTTCAGGTGAAATGTGAACAATGTAAACCTGTTGGAACGATTTTTATTAAAAACTTGAGCAACTCTTATCATCAGTTCAGTATTTAACGAGTTGGAATTTATTTGATCAATTTGGTTTGTTATTAAATCTTGAGACAACTTTTTTCGACTTCCGTACTTTTACTTGAGACAAAAAGGAATCACGAATACATTGAAAGTCAATTCAGAGTTAAATGCACTTCTGTATCGCTTAGAATCTGGTTCATTCATTTTTTGAAGCTCATCCTTTCAGAAATTGTTGAATAGAAGTACAGAAATGCCTTTTACTAAATTCAAAGTTAATATAAATCGTCAAAATTGCTAGAGAATGGTTAGAGTTCAAGAAGCAAATAGGAAAGGTTCAATGTAAACGATCGCTTAATTGAATGAAAAATGCATTTGTCCATTTGAAAGTACACGATTCAGGTCTTAAAGAACCTGGCTTCAGTTTCTTCAGATTGCTTTTTGCGAGCATCAAGTCCGTGTTTATCGAAACAGAAGCGAATAGATGGAAAGAAGATGAATAGTTATAAAACTGATCGATTCAATTGTCATTTTATGATTATATCTGGAGTTATTGGAATTTTCATGCTTTTTTCGAGGAAAGCTGTTGGTATTATCATGAAAATAAATATACACAAAGGAAAGAGAAAAATACGAATTGAAATGTTTCAATAAAATATTATTTACCTTTTCAATGTAAACTTGATTAAAGCCAAAGTTAACAGCATTATTAAAATGATTGCAGTTGATGAATATGATGTTATTGAATCAATGAGAGGTTGATTGTGAGCTTGAAAGTATTCAGAGAGAAAGCGAAAGATAAATAATTATTCAAAATTAATCATTTCGTAATGAAATTCAGAGAAAATTGTTAAATCATGCAATTAGTTGATTGCATGTAATTTCTTAAATCATCATTTTTCCATCCAACTTTCAGTGTTTCAATATTACTATATTTACTTATTCATAAAATTGATGAGAAAAGAGTCTCTTAACGTTTCGAAAGCAAATCGAGTCGGGTCTTCATTTTAAAATTTGCACAATTAACAGTTTGATAACATTATTAGTTTGATGGTTTATTGTTAACACACTGGGAGTTGATGGTTTATTTTTAGTTGCAGTTTTGCAATAGGAATAACTTACGAATAACAATTTTTAGTTTATTAACATTTTGTTTTGCAAATTTACAATAATAATCTGTTAACTTCAACTTATGTTTTGCCCTGAGCATTAAAACTCATCATTTCCTATTGTTTACACCAAAACCGTTGAATAAATGTTTGAACACTTACTTGAGTTTGAACTGGAGCAAAATATCAATTTTGAGGTTTCATTTGTTACAATTAAAACTGTGAACATGTTTCTAATTAGATTTTGCGTGCTCAGTTTAACTTGATGAAGGCTAATTTTAGTTGTAACAATTGAGCTCCAAGTGTGATGTGTTGACCATTTAGTGTTTGCTGAGAGTAAAAGAGCTGTAAAGTACAAATTAATGAAAAAAGAGGTCAATAATCGAATTAAGAGCCACTTAATTGCAGACAGATTATGTTTAAAAGTAGTGATTAGAGTTTATTGTGATTCCAGAAAATGTAATGTAATTAGCAAAATTATTTTTGGACTTTGCTAGACAAAAATCCTGATCAAATAGCTCGAAAGAAACAGAAACCGGCAATTTGAAGCTCTTCTTTGGTTTTCATTGTCAAAACAAATTCGCGGGTTAACGAAACGTTAACGCTAAGATTCTAAACAAGGGTAATCAAGCTAAAATGCTTTTATTTTGAGGCTTACCTTTAAATTGTCCAATTTTGAAGGCTTCATTGATCAAGTTGATTATCTGTTGGGTTTGATTGTCAACCTTTTCATTAATTTTTTCAAGTTTCAAGAAAGTTTGTAAAAACTGTTTGAATTCAACTTTAGCTAGTAACGAATGAATGATTGACGATTCACTTGCATTGTAAATGAGCGACGTTTTGTAGTCCAAATCAATCAATGGCAACACTATTAACTGCCCAATTAGGGATGAAACAACTGAATAGTCCATAGAACTGTCCAGTTTTGCATTTGCATTCATTTTGGTGAAATGATGAAAAGGATAAACAGTTGATGATCGAGTGCAATTAGCATAAGAACAGTCTGATGAGTTGTCGATTGAATCAATTGGACATTTACCTGTTGATCTGGTTTCCCAATTGCTATAAGAATAAGTTGATTGCAGTTTTGGTAAATCCGATTTTCTTTGATCACTCCAAAAGTTGGAAATAAAATTGGAATCAAAGTCAATATGTTCACTCCAGATCCCATTATGAGTTGATTGTTTCATTGATGAGGTAAAAATATTGTTCAGTGTTAAATGGTTGCAATTAATTGTTGGTTTAACTGTTGTTTCGGTTAGTGTTGGGGTTAAAATTAAGAGTAAAATTGTGTTGAAAACGTTGAGAATGCAATTCATTTTGTTTGTTTTGCTTTACCGTTTCAGTTTGTATTGTTTTACTTGAACAGAGGTTGATGTTGCTGTTCAAATTGCAAATTAATTGCACCAATTATAAATGGAAACTTGATGATGGTGAAGAGGATGAAAGAGCAATAAAAATGATTTTGATTTTTGAGTAAAAAAGTGACCAACAAAACTGGTAAACCACTTCTCATTGTAATTCGTTGTTGGACAATTGTAATTGTAAATGTGATCAGCCAATAGTCACGTTGACAGTTCACGTTAAAATTGGGAATTGTCATCTTCCTGGTGAAAACTTCTGGTCAAACAAATAACAATTGCATCCTATTGTTGGTCAATCTTATTTTAACCATGAATAAATGCAAATCCATTAGTTGAATGAATGGACAAAATAGTTACAAATGCTTTAATAAACCCTTTTAAGAATTAATATTGAACTGAAAAAGCATAATAGTACAGAATCTGACTTGATTCTGGTTAAATCGCTTTAGCTATTGGAAGAAATGATCAAAATCTATCATTTTGGCTTTAATTTCAATCCAATTTTCCAAATGACCTTTCTCAAACTCGATTAAAGCTTTTAACAGCCATTAAACTGTTAATAACTCATTTTAAACTGCAATCTTAGCTTACAATACACTTGTATAACATATCCTGAAGCATTTAACGAAAAACTTGCACAAGATCTACAGAAGTTTGATCTACAGTTAGATCTATCAGTTTAAAAAGCAATCCAATTCATGGCCATAATCTTTCAATTCGCTTCTAACTTGCTAACCAATTGCTATTAGAATTGGGCTTCATTCATAGCTTGACTTTACAGTTTTAAAACTATCCAACTTTAATCACATTTAGTATTATTTTTAGTAGATCAACTAACTCGGTATTTATTGCATCAAAGTTTAATCGAAGCTAAGCTGAATGTTTTGGCGAAAAGCAAAATTGAAAGGATTCTCGTTTCGTTTGCTGCAAAAGTGAATATGCAAAGACTTTGTTAGACTATTAAAGCGCAAACTGTTGCTATTGTTCTTAAATCTGTAACAATTATGCCATTGTATTGTAACAAACATTGTATAACTATTCGTTCATAACATTGCCAATGAGTGAAATTACTTTGGGTAGCTTGGAAACAGAATTGAAACTGCTTTGATCTTCTCTTCTTGATTTCCTCTTAAAACAATCAACTGTTGATTCAGTTAACGTGAATTAATCAACCGAATAAAAGTTACACTTGAACACGCAAAGTTATTGAAGACTTTTTAGACTAGACTAGACGTCTTAGTATTTTCAATGTTTCCATAAACTCTTTCAGTAGTGAAACTCTAACTGAAGTTGCACGATAGATGAACAAATGTTGCCAAATAAGTAAAGCACCTCGAGTCAATCAGATAAACATGGACTTAGCATGTGCTCATTGAATTTCCCTTACAATGCATTACATATTTTGCCAAAACTGTTATTGAGTTATTCAATAATGTTTAACCTTAAAAATATTTCTCTTACCAAATGCGAACATTCAATTGCAGTTTAAATGTTTAAGGCAAGTGTTTTCGGTTTTACATGTTACCTTTAATGTTAAAACTGTTAAACAACAAAGATGCAAAGATGCTTTTCGCTGATACATTCGTTTATTATACAACTTTACAGTAAAGGTCGATACTGATAACTTGAAAATGGTATTTGAAATGAGCTGAATAGAGCATTAAATTTAGATCTCAAAATAGCTTTGCAGACAACTTTATACACATTACTTTCTAACCTTAATTTTATTCTAAGTTTGTAATACTTATGGCTTGTTAAAAGTTCGGTATTAATTTCGAGCTTAATCTAGATTTAATTCGCTAAAAGTAAGCAAAAGCTTGAACCATCTCTCGAATAATCTCATTATAATTGCTTATTTAAAGCATTAACCGATATTCACTGTGACACATTCAGCTAATCAACCTTTTAAATACTCTTTTCAAACTTAACACAGAACCCAAAATTTCTGGTTTTAACCCAGAGTTTTATCCTAACGAAACTCCTTTTTTCGTTGGTTAAACTTTTATCTGAATAGCCTTAGTTAGTAAACCTGAATAGTATCCACGCACTGGGATTCCTTTCAGGGAAACCTATTATTAACATACTTCAACCTTAACACAATGTAATTACATTGTTATTACCAGATTTTCAAGCATACTGTTGTGCATTTTGACCAATTTAATAGAATCAAAAGTTAATTGATTGGATTGGCATTTAAAACTAACATTCAGTTGAATGAAACAATTGTTTTAAAAGCGATTTAAAGGAACAAAATTGTTTTAATTGTCACAAAAATTAAGCTACAAATATTAATAGTGTTTTGCTCTTCATTCAAGAGTTGATTTATTTTTCCTCGTTGAACCTAAATCTTGGTTAAATGTCATCTCATTTCGAAGTGACCTTTATCAATCTGACCAAGTTACAAGCTTTATTGTTCCTATTAACAGATTAAAAACAAGGCAAAAGGCAAAAGCCATTAAATAGCCATTCAACTATTAAATTATTATGACAATTGATGTTAAATTTACCTGCATCTACCTTGAACCCAAAAATGAAAGTGCACTTGAACATTTATTTTATCAGCAACTTTTACTCCAAATGAACCTTAACCTAATAATAATGAGTCAAGCAATTTGACCAGAAACTTTAACCCAAAACAAATTAGGCAATCCATTAAACTAAACAATTGTAATTGCCATATTAAAGACTAATTATGCAAATCTAACACCATTGATCTAGTAAAATGATTAATGGTTAAACCAATAACCATTAATCGTCAGATGTTAAGGTGAAACCTGAAAAGACAATTTAGATTTAAATGGAGCAAAAATGATTTACACATTTCCATATTTGAATGTTGTTTTAACGCGATAACCCAAAGTTGAACCAGAAAAGGTTAATGATTATTAGCCAGAGTTTGGAGTATTTTTTGTCATATATATATATTTATATATAAATAATGTGATGAATACACTATTAAGTTATCTATTACATAATTGTGAGGGTGAGAAAGTAATAAATAATGAATTATTTTAATATTTACAAAAAGAAACACAAAACGAGCCATTGAAGTGAACAGTTTAGTTGCTGGATTCAGTTCTGATTTCAAATTTGGTGTCAAATTAATCTTACCAGTCTAATAATAATGGTAATGGAAAAGGGTAAAGTGGAGGAAACTTGAAAGGGATAAATTAATAATGTTAATCGTTTAAAATGAATGCAGAATTTTCTTTACAAGTTTATCAATTTTAGATTTGCTTCTTTTTTACTGTAAAACACAATTTTTCATGGTCAAAGGAAAAAATGATGAAAATGAAAAGTTTTTTTTCTTCTGAAGGGATTTGGAATACAATTTTGGTGGATTTCACTGGCTCTTGTTTGATGGTTTGCAACGATCAAAGTGAAAGCAACTGATTGTAAATTTTATGTTGTTTGATGGCAATTGGAATGAAAAGGATGATTACAAGGGAAATAAAAAGATGAACAAGTTGATGAGATGAAAGATGATCTTGTTTTTGTTACTGTTAACTTTTGATCCAAAGACTAGAGAAGAGAGAGAAAAAAAGGTTTCAATCTGATGGCGTTTTCTGGTCACTTGCAACCGCCGAATCCACTGTTTCATTTGAAGAGGTTAAAATGTCCAGAGTGTTAAATACAGTGCATATAAAACGCTGATCCTCGATTAAACTGGCTGATGGTTGATTGGTAAGCATATCGTAAATCGGTTGGACAAAAGGAATCCATTGGACAGTTGCAAACTTTTTTTTCAAAGTATGTATACGGTGTTTGGGTTATTGTCATGCAAGGCTGTCGAAATCCACAAATTTCAGGCTGAATTTCAATGGAAATGGAAAGAAGAGAGAAAAAAATGTTTGACTTAATCAAGTGAAAGTTAAACTTGTATTCAAATTTGAATGTCAATGAATGTAAACATTTAGATTAACATGAATAAACAATCTTGTTGTGCACACTTGAATGCTAATTGACACTAACGGAATCAAATCAAATTTGGAATCGTTTTTGCACAACTCATTTCTTCCATTTGGATAAAAATAATTCATTCAATTGCCAGCAATCCAGCTGATCATGGAAACGATTAGAATGATTAGAAGTGGAACAAGCTAAAATGATGGTAAAAATACACTTTTTGCTCTTCTATTCTTATCCATTAAAATACTTTATGAATGGATAATCTGGAAAGTTCAAACTATCATGTTTATTGAAAAAAGTGTTTGTAAAAAAGTTTGCTCGAACAAAGAAAACTTATTCACTTGGATATTAATAAAAGAAAGCATTTGCACTGATCTTGTTGAAACTAACATCTTCAGCTAATATTTATCTTTCTTGTGTTCATTCAGAATTTTGATGAAGAGTTTGATGAAGGTGAGGTTGATGAAGGTGAGTTTGGGGATCGAGTGTTAACTTACCGATTTACAATTAAATAAAAATGCGTCAATAGTAAGTCCATCAACATCTCGCAAGTGAGTCGAATTGAGTACAAAAATATTATTTTTTGGACACAAACACTGTAACTTGTAATCAGTTGTTTCTGTTTCAAGATTTGATTCAGAGGTAATAACGAGAGCTATATCATGGCTGGAACAAGGCCTCAATCGAGGTGCCTCTTCACAGTACTGTAATGAGAAAAGATGGGAAATGAGATTAAATAAAAGTCCAAGGAAAATGTTGACAATAAAATGTTTAAATTGTTTCAATCGTAGTTTGAATAAAATTGCCTTCCCTGATTGATCCGATCAAATCATGTTGAGCTCATATCGTCAATTTATTTTGGATTATTGTTAACAGAAATTGATAAACTTGTTACAAATCTTTGTCCAAATATTTTCATCTTTTTGATTTGATTTGTTCTTCATAAGCTTAACCTCATGTTTCAATCAAAGCTCAATCGCTTCCTGTGCTATTAATGATTCAAGTTCTGACAACAACTTGATTTGATTCTATTTTGGTTCATCACAGTTGATTTGATGTCTTGATACCCTGTTAACTCATTACATGATAATCAACATTTCAGAATGAATCTAGATTAACCAAGAAAAGTTGATTATTCAGTTTTCTCGAGGCTTCAAAGTTTCCATCAAATCTACCAAACAAACATGTAACTAGATTTTGACTCAATCCCTAATAAGATGATATTCATTAACTTGGCTGAATTTCATGTAAATTGGATAATCCAAAGTGAATTGCTCCTGAAAAATTTTCATCAGAATATTTTTCAAAGAAGAAAATTAAAACTCGAAACTTATCACTGAAACAGAATGAATAGTTTCAAAAATTGAGTCAAATGACATTATTGAAGTTTTGAAAATGAAATGAAGTTAAAAGACATTTTGCAAATGTATTCATTAAATGAGATCAGAATACTTTTAACGCATCAAAATCAAAAGATAAACTTGAAAAAAGGTTGAGTTTGATGAAAATTGAGGGCGAACTTGATGATGAATTTGGTGAAAATAGTTGATTTGATGCTAATAAACATTTCCCTTTACTCATGTCAACTTCAACTGAGAATTTAATTTTTTAAGCTTATAAACTTGAGCTTTAACTAAAGCCAATGCCAATGACTGAAGTTTAATCCTGACAAGCATTTATTTTTACATTAAAAATCTGTTTCAAATTAATATCTGAATTGAAGGGAATTAAGATAAATAGTGAATTTTAATGCAAAATGTTGTACATTGAAATTTGACTATTTTAATTGAGAAAAATTTTCTCAAAAAATGAAAATAAATTTTAACTAAAGTGAAAAAGCATTCAATGTTATTGATCATTATTACTCCATGAATAGACGCTCATATTAAGACATTATTTATAGTTATTTTAATATAAAAATATGAACTCAAAGTGAACTCCCTTTGGATTGATAGTAAAGTTGAAAAGTTTTCAATTTAACTTTTGAAAAGCACTTTTGAGTGAAAAATAATTTCCATTAAAAGGCAATCGTGTTAATGACGATATTAATGTTTAATTGATTGGAAATTATTTTAATATCAAACGATTTATTTCGTTGTTAAACACTTCTAAATAAAGGTAAACTCCAAAATCTGATTATCTACTTGATGAGAATGAAAGTTGAATATGAAATTTTGCCACAAGAGTAAAGAGGAAAATTTGTTTCAAAGTTCACTTTATTATCATATAATCAACTTCCGGCTTCATGATGAAAGTGAAAAGCTCAATCAGGTCAATGGAAGAGTAAATTATGATTGTCAGTTTACAGTCAATTAATTTGACTCATTTGATGGCAAGAAAAAGAAGAAAAGAAAGTTTACCTGAGAAAATTCTCAGATTATTCAGTTTGTTCATTCAACCAACTTTCTTAATCTCATAATCATTTTCAAATCTAAAATCAGTCAATCATTTGCTCTATTAACAGCAACTTTAATTATATAAATAATAATGAATTGATGAGTGACTTTGAGTTGAACGAAAATCTCGAGTCGAGTTTTCTTTGAATAAAGATTCTAATTATTTCCCTGTTTTTTCTGGTTTAACTTCAATGTTGACGATTTTCATCTTTAATTGTCGTCTAATTAACTAAATAATCTTTGTGATTATTATTAGAAACAAAGTTTCGATTCTTTTATAACATTTAATGACAAAATTAGCAAAGAAACTCCAATTAAAAGGATTTATTTGTTTCTATTTTGAGAATGTTTAGATTTCAGGATTTTTGGATTTTTGTTGTTACCTTATATTGTCCAATCCCGTGGACAATTGTTCGGCCATCATAACGGTCAAATTGATCTGGACATGAATTGAAATTCTTACAACGGCAAATATTCTGTACACTGATTCCCATGCTATTCAGTTCAACATAAGAACATGCAGAATTATCATTCCAACATTCAGGTAACTCCTGGAAAGATTTTGATTAAAAGAAGAAGAAAAATGCAGAAAATTAGTTGGCTTAAGAGTTCAATTTCATTCAGATTAATTCTTTATATTCAAGTTTGATCAAGAATCTGATGATTCATTTTCAGGCGTTTCTCCCTGTTAATTCAATTGATGCTTGTTTTGCCATCTTAATTGACTTTAGACTACTTTTTACATCTTATTGATCAACATTATAAATAGCAACTTTTTATCAATTTGTTTGCTTTCTCGATCCATTGGAAAAGCTTTCTTCAAATGAACAGAGATGAAGATTCGGAAAAAAAGTAAAAATGATGAAAATGATGAAAATGAAGATTGAATAATGACAATTATTGTGATATTAATAAACTGTAACCAAGTCATTCCATTAAACATTAAAGAGTCGACATTTTTGCTCAACATTTCCCTTTTGTTAACAACAATCAAATGTAACTTCAATTATTGATTTGAAATAAATATTATTTTCAACCAAATTGATGGCATTTTAGCGCATTTGCTTGGAATCCTTTGTTATAATCACAATGACGATAATAATGAAAATTTTATTCTTTTTCCCTTAATTCCTTTTCTTTTCTCATTTTTTCTTCTTTTTTCCTCATTCCATTATTTTCAGCATTTTCGTATTTAATTTCATTCCTAATTACTTTACAAACATTTGGATAAATTTGATATGACCAAATGAATAGGTCAACTATCGATCAAGAAACATAAAGAGTTGAAAATTTGTCTTCTTTTCAAGATAATTGAAGTTTTACAAAATGCTGATTCTCGATCAAACAAGTGAATTCAGTTTGGTCTTCAATCGTAAATGGTCTTGAAGTTGGGTTAAATGCTTACCGATTGGTCTTCATGAGTTCGCTTGATAAGTACTTTACCATAAGAACATATTGAACAGGTTAAAACTAGGAATAGAGCTAATCGAATCCAAAGTAACATGATTGATGAAGAGGAAGGTGAAGATGGATAAATGATGAAAATGATGAGTTGAAAAGTGTTCAAGTTTTACTCAACCAACGATGGTCACTTTGATGGTTAAAGGTGAACAAATGATGAAAATGATTACAAAAAAAGAAAGGTTCAAAGTTAATCAGTCTTTATTGTGATAATTCCAGGTGAAATGGTGGAAAACGTGATTTACAGTTGAACTTGTTTCAATCAATTGATCACAAATAAAGGAATACAAAATGACCACAGATGAAGGATGAATTTTGACTTGTGTTTGGTGAGTTTTTGATTAAATCACTGAAGATGAACAGAATAATCAGAGTCAATTGGAATTGATAAACTTGATGTTGGAATGAATTTTGTTGAATATATATTCTGAATATTCTTGCTTTTTCAGTCTTTTTCTGTTCAACTTTTTTTCTCTTCTTCTCCTTTACTCTTCTTTTCCAATTTTTGCTTTAAAGTTGAAAGTTATTTTGATTGAAAATTTATTATTGAAACAATATTTTGCTGCTGTTTTAAGTCTAAAATGAATACGATGATGAGACTGTTTCACTGTTCAACTGACCTTAACATGAGTTTATAGGGTGTTACCGGGCAACTTTTGTTCATTTCAACAAAAATTCAGCACAAAAAAGTCTGAGCATGATCATGTTGCTGATCAAAGTGATGGGAATGCAAAAATACTTGTTAGTTGATTGTTGTTTGGAGTCACTTTTACTCCCTTCCCTGTCTCTTCATCATTTCATCTGAAGATCATTTCAATAAGTTTTCATTGAAAAAGATTTCTCATTTTAATTGTTAATTTTTTTTATTGTTAACCATTTGGAAAAGAAAAATTTGGTTATAAGCTTTTTTGCGCTAAATATTGATAGTTGATTGGGAGTGAGACTTTCATTGAAATGTGTTCATTTTTAGGTTAAATGCTACTTAATTTAAGTCTATTAATACTTGGTTTAAGGGTAATAGGTAACTTGGGTTTTACTTGATTAAGTTTGGTATTTTGATTGATTTTGTTGAAAAGTTAATGACAATCAATAATTTATCCTTCCGTTACACTTAAATCACATCAACATAGTTACTTAGTTTTTTACCTTTCAACAGGAAACATTGAGAGACTAATATTAGATTCAGAAGGCTGATTTGATACTTTGTTTACTGAGTGCCAACGTTTTACCTTTCAATTTGTCAAGACATTCTTGTTTAACATAAACGAAAGCATCTGACAGTTGAATAACTGATTTGGTAATTGATCAATTTATGCATTTGCTACCAATTTGACTCATTAATTATTGACTGGTAGAAAAGCTCGAGTTAAGAAAACTCGAGAATCAACCAAATGTAAGGTAAACTACAGTCAAATGCTCAGGTCAACACTCAATCATTTCAATCAACTTTATACATTTGTTATTTTATTTCATTTCACCTCGTTACAGGAATAAGGAGGCCGCTAATCCCGAACGGATTCACTCGATATTACAGAGTGAACCCGTTCAGAGTAAACCGCCGCTGCATTCGCAGGTCACTGCCGGTTATGGCTTCCACAACCGTTTACAATAAAAATGAAATAATATGACAACAACATTTATGTTTGAATAACAAGATTTATTGGAGCTTAAATTGAATTGAATTAAATTGAAAAATGAAGTTATACTTTAAGTTACGAGTTTGGCGTCCTCTGGTGAGTTTATTGGAAACTGAGGCCTAATTTTGTGCAAATGTTTACATTTTACGAAAACTAAACAATGTTTTTATTGATTTGATTATTGATTTGATATTGACAAATATGACCGTCTTTTTGAACATATTGGACTTTTCTTATAACTACAGTTAAAGTATCAAATGCTTCCTTTTGCCTTTGCATATGTAATACTTGGAATCTTGCGATTTTCATGGATTTAGTCAAGTTTCTGGTCAACTTTTGGTTTTGCCATATTTTTTCATCGACAATTGATACCAATATGTGTACCACTTTATGTGACAGTTTATTGAAAATACAATTTGAGTTTTTGGACTTTGATTTCTTAAGAGCAAAAGGTTATTTCCCATCAAGTCGGCTGACTGTCGGCTGTTATTTAGAAGAGATTTTACTTTGATATTTTTTAATCTAAAGAGATGTTGAACAATTCTCTGTATGGCTGCAGCTTTATTGAACTTTTTGGACATAAGAATAAATTCTTGATAATTCATTACTGTCATCTGTAATCTGCAATATTATCTTGATTTTCATTGCTTTATACGAGGTGTTCAAACGGGTAGGTTAAACTTTGGGGCTTTATATCTCGAGAAATAGGTGCACGATCGCGGTCATTTCAATTTTATATTAATAAGCTGCACCAGGAATTTGAGAATGTCTAAAAGACATGGTATTTAGAAGCGAAACAAAAGCGCTCACCCGACTCGAAAAAGCAGTTTATAATGGGATTATAACATTTCAATGGAAACTTGTCAAAAATTTATAGCTGTATTTTTGAAAATCGTCAGATAGCGTTAATTGTAAAAAGGTGAGGGTATTTCGAGCACACGTATCATTAATTCCTGATGAAAATCTATTCATATACAAATTTTCAGATCAATAAACAAATCTGTTCTAAAGATATAGCCGTTTACTTTTTGACCTACCCGTTTGAACACCTAGTATTTCCTGCAACAATCATTAGTCCCTCGGCCTCACCAATACTGAATGATCTTTAATTCTCAGAGATTTCAAATGACTGTTTACAATTTTCATCATTACTGACAAAAGTGAACGACTAAACATGCAATTATGAAAATAAAACTGAAAATTTTCTTTATTTAGCCCTAAATGTACATATCGAATTGTGCATACATTTTCGAGCCATCAAAATAGCTAATTACTTTCACTTTTGCTAACAAAAAATTACCAACAAAATGGTTTGAGACAATCAGAATTGAGATTAATTGCTCGAAGATTAATGATATTCAATAGGGAAATCAATAATAGTGAGGCGCTATCAAAAGATTACCTTAAGTTGATTGACTCTTCGTTTTCAATGAAATGTTTCGAGACAAAGTAAATTTTAATACAAACAATAAATTAATAATACTGTTCAATATTGTATTAATAGAAACAATTTAACACCTCTCTTTACTCCAACCTGATAATAACAATGGTTTAATTTCGAGTCACTTGGCTTTTGTGTGAAGATGAACCCAATGAATCAAAAACAAATCATTTGACTGGGACATTGTTCATTATTAGCCTTGTGATTTCCATGATTCTCCTTTACTGAACAATCTATACAGAGCATCTTCGATAACATGTACCAATATTTGTTATCAATTGTACCAAACTGTTTAAAGTGGTTCCAGTAAAGAGTCTCATAGCCAGAAGAGTCGAGCTTAGATATTAGCACAATGGAGGAGTTTAATGAAAGCAGCAAGATAAAAATAATCACAGAAAAAGATGGCTAAAGTAATTATTACTTCTCGAATAGATGATCTATTTTTGTTCAACAATGTTGGTTAGTCAAGTTTTATCTTTGCCTTTCAAGCTTTCCTCAGATTTATGGTAAAAATTGTAACCAAATAAATTTTGATGAGAATCTTGAAATTGAACATCTAATATCCAAGAAAACAAACAAAATTGTACAAATAAAGTCACACTTATAATGTTCAATTTATAATGGTTGATTGTTCAAGTTCATGATTACTTGTGCTACTTGGCCTCATCCATAATCAAGATCAATATCATTTAATCCCTGAGATTTGGGTTCCTTTAATAGATGAACTGAACCAGATTGAAGAGAAAATTTAAACTCAGAATTTATATTTACAAAAATAAATCGTCTTTAGGTTGATTGAAAAAAGCTGTTACTTATTGATTAGGTAATGAAAGGGACATGCAAAAACAAAGTAACTTCATCTAACTGTGAACTATACTGTAGGTTGAAGCTGGAAAAGTCATTGTACTTGTCACTTGATCAATCAACTTCATAACATGAAAACACAAACAAGGAAGAATCATATGAATATCATTGCTTCATCCCAAGGTTGGCTTTTTGTCCGTTAAACCGGTTTCCCTCATCATCTGTTCAACTCTTTACTAGATACTTCGTGGCTTCTACCTGTTATTTGGTTAAATGGACGAGCAAAATAATCAAATATGGCTACTGTAACCAGTTACTTGTTGGTTACATTGAAAAGATGAATTGAAAATAAAGTAAAATTTCAAATAAATCGATGGATTCATTTTCAAATTTGGCGGAAAACATTCGTAACTATGAAGTAACTGGTTACTTGTAACTGAGGGGGAAGTAAACAATAACACTGGTTTTGCTAACCAAACAAGTGAGCAAACATCAAGTCTCTATTTTTTATGAGAAATTTTGGTTAATCGACTTTTTCCTTTTCTTTAAAGGTACATTTTACCGCAGTTACTTTTCATCGATTGTGTGTTCCACGGACAATATTTTCACCCGAATTGAGGCAAATTTGTGAACCTTAGACTGTTCAATGCCATCTACCAGTTGAGGAGAAAACTTGACCTTTTCTCTCTTTTCCTTTTGATTCAGTTTTCATCTGAAAGAACCCATTTTATAGTTGGTTTGTTGCCATGAAAAGTAACCGAGTTTGAGTAACCAGTTTTCTTTCATTCTTTCTTCAACCATGTAACCAGTTCATCTATAATAATCGTTCACTGGAAAACAGAATCATCTTAATAAGTTAGTTTTGTCCGACGGAGTGTGATGTCACTAGTGGTTGGAAAGGGAAGGAAAAAAAATGAAAATCTGTTTTTCTTTGTTTTGTTTTGGTTTCTCCACCTGAAGCTCCCTCTTCAACCCTCATCTCAACCTCTTATCAGTGATTTTTATTGTGATGAGTTCTTTTGTTGTTTACTATTTTCTCTTTACAATTCAATCATTGCATCTTTTAACATCCAGTATCTTGTATAATTTTATAATCCCTCTTACCTTTCACTCTCTATAGACATTTTAACGAAATGGTGAAAACATTTCAAGCTTACTTACCAAATTGTCAGCGAACTTATTGCTGTATCCATTGTCGAGCCCATTTAGCAAATCACGACGAGCTGATCTCCAAATCTTTCCAAGGAAGTCAGGGAAGAGCTTACCTATTCAATTCGGTTGTTAACATTGGCTGTGGACGATCTGAGGAGAGAGTTTTATTAACTGGTTTACATGCAGTCGCTGATATTTACTGTGAATGCTGTAAGACAACGCTGGGCTGGAAATATGAACATGCCTTTGAGTCAAGTCAAAAATACAAGGAAGGTAAATACATCATCGAGCTGGCTCACATGATTAAGGAAAATGGTTGGATTTAAAATCCAGGATTATCATCTTTTCTTTTGCTATTTCAAGTACCTTACCTTTTAATAATACATACACCAGACTCTTGTATGTATATTTATACACAATTTTTTCATACTCAACCAAAATTCTTTTGTTATACTTGCATAAGTGTCATCTCTACAATTGGTTACATTGTTTATTCTCTGTGTTTGTCGTTTAAACTCTTTTGGCTGTTTACTCTCACTCACACTCCATATACATCTCTGTTTGTCATTTTTGTGCTGGCTGGTGTTTACCTGTAATCAAAATTTGTTTCCAATCTGCTGATATTTGTTTTCCAGTCATCTTAACCTTAGCTGGTTCAATCATTCACCTCATTCCCGATGCCCAGCAATTACAAGCCATCCATGGGAAACTCATATTTAACCAGATCCAATAACCAATAAACATTTTGGCAGAGTTACTGGCGCAACAGCTGATGAAACCTTCTCATTTGTTTGGATAAATGAACTTATCAATTGCTTGGTTATGCATCTTGCTTGGATTATTACCTCACTCTGTTTATGGCTGATGAAAACAAAGATTACCAGAGTTGCTACTAAGGAATAAGGTTTATTTATCATCAACATCAACTTGAAAATTATTCAACTACCTTGACTGTTGTTGTTGTTGATTGACGAGTTGGTATTGATAAAATGTTACCATGCATTAGTTTTCATTTGTAAAATTGAAACAATAACAATTTAATCTTGATGGACTCACTACCAGCCAAAAAAAGGGTCAAAGCTACATTTACAGCAACACATTATTTATTAAAATTGAGTCCAACTTAATGAACCAGTGATATATTTTTAGCAGCTTTTACCATTATCGAATGAGTAAACAACTATTTGACATTGTAATAATTATTAATAAATGACACAAATTATTACATATTGATAAATGACACTTTCATCAAATGATTTGCATAAAAATAACCTAATAATATTAACAAGATTTATCCTCATCTTTTGTATTTTAAGGTAAAATTGCTGATGGGTTATAAGTTGTAGTTCACAATAAAAAACACCATTAATCTAATTGGATTATTATTGTGACTGTGATTACTATGTTGATTAGTGGATAAAATAAAATGAGCTTAATATTCATATTATTACAGTGTCAATTAACCTTGAGATAAAAGCATATTCATGATTCTTCCTTGTTTTCATTTTAATGTTATGAAAGTTGATTGATCAAGTGACAAGTACAATGACTTTTCCAGCTTCAACTCACAGTATAGCTCACAGTTATCTGAATTTACTTTGTTTCTTGCATGTCTTTTTCATTAGCTAATTAGCATGCATTTGCTTTTTGTATCAACAAAGAGATTTATAATTTTGGTAAATGATTTACACATTTCAATTTTCTCAAATATTACATCTGGTTCAGTTTATTTATTGAAATGATAACATCGAGTATCGTTGTGTATACATGTAAAGAGTGTCAAAATTACAGGCAAAAATTGGCAGTACAGTCCAGTAAAGTACTCAATTGAGGCAATTTTTTTCTCAGTAGCCATCGAGTGACTTGGGCGTTTCAGCTAGTATTCAACAAATATGTAAATTAGAGGGCGAAAGTGAAGATTGCCCTGAATGAAAAGTAAAAAGTTGCCTTAAACGAGTACTTTACTGTATTGGTGATAAAATTTAGTCTACAAATGATGATTCAATTGATACTTGTTCAATGGCCATGGAACCATTGAAAATGAACCGAAGATGTTTCTTTTTTTTCATGATAGTTTAAATTTTTGACATTCTATGATAATATTAAATGTAATAATAATTGATTTTAGGAATAAAAAATCGACTCTTGATATGTACAAAGCTTGGTTCATGATGATCAATGAGTTTTTTTGGGATAATGTGAAAAATGTGATGATGATGGCAATGATGGTGATGTATTAATGGTTATTTATAAATGACAATGATGCAGCTCGATTGATTGTTTTTGTAGTTGCTCTGGGAGGTTTTAAAAGTTTTGATCTGAATTTAATTTAGCTCTAATTGTTGAAGCTCTTTTCACAGTTGCTTCCCTTGTTGGACTATAGTTAAGCATTGGTGAAGATGCTGATGTTAATGAAGAGGGACGACCAACACCATTTAACAGGCAAGTTGAGGCAGATGAAGATGGATTAAGATTAGAGATCCTGAAGTGATCTGCCGTTACATACGGATTACATGTTTTATCATTTGTATTTTGCGATGTAAACAGTTTAAGACTTAATTTGGAATTATCTGAATCCTTAAGTGTTCTCCTCATAATTGAATAAGTTATAAGTGTACCAAATAAAATGCCCACAATGAAGGCACAACAGGCAAATAAAATTAAATTTCCAGTTGACCAACCACGGCTATTAACATTATTAACAAAGCCATTTGGATCTTCAATTAAAGATGAAGTTGAATCTGAAACAGAGGGAAATCCTGATAGACGATAAGCTGGTTCTTCATCTCCAATTGTTCCTGGTTCAATCATTCCTTTTCCTTGATTAGATGACAAATCATTATCAATTGGCTCGGAAGAATAATCATCTCCAACTGAATTTAATCCCTTATTCAAAACAGGTCCACCTGAACTGAATGAACAAGGAATCCTTTCCTCTTCTGAACCTTCACATTTCTCCTTTTTACACGATCTAAATCTAACTCTTTCTCCATTAATACAATTTGACCATTTAGACCAAGATGACCAGCCAATACAATCAACTTTGGTATCACAAGCTCGCTTCAAATAGATTGATCCAGTGTACATGAATTGAACTCCTTTGCCACATTTAACTGAACATTCAGACCAACTCAGAGGACTGGTTCGCTCTTCACGCCTAGGAGTCAAGGCAAGATCTGTTTCCTCGGCCAAATTGAACGCTTTACAAGTAACTTTGAGTCTTTCCTCGATTGCACCCGATCCATCAGCTGTGAAATTGACTCGATACCAAGGTGTCTCAAAGGTTCGACGTACTTCTTTACATGGCTCTGTGTTGCAAAGTCTCCATTCCATGTCACAACCTCGACAACGGTTACCAACAGGATTCATATCTGAGCAAGTACGACGACGTACTTGAACACCTCCGCCACATTTAACTGGACACTCTTCCCAATCAGAGAAAGAAGACCATCCATTGTCCTCTCCATCGGCATCATAAGTAGACACTGGTGTTGTTGTTGAAGTGGTGGTGGTTGTACAGGGAGGATTGTCAAGACACTTTATTTTCTCGAAGGAAGCTCCAACACAGGGTAACCCACCATATTGAGGGCTTGGATTGGTACAACTTCTGGATCGTGTTTTGGTTCCATCTGATCCACAAGAGGTGGTACATTGAGTCCAAGGAGACCAGGCTGTCCATCCTCCATTGACGGTACAATTGGCTACCTCAACCTCATCAGGTTCAGTGCAAGCTAAAGTTAGACAAGATCGAGATCGACACTGACATTGTGAGGTTTCATTTGCGTTTACTATTCGAGAACAAAATCTCCAATCAGACCAAGGTGACCAATCGACAATCTTCGTTCTTTCAGTACAAATTACATCTTCATTTTGATCCCAAATATCAGGAGATGAGGAAAGGTTAAAGCGAGTACAAATATTTTCAATCTTGTTCCAAGCACAATAAGGGTCTCCTGAAGTCAAGCAAGAAGCTCTTGTTAAATGATCATCACAATTGGACATCGACAATTTTTTCAGTGATTTAACTGTTCCTAAATAAATTGAATGTGCCGATTGAACCATTGCTATGGAAAGAACCGAATCATTTGTCTGTAAATCTAAATTCCATTCAGAAATGAAACAAGCTTTCAATGATCCAGGCCAGACAACATAGCGACGTAAACGAGATCCGTTTGTCAATACAAACATAACTGTAACTTGAGAGTAATGCAGGGTTGATATAGAGTCCACAACGATGCGCGTTAATCGAGCCTTTTCAATCAACAATGGTCGACCCTCTGATGTTCCAACGGAACGATCCATCAACTGATATCCAGCTTGGTTACGAATCTGATCCGTTTTACCAGAATTTGAATTACATGAAAATTGTGAGGCAACATCTTTGTTATGTTCAGGTTTGTACATTGATCCTGGTGTGTCTTGGTGTTTGAAAGGCCCTTGAAATGCATTCTCAACTGCACTTATGGTAAAGGCACAAATGGCGGAACCATGAATACTGTTTCTGTTAAATGGTTGAAACAAGAAAACAAAAGCCAAGCATTAAAATGTGTGTTACAAATTGTTGTTCAACTGTGAAAGTAAAATCATTTTATGCATATCCGTTTGAGATCAAAGGTAAAATTGCATTGAAAGACTGTGTAATTACCAGAAAAAAAATTGGTAAACATTTGGTACAAATAGCAAGTCTTGAATAAAATCATTTAGATTTTACTTTGAACTCAAAAGGCAGAATTAAAAAGGGAAACGATGATTAAATAAATGATTACAATTTTTATGGATAACTTGAAGAAAACGGAAGTTTAATGTTGCTTTTGTTGTTGTTGGTAAATAAATGATATGCAAATTAAGGTTTTAATTTTGATAATAAACTCTTAATACTTTATAAACAGGTAAAAAAGCAGCAAATTTTCTGCCATTTTTCATCTTTTGGCTTCTGCAACTGAAAGAGCAGAACCAAGTTTGATTGATGATTTAGATTGAAGGTAATTTAATAAACATTTATAATTAAAATGTTGGCTACCTGAGAGCTGAAAGAAAAGTTAAATATTCAAATTTACCAAAATTATAATGAATTGTAAAACTTGATCAGTTGTCATAAATAACCAGGAAAAAAAGTATAAGCCATTTGAGTTGCCAATTTAAATGTTGACAGTTGAGTTTACCTTTTCTAGGCCCATTTAATCAACTAACTAACTAAAACGGGTTTTGAATAAATGATAATGTCAATGAATTGATACATATAAATGAGCATGAAAAGGTCAAAAATGATTGGACCATCAATTGAAAAGGTAAATAAAAAGAAGTGATCAATAAAGTTGGATTTGTTAAGATGCTTTCAATAGTCAACAATTGAAAGCTAAATGTTTTAATCTTGCGGTCAAAAGGTGGTTCAAATGGTAAGACTTGAACTTTTGGAAACAATGCCAAATGGCTAGATGAAGATGATGAAGAAAATGATAATTGAAGGAAAGTTTGAGGCAAAGCTATGGAGAAGTGCCTAGATAAGTCCAAGAGGAACCTTAAAAAGCTCATTGAGATATTATCATGGTTTTGGCAATAAAATAAATATAATTATGATTATGATAATACACATTAATGAGATAAGAGAATGGACAAGATTTCCAAGCTTTACATGATTGCTTTTCAGTTAATGTTTCAGTTTCAATTGCTTTTGTCGTACAAAAAAGACTTACTTTGTAAGTGAAAACTGGTAACACTTATCAATCAATTGGGTTTAAGTTAAATTATTGATGACAGGTAAATGGACAGTCCATAAGTCTAGGTTAATTTATGAAAGAATTCAATTTATAAATGAAAAGCTAAATTGAAAGCTTGATTTAAAAGGTGAATATAAACGAAACTAAATGTAATGGTATAATGGTTTGATTTTAGTCATTGTAATATCTTGGTTTTGCTCAGGAAATTGAATTGAAAGCCTAAGATTCACTTGATAAAACTGTGAAAGATTGGAAAATTATTTCCAACGCAACTCATCAGTTAATTGCCTAGGTTTTTCAATATCTATGTTTTATTTTTTATCATAAACCTTAAGTTTTATGCCAACGCATACAGTTTTGTCCCTTTTCAATTTATCGATCTCAATTTGTCCAGATAAGAGAGATAATCTTTTCTCAACAATTCTTGTCAATGATACAGTGGAGGTCGTGTAAACTAGCCAATTATTGTACAAGTGCGAAAAAAGCTACGAAAGTTAAATGATTACTGTGGGAAAACTACTAGTGATTTGATGTCTCATTCAATTTTGAGAAATTTAGAGAACGATGGACAAAAGGAACAAACGAAGGAAAAATTTCGCTCAAAACATTTTCAAATTTTCAAGTTGTTTTGAAAATTAAGGATTATACGATTTTGGAGGCCTTTTTTAAAACTTCATTGGATTGTACATTTCATCAGGATAATGAGTTTTGCATATTTGTATTAACCTTTAAAAACTTTGATATAAGCATTAAATTAAATTGCGGTGATGTGTGCGAGATATCGTTTTCGAGATTGGAACGAGACCAAAATGGTGGATCGTTTTGCGATTCAAATTGTAGTCATCAGAGATCGACAGGAAAACATGTGAATGTAGTGAATATGTGAGAATATGATTCGTACATATTCAAGATAAGGTAACAAAATGTGCTTTTTATTCTTGATAGTCATGATTAGACTCGTTTTACAACAAAATACATCTTTAGATTTTCTTCAGTAAATCTGGCGATCAGATAATATCAACTTAAATTGACTGAAATGTCTCTCAAGCTCACAAGTGATCGGTAATCATCGACAGGTGAGTTCTCGATTGCATTGCACTGAAAATATCAACGCAATTCTAAGAATATGCTAATCTTATCATGGCAATTCCGAAAAGTTTCAGCAGATAAAAATTGATATTACACTGATTAAATGTATTAACACGTGTTAGCAATAATTCTGTGTTGGTTTGAAAAATCTATTACTCGAGTTATGTCGATGAATGTGGATCTTTATCTGTTTGATCATTGTTTCAAATCCCCTGAAATTCGAGTAAAATTCTCAAGAAAACTCTTTTAACACAGAAAACGACTGAAAACAAACTCAACTATCATGTGTTGGACTAAAACCTTCACATGGTAAAACATATCATAAACACCAAATTCATCAGAATATGAAAAACAATCTTACATTTCTAGTTCCAATGCAAGAATTAATTCATCAGAAAGCTAACATTCAGTGTAGCGTCAGCAAAAGAAACAGAAAAACAACAAAAACAAAATTCCCAATAACAATGATCGAATGATCAACTTAGTTTCAACGAAATCCAATAAGCAAATCCATCCACCGAGAAAAAAACATTGAAAAAGTACAGAACGAATTGAATTTTGACAATTTTACATCAATTGAATCATCTCAAGTTTTTCTTGTACAAAGACAGCAAATGAAGCAGCTTATCGTATCTCAATTAAGATGAAAAATTGGTTGAAATGAAATGTCAATGGCAATCTTAACCTTCACCATCTTCATCAAAATGGTTGGACTTTTAATCTAAATATTTCCCGTAACACTCGTTAGTAAATTGTGATTGCTCAGGTTGTGTGAATAACAATAATCTAATCTAGTAAATTATGAGGAATCCTGGTGCAATATTTGTGCCCTCAGCTTCATTTCATATGAACCAGCTTGCCTTATTGTTAAACCAGCTTACCTTTGGTTAACTGTCTACATGAAATGATAGATAAAAAGCATGAAAACTAAATGAACAAAATGAAAATCCTTGACAATCGAAGTATTCAATTAAACAAAATAATCAATTAATTATCTTTTTGACATTAGATAAAGTGAGGACATTATGAAAACACATGTACTACTCATTATTTTCAAGACATACTTTCAAGTCTTGTTAAACTGGTGAGAATAATTTTGTTTGTTCAGAAAGAAAAAGAGAAAAGAAAGAAACTTCATTAGAGTTTTATCTTTCTGTTGGTGTATCAGAATTTTTATCAATATCAAAGTTCATTTTAGTTTCTCTAGCCCTGTTTGACTTGAAACTCACACGATTTGATAGACAACAGTTATGTAGTCGTTAGCTTTCAGCACTCTTCAACTGTCTTTCTTCACCACTTCTCTTTCTCTGTCTTTTTACTGGTTTATCTGTCTATCTCTCTGTTTCAGTGATAAGTTACTCCAGTTTACCTGTCGTAGATGGCTTTTAATGCATTAGGTGAGAAAGTACGTAACAGTTATACACACATTTAGTTAGTGAAAAGTTGTTATTAAAAAAAAGATCACCTGTTGAAGTATTGTTGTTTATCTGTTTTTGTATCAATCCAGTGTAAATGTTTCTTCAATCGGGGCATGCGTCAAGAAAACTCTGGTAACATTTCTGGTAAATTAACAGCTAATCGGGTACAAGCTGATTGAGCGTACTTTTGCAGTTACTTCAATCATGTGTTGAGAAAGTCTCTTGTGTTTCTTCGTATCACTGTAATATTTTACGCATTTTTATACCCAATTTCACCTTTAAAACCATTTACATATTTTAATCTTACATTGGACTTTATTCACAATTAAAAATTTTATTTTCTGATTTATGTTTCCCATTAATTTAATGATTCATGTCAAATAATTCACCAGCAACTAATGATAGCAACTATCATGTTTGTCGTATCTGCTCTGACAGAGCCATCGGATACAACTTTAGTGTCCTCACATGTGAACCCTGTAAAGCTTTCTTTAGGCGAACTGCTGATAAATTAGAAGTAAGTTTCATCTTTATTTAATATCCATGTTAATCTCTAATCTTTTAAATTCTCAACCTCGATTTTCGCTTTCATCTTATGCTCGTGTTTAAAGATTGTTAATGTAAGTTACCCTTTGCTTCAATTATTTAGGAGTTACAATGTCCATTTAATAATGATTGTGATATTGACCGAGTTACTAGAAAAATTTGTCGCAAGTGTCGTTTGGTTAAATGTCTAAAAGTTGGTATGCGGAAAGATTGGGTTCAAAATGAGGATGAAAAAAAGCCTCGATCGTCTGACTGTAATCGAAGTCACCCTTTACCCAGTCTAACCAAAGATGTTTCCTTTTTTGCTAGACGCAATCCCATTGGAATAAATCGGAGAAGTTACAATGCCGATGATCAAATGAGACAAATCAATCCATTTAATTCGCCTAGAACGGTTCCAGATTTTGAATCCCTTTCTTCATCTGGTATGTCATCAATACCAAGCTGTTCATCTCAAAATCGGATTTCCCCAATGAATCAATTTTCCATGCCTTCATTGTCTTCTTTACTATCATCTTCATCATCGTCATCGGCATCATCATCATTTTCTGATCTTCGACAACCTTCCTGTCTTATGTCAACATCATCGAATCTATCATCAAACTCATCATCTGATCTGACGAATAGACTGCCATGCTCAAGACAACCCAGGCAACCCGCACGTTATGCCAATGATCCAGACTGGTTGATTAAATTTTTGGTCGAGAGTCATGCTCTTAATTCGCGGTTAACTTCACCTGATTCTACAATTAACAGAGCTCATCTCGATGAGACAAGATCCAGTCAAACGTGCAACCAAAGTTTACCATCTGATTCTAATCCTTGTGCTAGAGTTGGTGTTATAGTGGATGGTCGTAAACTAGTCTCTTGTCCACCTGTTAAAACCTGTGAGATTAAAGCTCCACCAATAGTGACTCGTGAAACCCAATGTATCAATCAACAAGATAGCAACTTGAAAATTCGAGTCATTAGAAAAATTTTGGATGCCAATTTCGCTCCAAGCCATTTGAAGCAAGGTTCTCGGGAAGGTGTCGGTCTAAACCAACTTGAAATTACGACCATTGATTGTGTATTTCATGCTTTCAACTTCTTCAATCAACCTTCATCAAGTTCACGAAGTGAACTGGCCTCAGTCGAAGGGGTTACCCGATTCACCGATCTTTATTTGGAAAAGTTAATTTCAGGATGCAGAAGTTTACCATCTTATTCTGAATTGTGCCTGCAAGACCAAATTACCCTGGTCAGAGCTGGTTTCCCAAATATTTTAGCCGTCAAGAGTTACCTTTCTTCCGACCTGAGTGCTAACTGTTGGCAAGTAATTGAAAATTATTATTTCTTTCAAATTAACGTTTCTTTTAGGTTAAAATTTTAGGTAAACCAGAAAGGCAAAGACTTCAAGTATTCCATGTCGATGAAAAAAACGTCAGTTCACCTGCCTAGAAGTCAATCTATCTAGTGTGATTGTGAAAGATTAAGTTTTATTGAAGCAGAAAAAAACACCCTATACTGGTAGATGAGATAACATTTTGTGTACTTGAATGCTACTTTTCCCGCCTCCTCAGTAATTCACCGTATCTCATTTAAGGACAAAGATATTAAACAAGAAAAGCACCTGATGTTTGCATCCATCGAGGTTATCATTCAATACAATAAAGATATAAATTTGTGATAAGGCTGACATAATTAACGACAATGTACAATTATGTCTCTTCTAAGGGAACCAGATTAATCACTATGGATAGTTACAACCAGTTTTTACTCTAACTCTACAGTTAATATCAGATGATCAAGGGTTAACTTGATACTAAGGGATATTTCCAATTGTTGCTCATTCACAAATACGCATTTAATTTCTTCTTTTTCCCAATCTTAATCTTTTAATTCATAACATTAATATTCTAATTCTTTTATTTTTCTTACTTTTAATCTTTTTTCAGGCAACTAATCAGCGCCAGATGAGATTGGAAGGATCTTCATTTCAAAATGATGTTGATCAATCACTGGTTGCCCATTTAACGAATGATCCCAAAGTGGTCTGCATATTAATTACTATTGTTTTATACAATCCGGATATTCCTCATTTACAAGCAGTTGATGCCATCAAGTAATCATTCAAATGAAATTCCAATCTATATCAAACTAATTGTTTTTTTTCAATCTACATTTCAGGCTTGAACAATATACATATATTTATCTATTGAGAAGATATCTGGAATCTCAATGTGGCTCATCTTGTCGAGCTCGAACAGAACATTTCAATTTAATCCATACAATTGAAAAAGTGATGACTATGCGACAACAGTCGATATCAAGCGCTCAAATTAATTGTCACAAATGATTATTCAACTCTGGTTCTTCTATTTCTATTCAAATGGAAATAGATTGGTTCAGTTGAAGTGAAAGAATTAAAGAATAAAAAATAAACGAACAAGTGTCGTTTGCTTTAAATTAACCACCAAATTTAGTCACTCAAATCAACTTGGCAAAGCTTTCGTTTGCATTGACTGTTATCTACCTGGGTAATACTATTAATCATACCCCTAATTAACCTTATAATTGCTGCTTAATCAGAGACACTGGATCTAAAGAATTTTCTTATCGATTTGTCATGTTATCGATAGCTACAAAATCTGTTTACAGCACTAAAATTTCCCATTCTAAAGTTATCATTGAATATCTTTTTGTATTTTATCATGCAATTCCTAAACAGAGAGGAGAGAAGAAGAGACGTACAGACAGAGAGGAAAAATAATGTAATGCATAAGTTGTGTATAAATGTAAATTACTCACTGAGCTACATTATTATAATCATTAACTTGAATCGTTTTCATGATTTAATAAAGGTTTATACCTTGAACATTCATCTATCAATAAAACATTTGATACCTATTAGTAACCTTTAAAATGTCAAGCAACTGATTGTTCCATAAAAAGTCATGTTTCATTTTGAATGATGAACAAAAGTTACAATGGTATTATCTTCCAGAGTTTACTCAATTACATGCAACAAAAAGCCATGACATTTTCAAACAATAGAGTATTGAATAGACACGTCTAGTCTTGAAATCAATCAATAGAGCGCAGCATATCCAGATTCAATTCGCGATTTCCAATCAAATGCAAACATCAAAGTGTTAGTAATATCCAAGACTTGTATCGCATGGACTGTTTGACTATGTATTTGAGACTTGGATCGACCCAGTCGTTATCGATGGATATAAGCTAAGATCAAGGCGAGGAAATTTCGATTGACAACACCCTTTAACTTCGGGCTCTAATTGATCCCAAATAAAGAAAGTCTTGTGGCAATTTTGAAGCTATTAAATCATTAGAGAAAGACTAGAAAATTATAACTCTCAATTAACCAAATCAAATATTTCCCTTGAACATTTTACATTGAGTTTACCAGAAACGACTCAAAGTCCAGAATAACAAAACTAACCCAAAGTCTTCCTTTTCCAACTTCAACCTGCAAACGAGTTAAATCATTGTGATCATATTAACCCCTAATATTTAACCCTATGAATTGAATCAAACTCAACTGAAACACTTCTTTCCTGGTTTATGGTTTCCTCATTGCAAATACCTTTCATTATACTTGGAGTTACAAAGACGAAGATGAAGAAAAATCTATAATATAACCCTTTATGAAAAGCTATTGAATCTTTGAATACTGAAATTGAACAAATTGGTGAAAAATGAATGTGCATAACTTGCCTGTAGACGGCATCTTCCGTCAATTGTAATTTTATTAATAGTGTATCAATGGTTTGAAATGGTCAGCAATTGTATTGTGAGGATAAATTGAAGATTATGATGTTGAGCGCAAACGTTAGAGCTTAATTTAATGCTTTTTGTGTTTCATTTTATTGTTAATATTAACCTCTCTTTTCAGAGGGTAACAGGTTGCTGTTACGGTTTGCCTTTTATTAATGATAATAATAATAGTTCATCTTGGTGATGATAAAGATGAGGAGAATGATGAAGATGATGAGTCGTTTCGTCGGCCCAAAGGCCTCATGAAAAACTGTTCAATTGATAATCTTGAGATAACTAAATTTTGTTGAACCTGTAATTTATCTCAATCTGAATACAAGGTGTTCCAGGTCATTATTCATTTAAGCCGGAAAATGAAAAGGTAAGCCTTGAAATAAATGTTGAAAAATTGTCTGAAAAAAAGGACTTGACTAATATTGACTGTTTTTTTATGCTTTCAAGGTGAGGCCAATTGAGATTTGACTTTTTACCTAAACTTTGCCTTCAACATTACAAGTTTACCTTTTCTCGTTTAGTTATTGTTCAGCTTATAACTAATGAGTTGATTAATTATTAAGACATTTCACTGTAAATTAACGTTTGAAATTAAAACTGGCCATTCAATGTTTCTAGCAATTAACAAGCTTGGATTTGAGCAGCAAAAAACATATAAATTGAACAATAAAAACACAATTTAATATCTCATCTGACTTGTCAGAAAACAATTGATACTCAATCAATAATAATTGACCGTTTGACGTTAAACTAACCTTGTCTTTAAATGCAATTAATAGTGACCCAATCAGTAAATTGTAATCATTTAAAAATCAATTTTCCGTTATTTTCAAGCTTTTGCTTGAGACGAGTTAAATGGTTAGAAAGGTTTATAACTTACTCTGGTGTTGAAAAGACTCCGTAAATGGTTCCATTGGTGTAAAAGGCTGACTGGATTTCGTCAAAGTAAAATGGAAACTGGCCTGGAAGCGAACAGTTTAATCGAGTTTTGACAAATGTGGTTAAATAGCGTCCCGATGAGCGTCTCTCTCCCTTGTCACCAATGCAGAGGCGACCGATTCGAGAGTAAACCGTTTTACCGCAGTTCATGTATTCAATGGCTGATTCCCTGAAAATGAAGTAAACAAAGTCATCCTTTTCAAATGATGTTATAAATGAAGCATCATGGTTAATGAATCGAGTATCAGCGGCAATGGTTCGTGCCCATTTAGTCGATGATTTGGAAGGTTTAGATCGTAAAACTGCATTATCATGACCCTGAGAATCCATTGGTCCAAAATAGAAGTAAATTCCTGAATGAAAAGATGGAAAACAATGAAATTTAAATTAACTCGTTCAATGCAAAGACACACTCGGCTATGAATCAAAATCAGAATAAATATTCTAATTTTACCAATTTTACTGTTAATGAGTTGAAACAAAACAATTGTATACAACATCAACTGGATTAACAATTTTCAAATAAATCAACAGATTAAGTTTCTTTTCAAAATTTTCTTTTCTCTTGATTAATTTCAAGTAGCTTTCTGAATACAAATTAAACAATAATCATCAATCACCTTTAGCCCATCGGGTGTGTTGATATCAACCACAACAATATTAACCCTGTTAAGGTGGAGAGAGTAATATAACTGGGAGAAACGCATTTCTTTCAAAAATCAACCCAAATCAAATGGCCAATATCAATAAATCAGTTTATTGACAACAAAACTCAGCTTTGAACATTTTTTCGGATAAATCACAATTCTAAAGGGAAATATTTGCCATTTGAAAACAGCTTAATCAACCTACAGAATCACATTGAATGACGATTATGACAATTTGAATAACTTTTGGGTAAAACATTTAAATTTCCGGGTTAAACTGTTTGGCAAAATGTCCCAAAATTGATACAGAAAATGGTTGTTTTATGAAAAGATTCATTAACGGTTAAGAAACTTTATCATTGTTTACAATCAACATTTATTTACCTGTTCATTGTTACCATTTTTCACCTTTGGTATGAAAAATGGTGAAACAAGGTTGAGGCTTAAAGCGTAACAAGACTAAACATTACTTCTGATTTGTATCAACAGTTCAACAGAGCATAACACGAATTTGATGTTTTTCAATTCGATGAGTCTAACCAGAACTGAGCAAATTATCATCATCATTATGTGAATTTTTTTTCCTTCTCATCTTGAAATAAACATTGAAGGAAAGTTTGATAAACAAAGTGACAAAAGATGATGATGATGATGATGAATGGATGCATGTGAATAAATCAATTGTTAAAGGAACAGGAAAGATGGCGAAAAATTGTTTGGTCATTTTGTGGTCAACAACATTAACAAGACGCACAAACAATCAAATTGTTCAAATCAATTTTATGGGATAACCTGAATTTTCTTTTTCACCTAATTTTTCTTCAATCATTACATGTTGTGCTCAAGAGAGAAGCAAAAAAAATGAGAGAAAAAGTTTGACCAATATATGGACAATTTACAGATCAAAAGCAACAACGAAATGAACATCAATTATAACGAATTAATTGAGCTTCGATTAAAATAGTATTGAAAGAATGAAACTTTTTACCAAATCTTTTTCATTCTTCACCTCTTCCTGTTCATCAACAATTGAAAAGCAACAATTTGCTCAGTAAACACTGTAAATCAATTAACTTAAATATAGCAAAATAATCAACTTCAATATTTTGTTGTAAAAAAATGAAACATTTTTCTAACACTCTGAGCGTTTTCATCTTCATGAGAACATGAAATTGCTTCAAGATTTTTCACTTTCCCTTCTTTTCATCTTTCACAGTTTACCATCTTCATCTTGATCATCCTACATGTAACCAGAGTTTCAAGTGATTTTTTCCAGACTCTAAAGTCTGGGTTGAAGCCTTGAGGCAAGAAATGGTTTGAGAAAAAAGTTGAACATTTGTTGCTTTCAAGGTGCACATTTGTCTCTGTACATGATTGAGGAGATGAGGTTAATGATTAACACTTTTAATGGAGGATTAAAGGCAGAAATGAGTTTAAAATATCAGCCTTGTTATCATTTATAATCACTTTAACTATAAATATCAATTACAGTGAACAAGAAAGGAAAAGAAAAGTAAATATTGAAATGAGTAGTTGAACAGTAATTTCATGTCAATTGATTATCATGATGGATACTAATCAAGTAACAAAATGATATTAAATATTAATTTGATTCTTGATGGGTTTTTAATGTTGTGCAAACTTTGCATTTCCAACGTTTGTATCGGTGAATGTAATTTGCCTGCTTTTTTTGTGTCCAATTACCAATCAACACAATTAATTGACATCAACTCATTTCGGGCTTCTTGTCTTGAGGCGCTTTTTGGGCGCTTATTTACACCAAAATAAAGTGAAAAGTTGGTTGCTTTGTATCAACTTGTTGCGCTTTTAACAAAGTATCAAAAGCTTTTCTTGAGTTTCATTGAATTTTGCTCAAGTTAACAGTAAAAGTGTGTGTTTCAGTTGACATTTGATTCTCTTTTAACCTTGTTCTGCAGTTGATTTGAATATTGATTAACAATTAAATCATTTATTAATCAATGAAGTTAAACAAAATTTACTTTTGCAAGAAGTTCATTTTCTCGACTCTTTCAAAGTTGAATTTCAACTCAGCTAATTGACAGGTTAGATAATGTTATTAAAGAGATATTTTTCATTGAAACTTTTCCAATCAATTTAATCATGTAAAATGATTGAACAAATTACAATGTTTTTCATTGAAGTTATCAAATTTTCTTTTGATGTAAACCAGTTCAAGGAGGAAACGCAAGAAAAAAAGAGAAAAAAATGGCAACTTTTCTGGTCATTTTTTCGTCTAAATGAACAAAAAGAAATGTTCATTATCATGAAAACTATCATCAACCAATCCATCGAGCCGTAGGAATGACCTTACCCAGTAATCAGGGACAATTACAGGGTAAACAGGGTTTTGAATCAGTGAAGATATACTGAACCAGATAATCTGTTTTAATGGGGTTACCCTGAGATAATTCATTTTCTCAGTCATTTATTTTTTTCTCATTCAATTTGACTTTTTTTTTCTTTCTTCAACAACAAATTGAAAAGATTGATAATTATTATAGTCATCATGGAGATGGGAATGATGAGTTGAAAGTAACTGTACAAAGTGTTGGGTTGAAGAGTAAAAATTGAAATATTTCAATGGAAAACAGATTGATGGTGAAAATGTGAATGTTTAAACTCGGATGAAGGATTGACTTTAATTGTGAAAACTTTACTCTCCATTGATTTAACCAACTATTCAATTTGAGTATTGTTACTATCAAATTGATATTGATTGTTGATTGTCAGTTATTGTTGCTGTAAAATCCTGTTTGGAGCTGAGTAATAAGAGTTGGATAATAATGGAAATAATCCTGACAATTGTAATTGTTACCAATGATACAGAATTTTGCTTTTCAAAACACTATTCATTAACTTTTGACCAATATCTCCAATCAAAGGAACTGGTCAAACTAATGATACCGTCATTAATCATTATCATTGTATTCAAATCTATTATCACTATTAATATTCAGTTTCATTCCAAGGTTAATAATTTGGGTTAAATTGTTTTCTGATGAGATCTTGAGATCAACTTGATTAAGAATTTTCAAAATGGTAAATAAAGTTTGCTAAAATTTACGATCCGATCGTAATGGTTTAATGAGCAGTTTAATGTCAATCGGCTAGTTTAATCAGTGGCAACACTGTTAATGGTCATTTAAATGATAAGGTTTACCATTTAAAATTGTCAATTAACTAATCCAAGACTGAATCTTAATGGTTTTTGATGCTTTAATGATGTCTTATTTTTGCAAGTCTGTTAATGACAATTAATGTGACAAAATCACTGATAAAGTGTTTTACGAAACATTCAAAGTTGATCGACTATTTCATGATGTTTAAACAAGAATCTAATTGTAAACTTTGAATATTATTGATTAAATTGATCAACAACTGGGTAAACAATCAACTGATTATTGAGTCAGTATTTAGGGCAGTTGGAAAGGCTACTGTGACATTTAGGACGCGTTTTCAATGAAGAAGACAATTTTAAAGGTAGATTAAAAATAGTATCAATTGCGAGGCTAGACAATTTGAATAGTTGCTTTAACCTAATTAAATATGTTTACAATGAAAAGGTTTCAAAGGGAAGAGTTGATGAATTTGGTTCATCTAAATTTGTTGGACAATTGCACGTTGAGTTACAATTAGTTATAAAAAATGGAAAAGTTGATTAAGTTGAATTTTCAGCTAAAGCTTAATCAATTGAGCTTTTTTAAGATTTATTGTTGAACATTAACAGGTTTTGGGAATCAATATTAAGGTGTTGATAATGAGTCGAGTTACATTGATCATTAACTGTAAATCACGTAATCAGTAATTGTTAGTGAATTTAATATGTTGATTGGCCATTTTTCGGTAGTCGTTAGGTGACGAGTTGATAAATGAGTGAAAACCAATTTGGTTAACCTGGTTTGGGTTGTGCATTTAATTATGAAAGTGTTTAAAATTATTACGCCGCGATTATCGTTATTGGTGTTCAACAAACGTCTAAGGTTTATGATTGAATGAGCGTCACTCAAATCAATGAAAAGCTTTTAATTGCACCAAATGATCAGGACTGATGAGTAGAGTGAAAACAAAAGCAACATTTGAAATGATTAAACAAGTGAATCATGATTTGGATAAATTGTTATAAACTATTGAAATTGTTAAACAAATGAACATTTCAAGTGACAAAAGGAATAAAAACAATTTTGCAAAAATCTTTTCAAGATGTTTTCATTTCTTTAAATTGAATGGCAAACGTTTTGTTTCCGTTTAAATGAAAACCTCAAAATTGTTGTTTCTGTATGATGATGATGATGATGATGATGAATCAACTTGAATGAACCTTTTCAGTTTTCACTTTTGAACAGTTTACCTTTTTTCAAGATCGATAGTGAAAATAACTAAAGACTAACTTATTGCCAAGCCTTTCATTGAGAAGATCAACTCTTTGTTTAAAAGTCAAGGGCAATTATTCAGGTATAATTATAATTTAGCAAATTATTCAAAGTATAACATTTGAAATGAACTTAACCATTGAAAGACATTTGAACCTTTTCAAACGGGTTCCATTGAATTGATCAAGCAGATGGTTTCAACTCAACAGCAAAAGTTGAGTAATTCAGATTGAGCAATTCAGTGTAATTTCACTATCAAAAAGATGTTGCCTTTGAATATCACATTTGATTGAAACAAAATTGTCAAGAAAATGGTGATTATGAGAAAAGTGAAAATTCAATTGCAGAAGCAAATTTCCAATCAATTTCACAAATGGCTAACATGGAGAACAATGAAACTATTCAACTCATGGCGATGATATTTTATCCTGTCTCGACACATTGATTGAAAACAAATTTTGTTATTATGTCGAGATGATCGAAGAGTAATTGTGCTTTAATTCATTGAATTTATTGAAATTATTGTTTTGAAAAAAGGTTAACAATCAATGAATAGGAATCACATCAAGACGTTATCATTGTAACCATCTGAAACCATGGTAAACCAACGTTAACATGGAAACGAAAAGTAACTCAATGAAGCTCTTCTAATCTTATCTTTTAATCAGTTGATGAGTGATAATCTTCCACTTTTACCAATCAAACTTATATTTCATCATTTGCCATTTAGTTTTCATAGAAGCTGTTTATAACTGTTTACTGTTTGTCGTCTTGTCCAACTAAATAAACCCATTTATAAGGTAAAACAATTTGATGGCTTTTAACGGGCAAAAGTCATCCTTAGGTGCTCGACTCGCAATTGATAAATTAACCAAGAAATCTCATGAATCCAATAATCAACGAACCCAGATTGGAATATGTCAAAGTCTACTTAAACAACATTCAACATTGTTGCAAGTATTAATAGTTGTTTCAATTTTATCAATTCTACCATTAAGTTCCAACGGTTTAAGGTAAGTAGCAAAATGAAGCTTTTCTTGTTCTCAATTGATTTTCCCTTTTCTTTTGTTCCACAGTTTCAATGATGAATTTTACGAAAGATTACCTGCACAAGCGATTGCCTCGATAGGAACTGATGCCAATGAGTACGAGGATGGGTTGCAGGTTTACACTAGTCAAGAGTTTACTCGATCCTGTTTTGTCAAGATCAACTATAAACAAATGTGCATCGAGTATGGACCAAACTGTGAATTCAAGTTTGAATGGAGTTATCCTGAGTCACTTCTGGAGCAAATCAAGAAAGGGTTTGATCCACGAATAAGGATTCAAGATGATTTACCTGTTAGTCTCAAGAATAATCCAGATTATCAGATTTACTCTTCTCATTTACTGATTGCCAATACTGGCTACTCTCATCATGGTATCTGGTCATGCAATTTCAAGTTCATTAACAATGATAATGGTAAAATTGATTCATGGCAACATACGTTTAACATCGATATAATTGGTGAGTCGATTGAACCCAAAAAAGACATTTTTGTTCATTTTCAGAGAAAATCACTTGTTTTTTCCATTTTAATCATTGGGTTAACATTTCAATTATCTCATTAATTATGACGCTAATGATAGTTTTATCACTAATTGACTATTATTGACTTGTTATATTATTTATACAACATTTCATTGATTGGCTTTTGGTGCATAATTAGTTTAGTTGTTATTATTGAATCATAAAGTGACTCATTTTATGGTGACTTCAGTAGCCTATGAAAAAGGATTAGACAATAGGTAAAGTAAGTTCAAGAATGATTGTTGATTACATTGGTCTTTAAAACAACAAGTATGAGTGTTTTGATGAGGAAAACCTGATAATGGATTCAACTAGCATTTCTTAGCTGTTTGTCAATAAAATCCTGATTGCTGTCTATTTTCAATTACTCAGTCTCAATGTAAGTCATACTTGATCCTCAAGATGTCTGAGTTTCATTTGCTTCGTTATCAATCAAATCAAAAGTAAATCGTAAATAAATGTATTACTCAGTGAAAACTGTCACAAAATGTCAGATAAAATGTAACCCAAATAAACCCAATTTGCTAGTTACATTGACCCACTACAATTAGCACAATATAATAATAAAACACAAACTATAATTATAAGAGTAAACCTGAAACGGAATCTGATTAACCTTTTTTTGTTTTTTTCCAGAAAATGGAGTTCGAGGTTCACCATGTGCAACCAATGACCATTGCTCGAGTAACTATTGTAAAAATGATCTGTGTGTTTGTGATGCTGATGCACCCATTTTGATTGGCGATTTATGCAAAAAAGGTAAGTTCTCAATGATTAGAATCTGAAGAAAATTCTGACTAGGTCTTACTGTATTTTATAGATTTTGCTCGATGCATTTGATTTTCTAATTAAAGCATCGACTTTAATTTTCTCATCAATTTCTTGTTGAACATGCAATAGCAACTATAATAATCTTCATTTAATTACATTGTAACTTGTGACTAATGGAGTGACTCTTAAAAATAATCAAAAGTATCATGAATTTCAGATAGAAATGATAAGAATGAAATAACGTTTTAACATTTTTCTATTTTGTCAACTTTAAAGCTCCAAAACTTGGCGAAAACTGTGCCGTCGATGCCGATTGTGAGATAAACATTGAAGATGCTAAATGCTTCTGTACTAATCCGTCAAATTTGACGACTAATGAGGATTGCTCGAACTTGGGTAAATGTCAATGTCCACCTTCATACATTGCTGTCAACTTGGGTCTTGGAAGCTATCGTTGTCTAAAAAAAGGTAATTATTTTCAAATTGATGTCGATTTGATAAAACTGCTACAAGATATTAAATTTTACAAATTTTCTTATTCTTCTCAGCTCGAATCAATGAACATTGCTATCGAAGTCAGCAATGTGAAGCTATCGACCCATCTACCTACTGTTCATTCAAAAATCGTTGCACCTGTCGATCTGGAAAAACTTGTATAACACCATCAATTAGACTTTGCAATACTAAACTAGATTGTAATAATATCAATGAATACTGTGGCAATGGACGATGTCAAACGGTTAAAGATCTCAATGAAGCTTGCACATCTTCAGATGAATGTGATCCAAACGCTCAGTGTTCACCGACCAGATCAGTTTGCGTTTGTTCGCCTGGTTACAAAGTATCGCCTGTTAAAATGATTTGCATTCCCAAAGAGTATTGTTACACTGATTTAGACTGTGAACACGGTTATTGCAGTGACAATTCAACTTGTATTCAAGGAGTTCCCCTGTTGGGTCAATGTTATGCCACTAAACAATGTCAGGCCTACGATGCAAACAGCTACTGTGATGATGAAACAAACAAATGTACCTGTGGACCCGGTTATTACAAAAATTCAGAAGGCAGTTGTCTGTTGGAAGGTACATGCTATAATGACGAAGATTGTGACCAAGAGAAGGGTGGCCTTTGTTACTACAACGAGTGTGTTTATCGCAAAAAACTGCATTCTTCATGTAAAGAGGCAAGACAATGTTTCCTTTCAACCAAATACAGTCTCTGCGATGAAGGTAAATGTGCTTGTCTGAATGGACGTGAATTGGGCCAAGATACTTGTCCACAGTACAAAAATTGTCAAGTTAATAGTGATTGCTCAAAAATAATCAATTCTCACTGTCACCGAGAGAAACTGGTTTGCACCTGTAATGCTGATCATATCCTCAACATCGACGGCTATTGTTACAAAAAAGCTTTATCGCCATCTTCAGATAAAGGTAAGTAAAGACCCTCACTAGAGCCATGAAAAAATGTTGACTTTTTTGTCGATCTCTTGAAACCCGATTTGAGTTTAGTTCGATTTGACAAAAAAGACTTGCTCAAAATCAAGTTTCAAGATTTTGACAGAAATAGACTCGACTATTTCCCAGCTTCACGAGCTTCATGAGCTTAATCATTTCTATCTGACATTGAATACTTTTTCATTTGAAATTCCTATTTTCTTTATCAGGTGACTTTTGGATTAAACTTTGGAACGATTACTACATTTACATAATAATTGGAGCTGCAATCGCTGGTTTCTTGCTTTCAGTCATCATTTGTTACTGCTGTAAATTATGTAGTCCCAGTAGATCCAATCAGCCTAGTCGCAGGACTGGTCGAACTAGGTAAATTGGTTGAGCTTATCTTTCCATTACTCCTCACTTAATCTTGCCTCTCTTTTCCCTTCTCTTACACTCTTACAGGGGTGGATTTGATAAACCAGTTTCGGGAGTTTACGTACCCAATCCGCCTTCAGCACCACCGCCACCTTATCAACCCTCAACCATATCTAGAAACTTTTGATACTCAAGATAAATTGAACGTCCATTCATTTTGTAAAATAAGTTAGTGACAAAGATCAAGACAATGATTGTAAAAAGTAAAGTTTTAAACTCGAGATTGACAAAACATTTGTGGTCACCGCTGTGCAGACCATTTGTAATGACCAACTTGCAATTGCAAAAGTATTATAAATGTTAGTTATAACTTATAAGTACAAATAAATAAATTGTTGCAATAAATGGTTGAAATTTGTCCATTGAAGAGGGTTTTTAAATGTGAATCTCAAAAAGATTGATTAATGGTGATTTGAATTAATATGGATTAATATTTAATCTGTTGCTTCCTACACTTTAATTTGATCAAGTTAATGATAGCGATTTAAGAGGGGCTGCAATTAATCAAGTTTAACATCATTAACCGAAAGCATTTTGTGAGTGAGTGTAAATGCACTGTCAATGCATTGATGGTCAACTTACCTCGACTTGTAAAGAGCGAAGTTGTATTCCATGAAGGATTGTACGGACATTTGCCACTTGCATCTTCTTCACTTTCAATCGTGTTCAGAGAATCAGATTTTCTCCATGAACAAACTGGCTTGAAAGCGTTGGTTCCACAGACAAAAATGTTGACTGAATCACCCTCGGCAAGGGTTGAATTGACTTCGGTTGTGTTTTTGCCCAACAGCACTTTGACATAATTACGGCAAAGCGATTCCGATTGACCTTTCATTCGACATGCCCGAATAGCATCTCCATTGGCAGGCCAGTTTATTATGTTGTCATTCGTTATATTTAAATGGTTTGTTTCTAATCGAATGATTGTGTCTCTGAAAATCAATTAAAATCAAGAGTTAGATAATATTTAAACAAGTCTGATGAGGCTCACGATATTCAACCAGATAATCACTTATGTGCTTGGTAACAAAGTTTAAATGAAACACTTATTTACAAATTGATTGGCTGATAGTAATTAACAGATGCTTCATTTAATGTGAAATCACTTTTCTTGCCATTAATAGTCAATAGACAAATAATGATTAGTCAAAGGCGCAATATTCAACTTGAACAACTAATAAACAAAAATATGAAATGAATTGTCTCTCAATGGCATACTTTTGACGCTTGATAAACACAAGTGGTTTTGGGCAAACAAAATTACCAAAGACTGGTCAAAGATCCAGATCAAAGTACAATATTTTGACACAAATGTCCAATGAGATCAACGACCTGATCGATGATCATTCAATGACATGATTCTCAAGGCAAGTCAATATTGTTATGAGTTTAATTAACTCAACTTTAAATTAATATTAATGAGTTTTAATCAATAACAATTATCTTGGCACAACAACAAGACAGTTTTATCTCATTTGAATCTGGATTCCCATGATTTAGCATCAGGTCAGAATGAACAACAAAAATTAATGATGAGATTGAAACAGCAAAAAAAAGGTAAACATCAAAAAACTAAACAACATAATCAGTTAAACAATATTTTTGTTGTTTTCATGTTGAGATGAAATTAATGAAGTCGCCTCTTGTCATCATTTTAAAACAAAAAGCAGTTTAAATCAAATGATGATCACTTTGATTGCAAGTTAATTATTAACTTGAAATTACTTGATGAGAATCGCAACTGTTTTGTATTTTTTCCTTTCATTTTCTTCTTCTTTCCTCTGATAAATTTCAAAATAACAATTGAATTGAATCGCTTGAATTTACTCGAAAAACTTCCCGTTTCCGTTTCATTAACAAAACCAACAATCAAAACGTGTAATTATGATTAATTGCAATTGTAAACAGTAGGCTTGAAGGTTTCCATTGAAATCAACAGCTTTTTAATTTAAACAAATTGTCACACTTCATCTTCTATGTGGTCACTTATTTTGGTCAAATGTTTGTCAACCAAACTACAAGCCATTAGAGTTTTCCATTTTTTAAATACAATTTAATTTAATTGCTTCTTTTAACACATTGTTAACTTGATAGTCTATTTTGCAGTTTAATTAATGTTGAGCTGATTACAACAAATGATTAACTAAAACAATGGTTATCAATTAAGGGGCAATCCGATCAACAAGAAATGTTGTTTAAAATTAGGATAAAAATGTTAGTAAAGATAAGATAAGATAAAATTTCAATAATTTGTGACGTCACTAATTTACAAAGATCCGATCAACCAATTTTATCCACATTTCGGACATGCGTCTGTCGCCAATTAAAAAATTTTTCCCGGTGGACATTATTGAGATTAAATTTTAGTGATAATTAGATTTACTTTCTTATCAGTTTTCAATCTAATTGAAATTTTTATCTAAATAATTGTCTTGATCGGATTGCCCCTAAGTCAATAACAAGAGCAAAAGGCAGCTTTTAATTTTTTGATTAACTTTTAATTTCTGCCAATATTAAATTGTTTTTCTTCCATAATCAGAATGTTAATCATTAATTACATTTATTAATAAGGATTGCGCTCAAAGGCATAGACACGAGTTACAGTTTTTCATCAAACAATTAACCAATTTACTAATTAAGCAAAAGACTAAACAATAACCACGAAAGACTATTAAGCGATTTTCTGGATTCTATTGAACATTTTTCATGAACAATCTGATTCAGCTAATAATTCATCTGTTAATCCCAATGATTAGCATTAAAAGATAATAAAAAAAGTTCAATATTGATGATAAATCATGAGGATAATAAGGTAAAATGGCAATAATAAGTAGAGACACCTTTTTTCCTTTCAAATTATAAATGCAATTGTAATGGTCAAGTGGAAAGGTAAGTCCAACTGTTGATCATCAAATTGGTAAAGTGGCAAGACTAAAGTGTGTAAAGTTGTTCAGTTTTACTGGTAAAAATTGAACTTAATAAGGTCGAGATATTGACACTTGAAAATTCAAGTTTTTGTTATTCAATTTCATCGATAGTTAGGTTATTGATTTAAAACTCCTACTTGATCTTATTTGGTAGGGACAAGACAAGTTAATAAAAGGTAATGAGAAGTGGCAAAAAAACAAAAATGATCATTTTTAAGGTTGAGTGAAAAGACTAATTCATGATTAGATCAACAAAACTCAAGGTAACCTCAAATTTTCATCATTTTTTGTTCATTCATTTTTAGCTGCTCAAGTTTTCACCTAAACTGAATTGACATTGATGTTGGAGGAAAAAAAAGTGTTTTAACAAATCGTTATTACTATGATTTGCCAAGATTGAGATAAATGATTAAAATGGTTAAATACGAGGACAACCAATGTTGACATTGAGCCTACATGGGATCATGACTTTTATCAAATCTGGTGAACGGAAGAAATTGTTTTGGAAAGATTTTGCAAGAAATTTGGTGAAACGTGAGTTTACGAAAAGTGGAAATTGTCGATTAAATTTCTTAATTTATCTGGTAATTGTCGTCTTTAAATAAGGCTTGTTTAATTTAGTTTACCACTCACTGTTTAACTATTAGAGGATGATAATGTTTACTGATCTCACCATTATGATGATGGCTGATTGAATGATTAAATAACCTGAATCAGGTGATTTCTAAGGTGGTGTTGGAATTGAGTAAGGAATGGTTACTTTGATTACCAATAAATGGATGCAACTATTCACTGCATCATATCATGATTAAGACTCAATATCCAGTTATTCAGTGAATCAATAGTCAAGAGTCTTCAGTTAATCATTATCTTTATTCACTGATCATCAATGAATCAAAATTGTATTCATATTGCAACTTGAACATGACTACCATGAAAGATGGTTTTTTGATTGAACCTCAATTGAAAGCTTGTTAATGATAGTCGATTGTTGTTTACAATTTATTAATTTTCGTTGAAAATTGTTTCCAATTAAGAAACAATTAAACCTTGAACAGAATAATCTTGTTGGACAGATTTGTACGAAAAAAGCGGTTTAAGTCGAAGGTAAATTTTGGAGTGAAATGGAAAATTCGGTCAAATTGTTCAATATTGTTATTCAATGTTGGCAAGTAACTTGGCTCAATTATTCTGATAATTGTTGCACTCAAAGAATGAATTTGCAGAAAATTAGAATATTGAAATTATTCAAGGTATTCAGGATTAAAATGATAATAGATTGGATTAGGATAACAATTAGAGTGAGCCTCAATGAGTTTAACACTCCTAGAAGACAATTAGCATTCTTGTGCATATTTAAAGCTAATAGTGATCAGGATTCAATCAGGTTATGAAGATGTAATAAGTTAATGGTTAACCTTCAATTAACACTTGAATTTAGCTTTAAATGATAACAATAACAATTATAAACTAATATGATGATGGAAATGATAAGTAAAGATTTAAAAGATTGACCAAAAATAAAAGCCAATCCTAAATTGCAGTTCAAGTGGCAACCTAATGATGAGTAATAATGGCCGAGCAATACAGGGAAGATGAGTTAGTTGAAATGATTGAAGTTTGAAAACAATGTGCAAATTGATTGTTGCAATTGATACACTGATTGTTACCCAAAGATAAAAGTAGAAAAGATGAGAATCAAAAACTTGTACCCACAAGATGAAGGCTTTACAATTGAATTGTGAATCAACAATCAATTTTTTAATCACTTTTTAATTTTGCATAATTTTCATCATTAATTTGTTTTCCAGTGGACACAAGTTTAACTTTAATTTTTCATTGATTCTCATGTTACTTTACTCTTTGTTGTAAATACAATTAGCTGCTAAACAAAGGAAAATCATGAGACAGGAAATAATTGTGATTGTAACTGTAAATTGTTTAGATGTTTAATTTAAATCAATATATAAAAAAAGGCAAAGGGAAGGTCAATTTAATTGTTGGTTTATTTGATTGTTTGCAGTTATTGTTGTTGTTATGTTTCTTTTTTTGTTGTAACCATCTAATTGATTGAGCCTGGTTAACTGGTTACAGCAAAAACTCTGGCAAACAATAAGGCAACAAAATTAGAGGAAACGTTGTTTTTACAAACAATTGCAATAAACAATTTAATTTGGTGTAAATTGTAAATTTTTGAGCTTCAATTAGTTGATGGACAAATGGCTCTGCATTAGGTGTAAGCAACCTTTCAATGGGTGAAATGGTTAACATTATAATTTAGTTATTAAATTTGTAAAGCAACAAAAAGTTAAATCAGGAAATGAATTGGAATTTGTTCAAAGGGAAAAATTCACAACTGATGAGCAAAAAGATGAATGAAAGGGTTGATCATGTTTGAGTGTAAAAACAGTCGAGTAAAGTAGAGTAACAGTAAATTGTAGATAATTTAGTTTAATTTTGTCTTTGAATAAATCAAATCAAGTGTGGGTCGAGACTGTGTTTTATCATGTTAATCATTTGATAGTGATTTCGATCATAATTCCTCTTATTTACCATATTGTTAGCATTCATTAGAAAATCTAATTTTACAATTAGAACAGTGAATCATTTTCACTTTTTAATCGCACGCAATCAACAGATCTCAATTAAAATGATAATGAAAAGGTTGACTTGAAGAGTGAGGCAAAATTGAATTTGTTGTCCATCAAATGGTCATAATTTCATGATAAATTGTTGTTGAAACAAACAAATGAGATTAACCAATGATTGGCTACAATTACATTTTATCATTTATCTTATTAGTGATATGCGTGTCAATCATCATTGTAGATTCATCATTTCAGCACAATCAGTTTTGTTCAAGTGTTAACTCAGAGAAATGAAGAAGTGTTTGCGTGAAAAGAAAAGCATAAGTAAACTTTTGGTAAAACCTTATTTTGTTGTACAATTATGATAATCATTATCATCATCAATAGTGATTAAAATTAGCACAACAATAACAACCAGGAATGGTGAATCCAATGAAAGTCAAATGAGAGAAAAGTTGGAAAATCAAATTGATGGTTCAATCTAATTGTGTTTTATTAATAAAACTCAATACTTTATCACTATCAGTTTCTAATCGATTTGTATTGCAGTTGATTCTTCAATCTTTTTTGTTCCAAACTCATGATGGATTCTTCTTTTTTCCTTTTTAACAGCAAAAGGAGAAACATGTTTATTATCGTTGGCATCATTGAGATTAGGTGTGGCCAGTTTCATGAAATAATCGCAAATTGTGATTCCATGGATGAATTACAAAGACGATCAAGACACTTACAATGTGAGGAGCGACTCTTAACTCTTGATTGATGCCTTCAGCAACTAGACCCACCCAATAATCATCGGCATCATCATTGGGTTAACATGGAAAAATTATTATTATTATTAATAGATTAGTTTAATCAAATCACTATTTAATGTGCAAAATGGTAAAGTTGCAACTGAAATAATTGTCATGAAAATGAGTTGAACAAATTCAAATTAATGAAAAATATTCATTTGAGAAAAGAAAAGGTTTCAACAAATTCACTCAAGATTTCAAGTTAATTCAATTGAATCAATCATTTGAAAAATTGTAACAATCAAAGAAGATTTAATTTCAAAATTTGATATTCATTGAGTTTGTAGGCATTTCAGGTGTATATTAAGTAAACAAACGTTGAGATGATTTTTCATTCAGTAAATTTGATCATGTTAAATTGTTGAACGCGTTGAAATCAGATCACAAATTGAGTCCATAACATCGTTCGGTGAGCAATTAAGTAACCACAATTTGCTGATTGCCTTACGGGTGAAAGTGCAACTTGAAAGCGGCGATTTTTAGCTTCCAATCGATGGTTAAAGTGAAGATGAACAGTTAAAGGAGTAAAAATTGAATTTAAATAAAATACATTTTCAAGAGTGCAACCATGTTTGGTACAAATTCAACTTTTTCTTCTTCTCCTTTTTACATGACAAACCAGTTTAATCATGTAATCAGAATCATTTTGTTTCTACTCTTTTTTGCTATCAAAAATCAGATCAGCCCATGTTAAGAGGGTCAAGTTTTTTGAATTTTTTTTCTCTCGACCTTTAACTTAATCACTTTTGATATAAAAATATAAAGCATTTTAAAATGCGAAAGAAAAAAAACTCAAGATTGATCTTATTTGGGTTTCAGTTTTTCATATTATCCGCTTCTGAGTTATTAGTAATCATCTGGCGATTTTGATTTAGATTAAACAGTAAATTAAGATGATTTCAGGTGATTACAAGTTTATTAGACAAGTTAACTAGATTGAATGATAAAGGTAAATGAACAACATTGTAACAGATTTCAACAAATCTAAATTGAGCGTCATTTAACATTTAATCTGAGTAATGTTTTCCAACATTAATTAGACATAATTTGGGTTTAATCAGCAATAAATTTGTTAATTTATCCAAGTTGCTCATGTTTAATGGAAACCAATTGAAAGTGTATTTAAATTTGTAATGTTTTTCAAGAATAATTAGTAATGGCCATTTGTTTGCATCTTTTCATTGTACAAACTTGTACATCAACATTTCAGGTAACAATCAATGATGTCTCTTTGTGTTGATTATCAAAGCCATTTATCATCATCTTAATTCATCATTTACAAGTTTACAATCGGAAAGAGTGAAAGAGAAAAGATAAAATTGAATGAAAAGTTGACATAAAAAAAACAGATCAATCAGTAGCACCAATCATCTGTAACACATTAAGGGTTAACTTACCGCAATTGGAGATAATATTGATAATGGTTAACCCCTTAAAGTGAAAAGCAGTTTTAGGAAGTTGAAACAAAAGGCTGTTCAAAGTTCATTTAGCACTCATGAAAAGCTGAACAATTTGGCAGACAAAAAAAAGAGTAAATCACTTGAAATTACAATGAAAACAAGCAATAAAAGGTGATAACAAAAAGGTGAAAATATGGCGCTACAAGAAGCTGAAAAATGGATAAACTTGATTAAAGAAAGTAAATTATCGGAAAATGATTGGATCGAGATAATGAAAGGAAATGTTTACAACTTTTGTTTTCATCTTGTTTGGATGTTATTTTGAAAGGGTTTTCCGGTTTGATGTAAACGCAAAATCAAGTCATAATGGTCAACATTTCAAGAGACAATTGTATGTTAATTGAAGATATTTCAGGTGAATCAGTTAATGCTGCATGTAAATGGATGAAATGATCATGATAATATCTCATTATCATTGGGACAAAGCATATTAAAGGTTGCAAGAGTAAAGTGCAAAATGTTATTCTATTAGAGGGAAGAGGAAAAAAAGGTTGAAATTGTAGTTGATTCTTGTTTACTGGGCTTGTTGATGAGTTGTTGGTCAGTGGGTTTTTCATTTAGATGGTCAATCAGGTCATCAGGGTTAAGATGGTAATAAAGCTTTAATCTGCATTCATCTTCATCACAGTTATTTAAATATATCTTCACTTGTAATCTCAATGTTGACACACCCTGGTACAAAAGAAGGTTAACTCTTGACCAGGTCAACCGTTAAAGTGTGGTCAGCCTTTTTTACTAATTAATTACATTTAATCTTCATTTAATGTACATTTAATGGACATTTAATGGCTAACTGTTGTGAGAGTAAAGCTCATTGACAAATGTAACAGTGTTCAAAGGCTTTTGGCAAATCAAAATGAAAACATGATTCAAGATGTGCCTTTACCTGAGTTTACTTGCATAACTGGGAGCAATACAATTGCACTTGTCTGGGTTAAAACTGGTCAGATTGATGACTAAGGGCAAATTGCAAAATAATTGGGCAATTATTTTATTCATCAAATTTCACCTGTGTTTATGCTTTCATTTAACTTTCACCTGGAATTAAATGTTGGATTGGTAAAGGTGAGATTATGTTGTGAGGGTAAATGATAACTATTTTTGATAAACTTTTAGGTGAAAGTGGTTAAACTTGAGGAATTGAAATAAAGGTTTGATACAAAGTTTTATGCAAGGATAAGGAAGAGCATTGTCTTGAAGCTCAGAGCAAAAGTATTTGGAAGATTCATTCTAACCATGAATCACGAAATTGTATTTATAGAGGTTTTGAGTGCAATTACAAATCGATAACTCACCTCGAACCGAGAATTTTGATAGATATTGCTAAATTGAGATTTCTCTGTCAATTAGCTAACCGTCATATTTGAACCATTAACATTTGAAAATAGATCAATAAGTTCAAGTTTTCATGAATGATGAATCTCTCAAAATGGAAACGAAATACAATATTGAAATTGGGTCTAATTGATGTTCAGAAAAGAAGCTCTGAAATGAAATTAAGATTACCGAGTGATCTTTCAGTTTACAGGGAAAATTGTTAATAATTTTGAAGTAAACTTTACCTGTTGAGATTTGTCATTTTGTTGAATAAAATTTTCTCAAGGTTTTGTAACTGTAATCTTGAAATGAATTCACGATTGCATGGTTATTTGGTTGGAAAATTTTTTGCTCAACGAACAAGTTAATTGGTTGATGAAAAAAAGTAGATTTGTGGGTAATTTATTTTTTTGCTCGAGACAAAGTCACTCGACCATGGTCAGTTGACTGAAGATGGTGAAAATGGTCAGTTAGGAGCGGTAAATGGTAAAGGTAAATACATTGGTAAACTAAAGTGAAAAAAGCACACAAAAATTTCAAGGTAAACTGGTCAGGTTGGTTGAAAACCAGGTAACCAGGTAAATCAGTGGCCAAGACGATATAACCTGAGGTCAGGTTTTACAAACGGATTTAGCGCAAAGGGTCCCGAGAAGGGCAAATAAAAAAGAAAAGTTGCTTTTTAAAGGTTAAAATAATGCAAAAGGTAACTTTAGTGTAATGAGCATCAAAAAATATTGCAACTTTAACCCTTATTTGGCTTTAAATTATCAACAATATTTAAAGCAAAATAATAAACAAACGTTAATCTAGTGATTAAAAAGTCACAAATGGCAGACTAAAGGCAAAGAGTAAAGCAAGAGAGATGGAAATCAATTTACTTTACTCTTTGGTAAAGGTCCAGTAAAGGATCAAAAGTTGACTTTGGTCAGGGTTAGTTTGGATTATTTTAAAACTGATAATCAAATGATGTCAAAAGTGAAACATTTATTGGTGCATCTAAATTCCTATCATAATTAATTGATAAGTTATTCAAAGGGGAGTGTGATTGTGATGAGACAATGATGTTCAGTGCATTTTCTGGAATCAATTGTGTTTTTTTGCTCCACAACCTGATAAGATGGTTGAAAGGTAGAGAGAGATTGTAATTTTTATCAATATCAATGTTATTTGTGCCTCATTGGGTGAATTGAGAATAACAATTATGAGTCGAGTTTTTATGTCTCTCATTGGTTTACATTGATTGTTATTGGAATTAAAGTAAATCGCATTGTAAAGAAGTTAGTTTTCTGGTTGCAACTCATTGTTCAACATGGTGCTTGAAAATTACTGTGGTTACAATGCATGGGTAAGTATCAGTTTGTGAAATGGTTAAAGTAAAGTTAACTTTTAATTTTCAACAAAAATTGAACAGAACCTGAACAAGTTATGGAACTCTGAAACGCTACTATTTCCACCATGTTTAAGCGACACTGGACTACTTTGGATAGCCGCTGGATTCATCTGGATCTCGTGTCCATTTGCAATTCATTCAGTCGCTTCGAGTTCGGGTAAAAAGTTGCCCTGGACTTTACTCATTTTCACTAAAATAGTTGAGTATTTTAACCAGAAATGGATTTACACAATTACTAACTTTTTATCAATCTTTTTCCTCTTCCATTCATCTTTAAATCTTGGACTAATCGTATGACCATTAGATTGTTGGATTAATACTCATTGTGTCAAGTGCTTTTGAATTTATAAGTTCATTGATTGAACTTCGAAGTGATGAAATTACTTATCCAACTGATTATTATACTCCATTCATAAAACTATTGACTTATGTGAGTAAAAATTTATATTTTGTTTCCTTCGACGTGCTTTTTCAATTTCAATTTTGATCAAATCTATCGAAAAATATAACGCAATTAGGTTTGCAAGCATATCGATGAAATGCACCTAGTTATCAGTTTTCACTAACAAAGGTTTTTATTTAGTTTTTTTCATAAAAAATGATGCAAGTGATTGTGTTAATCAATTGATGTGAGATTAATCAATGAATGCAATCTGATTATTTTAGGAAAGCAAAAGTTAGATGCAACTGGTGATAACTTGATCAAAATGAGGAAAAGGTTGAAACACTAATGATAATCTTTGATCAATATGTAACTAAATCCTTTCCTTTTGCAACACTTCGCTATAACAGATTTTGGCCTTTTTCTTAATATTACTTTATCGTCGTAAAGGAGCTCACACTTCAGGATTATTGTTCATTTTTTGGCTTCTTATGACAATCTATTCATCAATCAACTTTTCAACGTTAATAGCTTCCCTTAAATACCCTGTAAGTGGACAATCAAAAGTTAAATTTAATCATTCATACAAAACAATCGATTAATTTTTATGCATTTCTTTCCTAAATACGCACTTCAAGTCTGTACAGAGTTGGTCATTTGATAAAAGCGATATAATCAACAAATCGTTGCAAACTTCGGCAACAATTTGTCAATTGATTTTGTATTGTTTCGCCGATACTCGAAGACAAGTATTCACAGAAGACGTTCAGGTAAATTGACCATTAAGTAAATGAACTTTAAATTGAGATATTTTTACTGTTGACTCTAGAATGAATGTCCATATGCAAGTTCATCGTTCATCAGTCGATTGCTCTTTTTCTGGTACGATTCAATGGCACTCAAAGGATTCCGTAAAACGCTTACACAGGGTGACATGTGGAACCTGATTAGTGATAATCAAACACAAACCATTGAGAAACACTTTGATCCTCATTTACAATCTGCAACTGAATACATTCAATACAGCAATTATGATAAACCAACGACAAGTTCATCTCAAAGAAGGTCAACCCTTAAAGTTAGCATTTTGGGTGTTTTAATTAAAGCTTTTTGGCCAGTTCTACTGTTTGGTGCGATTTGCAAATTGATTTCAAGTTTACTGGTATTTGCAAGTCCACAGTTGATGGATGCACTTTTAACTTTCATCGTTTCCGATGAACCAGCCTGGAAAGGTTACACCATTGCAATCGGAATGTTTACCGCTGCTCTGTTCCAATCGATATTGGACTCGCAATATGAATTTTGGACACAAACAACTTCAATGAGAATGAGATCGGCCTTGTTGGCAACAATTTATCGAAAGGTAAAAAGGAAAAATCCTTTTCTAATTCAAACAACATTTGAAAATCTAATTTCAACCTTTTTTCTGTTATCTTCAGAGTCTCAGGTTATCGAGTTTAGGAAGACGAGATTTCACTACAGGTGAAATTGTCAACCTAATGGCTGTTGATACTCAACGAATTGTTGACTATGTTAACATCGTTAATTTTGTTTGGTCTTCACCGGTTCAATTAGTTATCACTGTTTACCTATTATGGCGACAGTTGGGTGTTTCATCGATTGCTGGTTTAGCTATTATGTTGATCTTGGTTCCCTTTAATGGGTTGGTTACGACAAAGTTTAAAAATTGTCAACTTCGTTTGATGAAGGAAAAGGATGCTCGATCTAAATTGGTTTCTGAAGTTCTCAATGGAATGAAGGTGTTGAAATTGTATGCTTGGGAAGGAGCTTTTGGTGATATCATTGCATCAATCAGAAAGAATGAAATTGATGCGCTTAAAATGCAAGCAATCTGGTCAGCTGGAATTACATTTGCCTTTGCATGTGCACCTTTCCTGGTAAGATTACATCATTACACAAATCATTTTCAATGAGCTTTTCATTGTTTGTTAAACTCAACGTTCACTCAACTCTCTCTACTTTTCATGTTTAATCATCAGATAACTGTCATCAGCTTTGCAACTTACGTGCTTATCGATAAAAGTCATGTTCTTGATGCAAACAAAGCATTTGTATCAATCTCATTGATTAACATTCTTAGTGGACCTTTAGCCTTTCTACCCATTGTGGTGACATATGGAGCTAATGTAAGTACACAAAATGACAATCAACTAAAGACAGAAATGGTCAACTTAGAAATTCAATTTTCACGATTATTCTTTTGCAGTTCTTCATTTCAATTCGTCGAATAAACAAATATCTTCAAGGAGATGAACTGGATGAGGATGCAATCTTGCATGAAGTTGATCCAACAACTCCAGTAACAATACGAAATGCTTCCTTCTCATGGTCACCCGATGAAGAGGAAACCCTCAAAGACATTGACATGGAAGTTAGCAAGCAAAAGTTGGTTGCTATTGTTGGAACTGTTGGAAGCGGTAAATCATCTTTACTCTCGGCTTTGTTGGGTGATTTGTACAAGAAGCAGGGCTATGTTAATGTATATGGTAAAATAGCGTATGTACCTCAATCGGCTTGGATACAAAATGCAACGGTTCGAAACAACATCATCTTTGGATCACCTTTTGTCAAAGACAAGTACGACAAGGTAATTGAAGCTTGTGCACTGGCTCCTGATTTACAAATTTTAACTGGCGGTGATCAAACGGAAATTGGTGAGAGAGGAATCAACGTCTCGGGAGGTCAAAAACAGCGAATCTCCATTGCTCGAGCCGTTTACTCCAATTCCGACATTTACTTGCTCGATGATCCACTTTCAGCGGTTGATGCTCATGTAGCCAAACACTTGTTTGACAAGGTTATTGGACCAAAAGGTTTGCTCAAGAATAAAACTCGTCTTTTGGTGACTCACAGGATAACCTTTTTACCCCAAGTCGATCAAATAATTGTCATGAAAGATGGTAAATTCCGTGAAAGTGGAACTTATGCTGAGCTGATGGCTAAAAAGGGTGAATTTGCAGACTTTATTGTTCAATATTTGGCTGAACAGGGCGATGAATTGGATCCAGAAGCGGCAAGTTTGATAAAGACTTTGGCTCCTGAAATCGATGCTAAATTGTCACAGGCAAGATCTGAAGCTTCAAGTGGTTCACTAACCTCATCACTTCGCCAACGAAAGGGAACCTCTATGGTTAGACGTCGTACATCAACAATAACAAGTGGACTAACTCAGGCTGGAGATGAAGTCAATGAGAAGGAAAACAAGTTCAAACTGATTGAGAGTGAAACAGCTGAAACTGGTTCGGTCAAGTTAAAGGTTTACCTCGACTATTTTGTGGCTATTGGAGTAACTGCTTGTATAATGCTAATCATTTTGTTTGGAGCTTCAAGTGCCTTCAATTTGGGTACCAATTTATGGTTAACTGCCTGGTCTGATGACTCGTTGAACCCAGCCAACAACAACAACACAGCTCTTCGTAACAAACGGCTTGGAGTTTACACAGCTTTAGGCTTGTCCGAGACCATTTTCACCCTTGCCAACACCATTGTTATGAACATTTGCATTGTGAATGGTGCCAAATGGATCCACGAGAAAATGTTGACTCGTCTAATTAGAGCTCCAATGTCATTTTTTGATACAACTCCATTGGGACGGATACTCAATCGATTCACCAAAGATATTGATACAGCTGATACAACAATTAGTTTCAATCTTCGTCTTCTTGTATCACAATTGTTCCGTACAATTGTATCCATTATAGTCATTTGTTTGGAAACAACCTATTTAATTGTCGTAATTATTGTTCTTGGTGTTGTTTACATTTTGGTCCAGGTAAAATATCATTTAATAATATCGCTCATTTTATTACATATTTGCTAACCTTTTCTCGTTTGTTGACAGAAATTTTACATTTCCAGTTCACGACAATTGCGTCGTATTGAATCAGTTACTCGATCACCAATTTACTCACACTTTTCGGAAACGGTTACAGGATCAACATCAATTCGAGCTTATGGAGCATCGGAAAGATTCACCAATGAAATGTACACTCGAATTGATATCAATCACAGTTCATTTTATCCCAATGTTGGTGCTAACCGTTGGTTAGCCATAAGACTTGAATTATTGGGCAACTTGATTGTAACGATAACAGCCTTGTTTGCCGTCATTACAAAAGGAGGATCAAGTCCTGGTACTACTGGACTATCAATCAGTTATGCATTACAAATTACAAGCATCTTGAACATGTTGGTTCGAGCAGTTTCAGATGTCGAGACAAACATTGTTTCAATTGAACGTTGCTTAGAGTATACAAGAGTACCTACTGAGGTAAGCATCAAATTAAACTAAAATTCAATTTCAAACTGAACAACATTTTTTGAAACTTTCATCTTTTCAGGCTCCATGGGTTATACCATCACATCGACCCAAAGATAATTGGCCCAAAAAGGGGCAAATTTCGTTCAAAAGCTACTCAACTCGATATCGACCCGGTCTTGATCTGGTATTGAAGGACATTGTGTGTACCATCCAACCCAATGAAAAGGTTGGAATTGTTGGACGAACTGGAGCAGGTAAATCATCATTAACACTTGCCTTGTTCCGTCTAATCGAACCTGCAAGTGGAACCATTACCATCGATGAAGAGGATATAACGCAATTGGGACTTCACGATTTACGATCTCGACTGACGGTTATACCACAAGATCCAGTGCTTTTCTCGGGTTCCTTTAGACGTAACTTTGATCCATTTGATATGTACACTGATCGGGAAATTTGGCGTGCACTTGAACAAGCCCACTTGAAGAGTTTTGTTGACACTTTGGACTCGGGGTTGGAACATGAGATTGCTGAGGGAGGAGAGAATCTAAGTGTTGGTCAAAGGCAACTTGTTTGCCTGACTCGTGCTCTTCTGCGAAAGACCAAAGTTCTAATTCTTGATGAGGCAACAGCTGCAGTAGATGTTGAAACTGATGAACTGATTCAGGAAACAATCCGTAAAGAGTTTAAAAATTGTACCATTGTTACAATTGCCCACAGGTTAAACACAATCATGGATTACGATAAGATCATAGTCATGGATAAAGGTCAAATCATCGAATACGATTCACCTAAAAATCTTCTTGCCGATACTAAAACAGTCTTCTATTCAATGGCAAAAGATGCTAAACTTGTTTAAATTTTTTAACAAATTTTTTCTTTTTTAAACCTAAGTTTTAATCAAACATTTTTGATATATAATATTCATGCAAATATTCATTCATTAACTTCATGTATTTGGAAATAAATTAAATGACAAAATAAATTATTTTGTATTCAACTGAAAAAGCATTCAATTTTTATTGCAATCTAATGAAATAAAATGATATAACAAAACGAAATTGCTTTTTTCCTCAATTTACCTTTTTTATCATTCTGCTTCTTCCACCTTCGGAGGTCATTTAGAAGTCTCGGAAAAATATTTATCGAACATCTTAAAGTTTCCTAATCTTGTGTATATATTTATTTAAGGGTAATAATATCTCTAGCTTTTACCTATCTCTAGTAGTTGCAGCTCTCACATGGTTATCATTTGGGTTTACTCACCAATATCATCTTCAAATCTCATCTTGGAGAGTCTTTCACAAGATCTGAGAAAATAGTGAAACAAATCAAAGTAGCAATGATTAACGTGAAATCAGGTTTAATATGAATCAAGGATATTGTTTACTTTTCTGGTCAACAAATGATTACTAATTTTTGACCATCAATTGGCCAGTTTAATGAAACAATCATTCATTCAATCAATTTTTTAGATTAACTTCTAATGTGGTCTTCATCAATCTGTCCATTTGATGCTTTCAAATGAAACATTGTTTTTTTACATTGTATTAACAATATCAACAGGTTAACAAAAAAAAATCAAAGGTAATAAAGCAATTCATAATAAACTGTCGATTATTGTTTCTGGCTGTTTGCATTTTTCAAAAACAATATGATCAAGATTGATATACTTGTAAGGATATACACTCAACAGTGTGATATCAGTTACTCAAACACAATCATATCTTTCCTCTGTTCATCATCACTCTCACTGTTAGGCCTAACCAATTTGTTAATAGTTTTGCATTTCATGAAAATGATTGAATACTTTGGACAATTTGTGAGATCACCAAATCACTCAATAGCCATGTTAAATGTAGATGATGTACAATTTGCAAAGGACAAAGTCTCTTTTTTTTGGGTGAAAAAAAGCAGATTTGAAAACAGTGCATAGCAAATAGACAAAGAAACCGTGCAGATACAAAGTAAAGTTTGTTGAAAAAATAGACAGCAAATGTGTAATGAGGGAAATATGTGCTGATGAAGATGACAAGGACGAAGATGAAGGGGAAGACAAAGAAGAAGAGAAAGATTATGATGTCTTGAATGTGTCCAGGAAAGTATGTGATTTACAAAGAGATGATGATATGAGAAGGAAGAGAAGAGAATAGTTTTGAAAATTGTTTCCTTTGCTTCAACATCTTCAACATCTTTAGCAACTCTCAACATTTGGTGAACAAAAAAAAGAGCCTCTTCTCTAGACGAAATTAACCTCTACAATATGACCTTTTGCCTCCGTGTGGGTCATTTTGTAATGGTAATAATATTTATTAGTAATGGTAGCAAAGTTGAACAAAATATCAAATTACAGTTAGACTACAGCGTAGGTAACATTAATGTTAACAGAAAAATAGTTCAAGTTGAATTGCAAGTCGACTGGACCGATAACTGTTTTAAGAGTAGATTCAACTCTTAACCTGACTAGCATTGTATCTTGAATCTAACTTTAGACTCTTTTTTTTATTATTATTCAAAAATATCGAGCTTTAATTGAGTTAAAAATGACCAACAGTGATGGTGTTAATGATGATATCAACAGTCAACATTAACAACAAAAGTGAAGTGTGATGTATTAACAAAAAAATGAAAGTTGTAAGTAAAGGCACAATATTAGTCGTGAAAATGATTACTTTTATTCATTTAATCGTGCAAATGAGTCCGGAAATTATCTGGTAAACAACACTGATCATTGTTCTGATATGTAATATTTTGTCTACCTTTAACTTAAAACCTTTGATAGGTTCATCATGATCATCTTTTACAGCAAAATGATTCCATTGAAATGATCATCATAAACATTTCACCACTAAAAGCATCATCTAAAGAATATTATTGACAGTTACAAAATAATAGAAAACCTGATTTTAAGGTAGAAAAAAAAGCTAACCGAATATCAGGTAAACATAATGATTAAGATTGGAAGCTTTGGTAACACGCTTATCATTGGATAAAGTTGAGTTAACCGTTTATAAAAAAAAAGTTGAAGTAAACATTACATTTGGTTTAAAGAAAATGAACCTTTTGTAATCAATATGGCGGGATATTTTTCAACACCATTATTGATCTTCAACAATAAGCTTTCAACTGTTTGATCATATTCTTTCATTTTCAAATTTCTGTTAATGTTTACTGATTACTGGACTTCTCTTTCTTTCTTACCTTACTTTATAACTTTTTTTTACTGCTGTTGGTTAACTGCTTAGCCCTGAGCTGTTGATTTGATTTGGTTAGTTGGTCGTAGGCTGATCATGTTTTCAAGTTGCCGCAATCAATCCAAAAAAAGTCAAAAGTTAATCAACCAGAAACACTCACACACAAGTTGAAACCATTTCAATGTTTTCGAATAAATTCAGGTAAATATTGAAACTGAAATGAAAATTATTCTACTGCTAAAAAACCGGGAAATAAACAACCATCAGAATCGTTTTAGTGTTGAATATCGTGGGCTTTTACTCATCATTTTTATCGTTATCTTCTTTCTATTTGAAGAAAGAGTTTAAAATTGGAAAGAATAGAAAACACGTGAAAAGAAAATATTTGATCAACTTACCTTGCACCAATAATTAGGTGACTTTGTGAGGGTTCAACTAAAATCTGGGCATAATGAAGTATATCCGGTGAGGTAAAAGTGTCCATTTGTTGACCACAACATAGAGTCACAAAAATTTGGCAAGTAAAAAAAGCTAATTTAAAATCCAATATCGATGACCCAAACATTTTCATTGCAAGTTGACAAAAACTGGTTAAATTATATCACAGACGGTTAGGTTTACGGTTTATTTTTGGGTTGACTTTTGAACAGTTGATAATAACATTCAATTAATCCAAATGTTGGTCACAAAATTTGATTAACAAAACATTAGTAGCCATATTTAATCCAAACAGTTGCTGGTTAGAAGGTAATTTCACACTATTAGTCATTGGAAAAGAAATGTTGATTTGATATTTTGATTTCTGGTTTCACTTTTTTTCTGGTTGTCAGTTAAGTTGAAGGTAAAAATGGTTAACTTGTTCAATAGAAAGACAATTTACTTTTCATTGTAATCACACCAAGTTTTTGGGTTGTCCATAATTAAATTAATTGCTGTTATATTTACAAATAAGTTACAGTTAATGTAATCATGGCGACCAGATAAATGAAAATCTGATACAAGATAGTAATGTTAGTCTCAGCAAAGCAAACTTTCAACTGAAAACTCTTAAACTGAAAAAACAACATTTCCAAGCAAAACTCACTTTACTCTCTTCTTCTTCTTTCTTTTCCCTGATTCCCTCTTCTCTCTCTTTCTCTCTTTCTATTTAATCTTGGTTTATTCGTTATTTCTCTTTCTTTCTTCTCTCTCTCAGCCTTTCCTTTTCCTCTGTATTTACTCACAATTTCCTGTCTTAAACTTCTCTCTGTGATTTTTCAAACCAAACCTTAAAACTTCAAGTCAACCATTGAAAGTTAAACTTCATTAGTTTGCTTCAAAATTGAATCTATTTTTGTTCATCAATTTATCCCAATGACCATTGAAGCAGGACTTTAAACTTAGATTAATGTTTTGACCATTCATTTAAACCCTTTTTGGTTAATTGTTTCTCTGTCAATTATGATTTGTTGCTTCTCAAAAATTTAAAATGTTTGATCGCCCAATAAGCGACATTTCATTTATTTTTGTCAATTTATTTCAATTCTGTTAACTTTTAGCCAGAGGTCAACTTTGAAAGACAATTTAAATCGCAATTATGTCATTTTACAATGCAAGTTAATAGTCAATTAATTTTTCATTTTCATCAATCACTGTTTGAACCTTTTTCTAGAGTCTCCATCTAGCGATATAGAATAAAACAAATTTCATGCATTCGCCATTTTACGTTACTTTTAGTTACCGGTTGAAAACATTGTAATGTGATGATGTTGCTGATGGTGATAACGATTGAATTTTAAAAGAAACGACTTGATAGCAACAGAATCGTGTCTCAATCCAATCAAATACATCATCATTTAAACGTATTTTGACTCCAATTACCGGTATAACACGCCAAGAATTAAAATGTAATCCATTTTGTTACTTTCAATTTTCATTTTCACTGGTTTAATAGCATAAAAGTTTAATTGATTAAGACGTTAGATTAAAGGATGAATTACTAAATGAATAGAAACATACAAAAGCTGAATAACAATAAAGTGCTTAAGGAAGTGAGTATGGTTTATGATTAGCGTTTGATAGTTTATTATCCATCGATTATGACTAGCTGAACAAATCTGCGTATCTCTGATCTCTCGGCAGTTTTTAATAAATTTGCTTTCGGATTTCGATTGTATTTTTGTTCTGTTGTAGTTCAATTTTAAATTTGTTTAAAATTGTTTTACCATTTAAAAGATGTTTTTTTCCATCTATAATTCAAGTTTTATCGATGTTGATTGAATGTACATGTATTGCACTCAGGAAAAAGAGTTTTGCGACAAGCCTTGATCGAGAGTGCATTTTTCATTTGTAAAGCAAATTCAGTTCGTGATTATAGTCTAGTGATTGAAGAGTAAATTGTGATTTATTCAAAGAATTTATGGAAATTGCTGTTTTGAAAAAAATTCAACAATCAAGTAATAGCAATCACGCCAAGACGTTATCATTGTAACCAACTGAAACCATGGTAAACCAACGTTAACATGGAAACGAAAAGTAATCAAAATGAACAGAGTAACGAAAGAGTTTCTTACTCCTAGCACCACAATTCCTATTATACGGCAACAAATCTTAAAGGGTGCTGTGTCTGTAGACAATAATCTGATATATTATTAGATGAAAACATCCAACACAAGGTGAAGGTTAAAATTTTCATTGGCCATTTCCGTCTTTTTCAGTTCGATCTCCATTCAGATAAAATATGGCAGGTATAACACGTTTAAGCTCATGCAGTCTCTGAAGCTCTTCTAATCTTATCCTTTAATCGTTTGATGATTGACGATCTTCCACTTTCACAAATCAAATATTTCATCATTTGCCAGTTTAGTTTTCATAGAAGCTGTTTATAACTGTTTACTGTTTGTCGTTTCGTCCAACTAAATAAAACAATTTGATGGCTTTTAACGGGCAAAAGTCATCTTTAGTGTCTCGACTCACGATTGATAATCAACGAACCCAGATTCAGATTAATCAAAGACTACTCAAACATTCAACATTGTTAAAAGTGTTAATAGTTGTTTCAATTTTATCAATTTTACCAAGTTCCAATGGTAAACCGTTGGAAAATGAAACTAGGTAAGTAAAGGGTGTAACAGGCAAAACTAAATGAGATCTAGATGTTGAATTAACAAAATTGGTCGGAGTAGACTCATTTGGACAAATTTCTTTAAGAGATGAATGCAAATTACATAAACGCCTTAATTGGCCATAGATGGTGTTAAATTTCAATATTCTTAGCAAATTTCTTGATAACAGTTGACCAGCTGTGTTCATTCAACATCTAGAGCTCAGACAGTTTGTCCTGTTTATCTTTTAGCAAAATGAAACATTTCTTGTTCTCATTTGATTTCTTCTTTTCTTTTGTCCCACAGTTTCAGTGATGAATTTTTCGAAAGACTACCTAAAAAAGAGATTGTCTCGATAGGAACTGATGCCAATGAGTACGAGGATGGGTTGCAGGTTTACACTAGTCAAGAGTTTACTCGATCCTGTTTTGTCAAGATCAACTATAAACAAATGTGCATCGAGTATGGACCAAACTGTGAATTCAAGTTTGAATGGAGTTATCCTGAGTCACTTTTGGAGCAAATCAAGAAAGGGTTTGATCCAAGAATAAGGATTCAAGATGATTTACCTGTTAGTCTGAAGAATAATCCAGATTATCAGATTTACTCTTCCCATTTACTGATTAACAATACTGGCTACTCTCATCGTGGTAACTGGTCATGCAATTTCAAGTTCATTAACAATGATAATGGTAAAATTGACTCATGGCAGCATGCGTTTAACATCGATATAATTGGTGAGCATTAAGTGAACAATTGAGTTAGTTTGAACATAGAAGGCTTCGTTCGTCTTTTCCACGGTTCTTTGACTGATATGCAAAACAAATATTGTTAGCGCTATAACTTTCATTAATTATGATATAAGATTATTTGCAACTTAAAGATGAATCTTATATTGGTCTTAGAAACAACAAGTATGAGTGTTGAGGCAAACTAGATACATATAAATGGATTCAACTAAAGAGTGCAACACCTAAAAACGCGCAGATGAAGTAACTAAATTTTATGCAGAAAATTTAGCGTTTTCACCAAATTTTATGATTAAGGTAAGATAGCTTTTCTTGTTACCTTCTTCATCTGTGGGTTTTTAAGTGCCATACCCTTTAGCATTTCTTAGCTGTTTGTCAATCAAATCCTGATTGTTGTCTATTTTCAATTACTCAGTCTCAATGTAAGTCATACTTGATCCTCAAGATGTCTGAGTTTCATTTGCTTCGTTATCAATCAAATCAAAAGTAAATCGTAAATAAATGTATTACTCAGTGAAAACTATCACAAAAGTCAGATAGTCTTAAGAATAAGACTGGAATGGAATAATTTGATTATCTTTTTTTGTGTTTTTTTCAGAAAATGGAGTTCGAGGTTCACCTTGTTCTACCAATGACCATTGTTCGAGTAATAACTGTAAAAATAATACTTGTGTTTGTGACGCTGATGCACCCTTTTTGGTTGGTGATTTATGCAAAAAAGGTAAGTTCTCAATGATTAGAATCTGAAGAAAATTGTGACAATTTTTTTCTGAATTTTATTGCTTTTAGTCAACTCAATTTGATGCAATTTCTAATTTCTATTTTTCTCACCCATTTCTTCTTGACATGTAATGTAATACTGTTCATATGCACAAAATTGACTGTTATTGCTACATAAAAAGAATTATCGCCATCATCAGATGAAGGTAAGTAGACGTTGCTAGAGCCATGAAAAAGTGTTGACTTTATTTTTGTCGATATCTTGAAACTTGAAAACTCAGACTTACATTCTTGAATTATTCATTATTATGATTGGATTATGAAAAAAACTGGGACAAAACCAATTTTCAAGATTTGAAAGAAAGTCAAGTCTATTGTCTGAAGTACAGATGGACTCGAATATTGCTCAGCTTCATGAGCTTCATGAGCTATTATGAACCGAAACTGTTATTTTCTTCAACAGATTCCTTCTGGATCAAACTTTGGCATGATTATGAAGCTTACATAATCATTGGAGGCTCAATTGCTGGTTTCTTGCTTTTTACTATTATTTGTTGTAAATATTGTGGAGGCAGGCAATGTAAATGTGTATGCACATGTAAATCAATCTAGTCGCAGGACTGGTCGAACCAGGTAAATTAGTTGAGCTCATCTTTTCATTACTCAAAACTTAATCTTGTCTCTTTTTTTCATTCTCTTAAACTCTTTCAGGGGTGCATTTGATGAACCGGTACATTTAAGCTGATTCTACACAAATGAGAGAGGAATGGATAACTTTACTCTGCATCCACCAAAATTTTTAATAAGTCTAGATTCTGAATGGACACATTGAATGTTATTTTCAAATTGACAAAAGTGATTTTAAATTATCTTCCAGTGCTTAAAATTTGAATAAAACTTGAAACAATAATAAGCAGGTCCTGAAATTTTACCAGGCGTATTTATTCCCTTATTTTGATCAATTTATCAAAGAACTTCCTAAATCAAATCGTACCAGTTAAGCATTTTATTGTTATTTTGAATGTTTTTAGCCGTTTGAAAGCTCATCTAACATCTTAATCAATTAAACGTTTATGTTTATTAAACCAGTGAGAATGAAAATTGAAAGCAACAACGAAAAACAAAATGGATTACATTTTAACTCTTCAGTGTATTATACCGGTAATTGGAGTCAAAATACGTTCAAATGATGATGTATTTGATTGGATTGAGACACGATTCTGTTGCTATCAAGTCGTTTCTTTTAAAATCCAATCATTATCACCATCAGCAACATCATCACATTACAATGTTTATCAACCGGTAACTCAATTTAAACTCACTTTATTTTCTGGTTTCTTCTTACTTCTAATTGAATCGGATATCGTTTCGTTTAACAAAATGAAATGAAAAGTTGAAAATTTGATAGCCTCAAGCAATGACAATCATCGTTAACATGATCCTAATCAATTAATTGATTAACTCGGATAACTCTTCTTCCTTTACTTGCTTGTTTCAATTTTCATTTCTATTGTTTTTAAAACCTTTTTCTGTTCAATTACAATTTTTATGTGATCACCATTATCAATTGTTTTCCTGGTTAACTTTACAGTTTCATTTTAATTATGAAGATGATTTTTCATGAGATTAACAGTTTTTCATCTCATTTGAAGATTTACCTTAATCACTCTGATGAACATCAGTGACAACAATAATAATTCATCATTCCATCAATTTTTATGTTCTGAAAGTGCAAATCAGATCAGAGTATCTGATTCAAAGGTGTAAGTTACTTTTTGTTTAAACAATATTACCGTCATAGCAGTTATATAAATCATTCTGTTCATTTATTTGACCAAAAATGATGAGCAAACAATTGCCTGGAAGATCATCGATAGTTTGATTATTTAGTCTTCGTTAGTTATTAAGAAGTTAGAAAGAAAAAGAAAACCTTTGAGAAAACAATTTTTCATGAAATCAAAACCTAGGCTCATTTTTTCACCCTTAGTCGATAACTGAGGCCAATCTGACTGAATTTCACGGAAATTCTCATCAAAATAAAACTTGATTGATCGTCCATGTAGTTTATTATAACCTTGAACATAGTTAGCGGCCTCTTGAGTGACTCCAGGACAATCACGAATAACAAATAACACTAAATTGGGTAAAATGCGAACCAATTGCTCCACATGTTCATTTTCCATGTCATAGTAGCCGTAAATTGCAAGATGTTTAAGATTTGGATATTTTATGAACAATCTTTTCAATTCACTCCATTCGACACCTTCGGGATACTGAGAATATACAGATTAGTTAATTAATATAGATGAAATCAGATACATTTGTCATGATAAACCTCTTTGATTAGTTTGATTTGGAAATAAATTGCAAGAATATAACAAAAATCAGCAAATTAAATCAATACTTACAAAATCTAAAACTAAATCTTGCAAGGATTTGTGTTTTAGTGATTCAGTAACAAAAAGGCGATTAAAGTCAAATTTAATATGAGCACTTTGTAAGTTTGGACATGAATCCATGAACTGGAAACCATTCCAAGAAGATGAGACCAATGCAAGTATTTTAAGTCTTGTCAATATGGGACCATTGTAGGGTCCATCAGGGTTCGCTGAGGATGCAAGGTGAATGTTCATTATCAAAAGTTTCTTCAAAATATATTTAAAAATCACCTTCATTTTAAATGTATAGTCTTTCGAGATTTGGAAAATAATGTGCATTTTCTGTGAATTTATCTAATCTATAGTTGTAAAGGTACAACTGTTTAATATTGAAACCAATCTTTTCTATGCACGGCTCAATTTGTTTGATGGAAACCATTTCGAGTTCATCACAATATTGAAAAACTGATCCTTCATCGCTATGGATTGGATGAAATAATCCTTTTAAATGTTTTATCTTTTTGACCAATTTAACGATATCTTCATGCTTTACTTTTACGCGGAATCTGTCAGAAAAGTCGGCAATCTGAGGTAATAAGATATATTAATGCATCATCATTATTCAGTTAACAATAAAAGCTCAATGATTCAACAAACCATTAAATTTGGGAATAATGTGCTGAGACAAGTTCCATCGATCGGTTCCTCTGTTCGATAATAAATCCAATCAAACGGATAACTTAGAGATAATTCATCATTACGCCAATCTTGATGTTCTGAAAATAAAATTAGTTGAATGAAGGAATTAATTCATAATGAGAATCTGTGGTGATAATAATTTGAGTCTTACCAATTAAATATTTAACTTTTCTGGTTCGCTCTGCAATTAAATGGCTCCATTTGCTGCATACTGCAAGAAAAAAAGTGTTGAATTGCTAAATTTTCTGTTTGATTCTGTTTGTTTGACATTTGAAAACATATACAGTTATAATGCTGAAATCCAGTGAAATGATAATATTCTTCAAATTGTTATAATCTAAATTAAGACACTATAGCACTGAGATTTGTCAATTTAGTTTAATGGTTTTAACTTAGATCGGAGTATCTGATTCTGAAATTTAACTCTTTGTTCAAAACGAAATTACCTTTATAGCAGTTTAACAAATCATCCAATTCATTAATTAAATCAAAAATGAGCAGCAAACAATCGTCTGGAAGTTCATTGATAGACATTATAAAATCAACAAATGCTTAAGCCTAACAATTCACTTGTTAAAACAGATACTGAGATCTAGAGATGTGATTCATTTTAACAAACATAAGCTTTATTAGAAATTATTTGCACACAAACAAAAAAGCGAGAAAAATGCAGTGAATCAGCAATAAAACACATCAACAGCACTGACCCTTGATTAAATAATACAATAATTAATAATATAATAATAAAGATACAGTCACCATTGAGATATTGCGGTAAAGCCTATTTTTACTTTGGAGTTATCTCCTTGGATTCAATTCTTTGAAAGATGATAGTTGGTAGTATTGGATACATGGCGTGTGGCGCGAGTTTTGTCTTTACGCTTTTGTTGATATCGATCACGATTGTAGCCAGAATTAGTTAAACAAGGACAATATTTGCAAGAATATTTTGATACAGAATCAAGTTTTTCAGATAATATGGGACCAGATATTTTTCCACCACTTTATCCACCAATTTTTTTACCTTACCGTCTTTTAGACCATTTACACCATCTAACACATCCACTATTAATCGCCATCATACCCCAAAAGTGGTCAAAAATTCGATGGATTTGGGTGGTGGATAATCTTATAAAAAATTGTTCGAAAATGTGTTGAAAAAAGCCACTTTTAAAGTGGTGGATAAAGTGGTTGATGTGGTGGAAAAAAGCCGGTCCCGATAATATTTTTATTCTTTGTTGATCAATTTCTAGTTCCAGTAAACTTTCTATTTGTTCATTCAAACGATGAATTCTAAAAGCACAAATTGAATTTGAACACTCGGTATTGCTTTGATTGCACCAACAGAAGGTAATTCTATCGAACTTTGTGAATAATCATTAGGCATGATGAAAAAACTATTTTAATATAAAATTTATGCTAAAAATGTCAATTTTTATCACTATATCCCGAGGATTCTATATCACAATTTGTTTATAAAAATCCTTTGCATCTTTTTCCATTTAATTTTCAAGTATCAAATCTCTGCCACATCAGAACATCGACTGATTCCAATTCTGTTTCATTTATCTTGATTTGATTGGCCAACATAGTTTTTAATGTGTTTTATGCAACCTAGTAACCTAAAATTACAATCAAAATGATGAGAAAAAAAGTAAATCATAGTAACTAATTAATTAAATGTAAACTTACTTCGTTTCTTCTGATCATTGTTGAGGGCATTGAAATATTTTTTTGGTTCGATCGGATTGTTTTTTCTGATTTCCTTTTCTTTCAACCAATAATGGGATTTTCGGCAAGCTTAAAGTTTTTTATTGGTTTAACTAATTAATTCTAGTGCTTAAAATTTGAATAAAACTTGATGCAATAATAAGCAGGTCCTTATTATGACCCTTATTTTGATCAATTTATCAAGGAACTTCCTAAATCAAATCGTACCAGTTAAGCATTTTATTGTTATTTTGAATGTTTTTAGCCGTTTGAAAGCTCATCTAACATCTTAATCAATTAAACGTTTATGTTTATTAAACCAGTGAGAATAAGAATTGAAAGCAACAACAGAAAACAAAATGGATTACATTTTAACTCTTCTTTGTATTATACCGGTAATTGGAGTCAAAATACGTTTAAATGATGATGCATTTGATTCGATTGAGACACGATTCTGTTTTATCAAGTCGTTTCTTTTAAAATTCAATCGTTATCATCATCAGCAACATCACCACATTACAATGTTTTCAACCGGTAACTCAATTTAAACTCACTTTATTTTCTGGTTTCTTCTTACTTCTAATTTAATCGGATATCGTTTCGTTTAACAAAATGAAATGAAAAGTTGAAAATTTGATAGCCTCAAGCAATGACAATCATCTTTAACATGATCATAATCAATTAATTGATTAACTTGGATAACTCTTCCTTCACTTGCTTGTTTCAATTTCCATTCCTATTGTTTTTAAACCTTTTTCTGTTCAATTACAATTTTTATGTGATCACCATTATCAATTGTTTTCCTGGTTAACTTTACAGTTTTATTTTAATTATGAAGATGATTTTTCATGAGATTAACAGTTTTTCGTCTCATTTGAAGATTTACCTTAATCACTCTGATGAACATGATTTTTAAGCCTTGAAGATCAATCACGATCATGTTGGTGTTAGTCTTGATTATAACTGATATTCCTGTTTGGCCTGGATTTTCTCTACAAGTGTTTATTGTTTTCTTTGAGAATCACAATTGAAAGTGAATCGAACGAGATGATGCTCAACAATTTAAATACACTGTTTATCAATCTTCATCTCTCACATAATTAACCATAAGGTCAAAGATGAGGGTGCATTCATTAAATGCTTGTTAAAATGATGCGCATCAAGCAAATGCCTTCATGGACATCAAAATAAAACAAATTGATCATTACATTATAATGTTTACCAACTGGTAACTCATTTAATCAAATGTAAAATGGTTGTTTTCAAATTGACTTAAATAACATGTATTTCTAGCTATATTGAATGTACTGTATTGTGTAATATTGTACTCACAAGGCAAGTTATTCAAGTCCCAACCACCGATTTTCATGTTTAATGGATCATCGCGAGATCACAGCAAATTGGTAAAAAATGGAATCTATTAAAAGTTAAAACAAAACAACTCTTTCATTTAATAGTCCAATCAACAGCATAAATTTATTAGAAATTACAACCATTATTGATGAATTATTAATTATTAGAGAATAAAAAACTTTAATACGATTGTTTTTATTGGAAAATAAATCGTTAGCATTCATGAACATTAAAAAATTGTTTTTAACCAACAAAATTTCATCAATAAAACTATTCAAATGAATTGAAGTCTATCACTTAGCTTATTTAGTCTATCATCAGGAAGTCTACCATCATTGAGTTTTGACCTCTTACCAATCACAAAGCGTTCAATTACTAAGATATTTTACAATGAGATTGAATATTCCCTTCAACGGATCCTTGAGATTAATCTTTCGTGATATTTATAGCAAAACAGATCAAGATCAATCTGCATTTGATACAATAAAAACTTATGCAGCAATTACACTTGGAAAAGTACCAATTGAATGGATTATTGATCAGAACGCTTTGAACGGTACTTGTGATTCATCCATTTGTTCACCACCTTACCTCCAGTCAATTCAATCTGGCCTCAATGATGCTTCATTCCCAGCAGAGGCAATGGAACTTTTTACATTGGTTCCAGAAAACATGAGTTTCAGTTCAATGATGGTCACTGATGATTGTGGTTTTGTCAACTTTTATACAGAAACTGCAGTTAAATCAAAATATCCCGGAATCTTGACCAGTTTTCAAATAATCCAACTCAATGTTTACATTTTAATTGGTTTCTTGCTCGCCCTCGGAGTTTACATTCATTTAGTTCGTGAGAAAAGTTTACCTTGGCCTTTCAAAGGCATAACAAAACAGCTTATTTATGGAAAATTTGGGCTCATAGTTTTGGTCATTTGTTATTTTGCCGTCTTTTATGTCTACGTATTATTATGCTCTTCATTTACGACCAACTATTCGATTCAATCTCGAGATGCACCTTTGGTTTATTTGGATGATCTCAACAAGTCAACTCAACTTGTAGCTGCAGATTATAATGGTTACTGTGCTGTCAAGATGACAAAATATTCAAATCGTATTGATACAGTTACGATTGAAAAATTCTCTAGCTATTTCCAGGATCATTTATTCGATGATAGAATCGTACGTTTTGGATCAGTGAATTCTATTGAGGGTTACATAAGAATATTTTGCAACTTAATGATCAACGTCAAGAAAACTGACAACTTTTACATTCATGTTAGTAATCAGCGTTATTTCAATACTTTACGGTTACTGGTTTATCACAAGTTCATCGAGAAGAGCAAGAAAAAGTTTCTGCAACGGGTAATCTATTCTTGCGTTGAGATGGGCTATTGTTTTGACGCATTTGATCGGGCAGTCAGAGCGGTTCTCGAGAAAAGAAGCGCATTATATAAAACTTGTGCTCAGTGCAAACTCTACGAACAAATTGAAAGCTATCCAATGTCATTTCATCCGATTGCATTCATCACGATTAAAGATTTACTCTATCTTTTTGTTCTTCTCGTGAGTCTTTCAGGTTTCGTTTTAATCATTGAATTAAACTGCAAATGGAATAACATCAGTAGAAGCAAGACATTTCTGTCGAGAAAGCGGTTGACGGTCGTTCATCCAATGTATTACTACTGTATGTAATACTACTTGAGTCAACAATGCTTGCAAATAATGCAACATCCAAATCACTCGAAAAACCACATAATTTTAACAAATCTAGCAGTAATTTCCGCTTCTTTCATTGTTATAATTGATCAACCGATGCGTTGAATTGAATGTACACCGAGTTCCTATTAAGCATTAAAATTGAAAATCTAAAACTGTCTTTTTTCAGCTTTGGTTAGCAAGTTATAATCAAACTTGTCGATATTAGGTAATTTGGAGCAATTTAGCATATTTCGAGCTACAATATTTAGAGAACGATCAGTTTGCCAACACTCAAACTTACTGAATATAACTTGCAGTATGGGAATAAAATGTTTGGATGAAAATTCAGACATTACAGATGTACTAAAACTAATGTTACAAAACAAAGATTTCACAGGAGAATGAACTTTTGAACCCGAACTGTAACATTGCAAATAAAGTGTTACAATGTTGCCGAAGACTACTGTCAGTTGTAGCGATGATACTTTTAATCGATATTAGTCGACAACGAATTTATCATAACAATACTCATTGACAAAACTCTTGATGTTTATAATAACTACAAATGGCGTCGTTACGATGATAATATTGCTGAATCGCAAAAAATGATAAATAAGGAAATCTATTGAAAATTCAAACAAAACAATCATTTATCCTTTAACTAATTAATAGACGTTCAATCGAAAATATAAATTCAATTAAAATTCGAAATCATTATTGATGAATTTTAATTATTCAATAATAAAATTATAATTGTTTTTATTGGAAAATGAAGAGTTAATCGTTTCATGCAATAACATTCACTGAAACCTTGAAATTGGAGTCTATCATTTAATTTAGTTTTGGCCTCTTATCAACTACTAATTACTCGTCAACTTAGTGTTGTATAACTTAAGTATTTGTATTTAACAATGAAATTTAACATTCCTTTCAACGGATCTTTGAGATTAATCTATCATGATCGTTACAGTGGAAAACAGCAAGACCAATCCAACTGTGAAGTCTTTAAAATTTTAGGATCAATCACGCTTCGGAAAGTACCGATTGAATGGATTAGCGGTGACCCTGATCAGAATGACTCTTGTCATTCATCCATTTGTTCACCACCTTATCTCCAGTCAATTCAATCTGGCCTCAATGATGCTTCGTTCCCGGCAGAGGCGATGGAAAATTTTACATTGGTTCCAGAAAACATGAGTTTCAGTTCAATGATGTACCCTGATGACTGTGGCTTTATCAACCATTACGCTGACACTGCAGTTATTAATAAATCAAAGTATTCCGGAATCTTGTCCAGTTTCCAAGTAATCCAACTCAATGTTTACATTTTAATTGGTTTCTTGTTCGTCCTAAGAGTTTACATTCATTTAGTTCGTAAGAAAAAAATACCTTGGCCTTCTAAAGGTATAACAAAAACCTGATTGGTGGACAATTTGGCTCATAGTTTTGGTCATTTGTTAATTTGGCGTCTATTACGTCTACTAACTATTACGCTCTTCATTTACGACCAACTATTCAATCCAATCACGATTAGATAAGTGGATTAATTCAATTATTAAAACGGAACTTGAAAGACACACCAGAAGAACAAAAAGATAGAGTAAATCTTTAATCGTGATAAATGCAATCGGATGCAATGACATTGGATAGCTTTCAATCTGTTTGTAGCTTTTGCATTGAGCACAAGTTTTATAAAATTTTACTCTTTTCTCAATAACCGCTCCGAATGCGCGATCAAATGCGTCAAGACAAAAGCCCATCTCAACGCAAGAATAGGTTGCCCGTTGTAGAAACTTTTTCTTGCTTTTCTCGATGAACTTGTGATAAACCAGTAACCGTATAGTATTGAAATAACGCTGGTTACTAACATCAATATAAAAGTTATCATTGTTCTTGATGTTGATCATAAAGTTGCAAAATATTCTCTTCTGATTCTTAATTGCATTTACTGTTACAAAAAAGACGATTCTATCATCGAATAAATGTTCATGAATATAGCTAAACACTTTGTCAACCTCAACTGTATTAATACGACTTGACGAAGATGAATCATCCGTCAGTTTACGAGCACAGTATAAATTATGAACGGCAGTTACAGATTGAGTTGACTGGTTGAGATCATTCAAGTAAACCAAAGGTGCATCTCGAGATTGAATTTAATAGTTGGTCGTAAATGAAGAGCATAGTAATTCGAAGACGTAAAAGACACAAAAATAACAAATGACCAAAACTATGAGCCCAAATTGTCCACCAATCAGGTGTTTTGTTATGCCTTTGAAAGGCCAAGGTAAACTTTTCTCACGAACTAAATGAATGTAAACTCCGAGGGCGAACAAGAAACCAATTAAAATGTAATCGGATGATATGCCATTTTATGTCGTTGGTCAAGATTCCGGGATATTTTGATTTGACTGCAGTTTCAGTGTAAAGGTTGACGAAACCACAGTTGTCAGTGTACATCATTGAACTGAAGCTCATGTTTTCTGGAACAAATGAAAAATGTTCCATCGCCTCTGCTGGGAATGAAGCATCATTGAAGCCAGATTGAATTGACAGAAGAAAAGGTGTTGAACAAATGGATGAATGACAAGTGTCATTCTGATCGCGATCACCTCTAATCCATTCAATCTGTACTTTTCCAAGTGTGATCGATCCTAAGGTTTTCCAGGTATCAAAAACAGATTGATCTCGATCTATTCCGCTAGAACGGTTATGAAAGATTAATCTCAAGGAGCCGTTAAAGGGAATATTCAATTTCATTTGTTATGGACCTTAGTTGTTTGATGCCAAACTGTTGTAGACGAGCAATGAGTGATTGATGAGAGGCCAAAGCTCATTCAATGATAGACTTCAATTTCCATTGATTGGATAGTTTTATTGATGAAATTTGTTGCTGACAATCAAAAATAGAGTTTTAATTTTTATGAATGAAACGATTACCTCTTAATTTGCCAATAAAACAATTGCTTTTTAATTACATGTTGAATAATTAAAATTTCATCAATAATGATTTCGATTTTAACTAGTATCTGGACTACTAAATGGAAAGACAAAAGGCTGTTTTGCTTGAATTTTTAATAGATTTCATTTTTTATCGATTTTTTGTGATTTAGCAATATCATTTGATTACAATTATGAATATGAATTTTCATGAGATTAACAGTTTTTCGTCTCATTTGAAGATTTACCTTAATCACTCTGGTGAATATGATTTTAATCGTTGAAGATCAATCACGATCATGTTGGTGCTGGTCTTGATTATAACTGATATTCCAGTTTGGCCTGATTTTCTCTTTGAGTGTTTGTTGTTTTCTTTGAGAATCACAATTGAAAGTGAATCAAACGAGAGGCTCAACAATTTAATTACTCTGTTTATCAAGCTTCTTCTCTCACCTTAGTTACCATAAGGTCAAAATGATGCGCATCAAGCAAATGCCTTTCTGGACATCAAAAGAAAACAAATTGATTATCACATTACAATGTCCACCAACTGTTAACTCATTTAAATAAATGAAATCCATACAATATGTAAAGTCATAGCATCGAATTTTTTTGAAAAAAATTGTTGAATCAGAAAGGATTCTAATGGAAATTTTTACAAAGCCTGAAGTGTTGAAAATAGAGAAAAGGAAAATGTCAAATTTTATTTTCCTCTTTCTCTTTACTCTCGTTTTCTGTCAATCTGTAGCTGCGGATTATATTGTGCTCCTAAGATGACAAACTATTCATTTTCTTTCATTCGTAAACAGAGTCAGACTTTAATTGTAAAATTTGCGAACCTAACCTTTCCGTGAATGATCCGCTTTGAGAAAAATTCCTGTTGGTGCAAGCCTTAAAATTTGTGAAAAACAAAATACGAACAATTCACCTCTAGAAAACTCAAAGCATAAGATTCAGCCTCTTCGTTTTCAACACGATTCTTGTGAATTTCAATCATTTCATCTTATATTGTCAGGCAATGTTCTTGTTTCTGATTCTCATCTCACTAAATTAAACTTCTCTTGAATAAATGGTCTTACCCTACCATTCGAGTGGCAAGGTTGAAACTGCATAAAATTATAATTATTTTACTTTTAAAAAATTGATTAAAGTGAAATTCTAACGAAAAATTTAATGACTTGTATTGAATCATCTGAAATAATACGCGCATTCAACATGATATTCCTGATCATAAATCTTTGAGCATATGTAATAGACATGGACATCTTTTAATTTTGAAAAAAATTTATTGAACAAAATTTTGTTTTGATAGCTGCACGTCGAGTTTGATTGAAATTGTAAGCTTTTTTCCTCTGATGATGTTCCTTATTAATATCGTGAATACACATTATTTATTGAACGATATTCATTAGAAATTAAGAAAGTAGAAAGTTGACCAAAATCTTTAAGAAAACAATGTTTCATGAAATCAAACCCTTGACTAATTGTTTCAGTTTTAGTGGATAAATGAGGCCAATCTGAATGAATCTCACGATAATTTCCAACAAAATAAAACTTGATTGATCGTCCATGTAATCTATTATAATCTTGGACATAACTAGCAGCCTCCTGGGTGACTTGTCGACAACCACGAGCATCAAATAACACTAAATTGGGTAAAATGCGAACCAATTGCTTCACATGGTCATTTTTCAATCTCCAGTTGCTCCTCAGTGCAAGATGTTTAAGATTTGGATATTTCGTGAACAAGCTTTTCCATTCATTCCATTTGTAATTGTCATTGTATTCAGAGATATACTGTGTATATAAAAATTAGTATATTAATACAGATGAATTCAGATATAATTATGATAAACCTCTCTTATTAGGTTTGGTTTGGAATTAAAATGCGAGAATATTTCGCAAATAAACTCATTAATTTCAAACGATTGATACTTACAAATTCTATGACTAAATCTCGCAAAGATTCGTGTTTTAATGATTCATCAACAAAAATGTCGTCGAATAGCAAGTAAATATGTGCACTTTGAAGATTTCGAAATGAATCCATGAACTTGAAACCATAATAAATGTCTTCATCATCACGAGGAAGTAAATACAATTCAAGTATTTTAAGTCTTCTCAATCTGGGAACATGGTAGTAGCTTTCTTCGTCACCTAAGTATAAAAGATTAATGTTCATTAACAAAAAATTTGTTTGAAATTTGTTTAGAATCACCATCAGAATAAATGTGTAGTCTTTCAAGATTTCGAAAATAATGTTTACGCCTCGTGAATTTACTTAAATTATAATCCCACAGGTTCAATTGTTTGATATTGACACGTTTGTTTGCGATGTATTGATCAATATAATTGGTGGAGACCATTTCGAGTTCATCACAATATTGGAAAATCGATTCTTTTGGGGGGTAAAAATAAGAATGTTGATGGATTAATCCTTTGCAAGATTTCATATTTTTGACCAATGTAACGATTTCTTCGTGTTTTACTTTTTCAATGAATGTATCAGAAAAGTCGGCAATCTAAGGGAATAAAATTTATAAAAAAGTTGATGAATAGATGGACAACAATGAAAGTTGAATCATTCAGCTTACTATTAAATTTGGAAATAATGTGCTCAGACAAGTTCCATCGATTGGTTCTTTTGTTCCATAATAAACATAATCAAACGGATAATTCCGTGATCCACGGTTCCAAAAAAATCGATGTTCTGAAAATATAAATTGCATCAATGAGGGAATTAATGAATCAAACGAGAATAAGAAATTATAAAATTTGCTTCTTACCAACCAAATATTTAACTTTTCTAGTTCGCTCAGTTATTAATTGGCTCCATTTGTTGCATACTGTAATAAGAATTTTTATTATTAATAAATTACTAAATAAGTAAAATTCGTGTAAGTATACAGATATAATACTTCAGATAGATGTATCTACTATGTAATCATCACATTGTTATAGTCATATTCAGATATTATAGCAATGAGATTAATCGATATAGCTGAATTACTTTTAACTTGTTAGATCAGAGTATTTGATTCAGTGTATCTCGTATTTAGACAAGAAAAAGTCTCAAATTAAGAATAAAAAAGCAAAAGTGAATAATCTTGAATCGTTTGTGTTATACATTAGATCTTTTAAAGTTGGCTGCTGCTAGCACATAGCTGTACATAGAAGTATTGTTTTGAGAAATATCTTTAAAAAAAACTAGTATTCGATATCTTATAACAAAGAAACAAACGAGAATTCAACTGAATAATTGGCTAGTGAATATCAGTTGACTAAGCTGCTAAAAGATAATCCATAGGCAAATAACGTTGATCTACTTTCCAAAGTCGTAAGGCTATGCTTCTATTTTTTATTAGATAAAACAAAACGAACAAGATTTGCTTGAAACAGACTTACCTTTATAACAGTTTACTAAATCATCCAATCCACTTATTTGACCAAAAATGATGAGCAAACAATCGTCTGGAAGTTCATTGATAAACATCGTGGAATCTACGAATGGTTGGACCTACTAACCACTTTTCAACTATGTAAATTAGTGGTAAAACACATGAACAGCAATATGACTTGTTTAATGATATTTCAATTAAAGAACGAGTTTTGAATGTGAGATTTCAAAATAGAAAAAAAGCTAAAATTAGATCGGATCCCGGATCCGATATCTATCTATCCAACTTTGCTCAAATGAATCATTAGAGACTCTAATTTAGAGTAATTTAATTTAGATTAAAACAGTTTGCAAAATTTACCGTTTGAAAAATGATCGCTACAGAACCAAAACTTAGTCTGAAGCTTTTGAACTTATCAACCGAAAATGGTATGCTTTGAGAAAAGTCGCAAATGTTATCCAAACAAAACTTTATGATCGAATCATGTAAGTTTATAAATTTTTGATCGAAAAATGGGAGTAATTTACCGCTATAAGACGTCCAGCGATTTACTTTTAATGGAAATGAATGTATCTTTTTGGACTTGCTATTTCATATCGAGGATTTTCTGATGAGATATAGACTTTCTTGCTCTCATTCCTGGGATAAGGTTGAAGCTTTTAAAGCTCTGATTATTTTCCTTTTAAAGTTGAAAAGAGTATAATGTTGCTGGAAAATGGATAATTATATGACTTGTGTTGAACAATCTTTAATGATACTTACACTGATATCACAATTCCTAGAGCATAAATAATAGTGAACACATTTAGTATCATTCAATTTTAAACAGATCGTGATTGTATTTAAGTTCAGTAATGTGCTTGAAAATCAAGCCTATCGGTTATTTATCTCTTTATGAAAGTTGACAATGAAATAGTGTGAATTGTCCGTATTTTTATTCCCTTTTGAGTTATCTTCTTGATAAGCTATAGCTATTTAAGGACATTTCCACTATTTTAAGTCTGCTTAATATGGCACCATTTTCGTAGTAGCCATCTGGACAGTCTGAGGATAAAAGATGAATTCCAATCATTAAAAATTTTCAAAAAAGTATTTTTAAGTCACCTTCCTTATGACAAATGAACAGTCTTTCAAGATTTGGAAAATATTTGGCATCTTTCATGAATCTATCTAGAGTACAACCCCAAATTTGCAATTGTTTGATGCCGGCACCATTCTTTTTTAAGCACGGCTCAGTGTAACATTCGCAACTCGTGGCTACCATTTCGAGTTGATGACAATATTGGAAAATTGATTTATCCCCTTCATAGAATGAGCCAATTATTCCTTTGAAAGATTTTATCTTTTTGACCAATGCAACAATATCTTCATAACCTACTTTTTTACAGAGTTTCCAACCGAAATCGGCAACCTAAGGTAATGAGATATAACAAAATTAATATTCAGCCAACAATAGAAGTTAAATTATTCAACAAACCATTAGATGCTCAAACAAGTTCCATCAATTGGTTCCTCTGTTCGATAAGTAACATGATTCAACAGATAACTTGGAAATGGCTCCTTATCTGGCCAATCACCTCCGTCTTCCACAAATATAAATTGTTTAAGAGTAAATCTGATCACGATGAGAATAAGCAGTGGAAATAATTTTTTCTTACCAATCAAATATTTAGCTTTTCTAGTTTGCTCTTCAATTAAACGGCTCCATTTGCTGCATACTATAAAGAAATTTTTTTTAATTACTAAATTTTCTGTTGGTTTGCTGGATGATTATGTAATTGTATCCACTATCAACACAACATAATTAAACATTGATGAAAATATGCAAATATTATTCATCCCATTGTTATGATCCACATTCAGACGCTTTCACACTGATTGTATTCGATATAGCTGAATGGCTTATTTTGGACCAGATCAGCCTCAAACAATTAATAAAAAAGCAAAAGTGAATCATCCTGAAACGTTTGTGCTATACATAGTTAATATTTGTGCTGTTAGATAGAAATATTGTTTTCTGAAATATTTACAAAAACTAGTATTAGATAACTTCCACCAGAGAGCAAACGAGAATCTAACATAATAGTCGACTGATGAATATCAGCCAAATAAGCACTGAAAGATAATCCATCTTCGAAAGAACATTTCATCTTTCAAAGTCTTGTGCATATGCTTCTCTTTTATTATATAAAGACAAAAGAATAGGATTTGTTTAAAACAGACTTACTTTTGTAGCAGTTTACTAAATCATCCAATTCATTTATCAGACCAAAAATGATGAGCAAACATCTCTCTGGAATTTCATTGAGAAACATTGTACAACTAACGCTTAAATCACTTTTAAATACGAATGATCACATCTAGATATGAGATTGGTTCCAACAAACATAAACTTCAATTATCTATGCAAAATAACATATAATTGGGAAAAATTAAGGAGTTAATTAGTGAAAATCATCAACAGAAATAACACTTGTTTAAATTATATTTCAAGAGTTTTGCATTTGAGATTTCTAAATAGAAAAAAAGCTAAAAGGAAATCGGGTCCGGGATCCGATATTTTTCTATCAAACTTCGCTCACAAACTTGCCAAATTAATGATAAGAATAATATAGTTTAAATTAGTATCAATTTGTCAAAACTGACTTTAAAATGAGCTCTAAAAAGTCAGAGCATTTATTAAGAAACTTTTTAACTTATTGACCACAAATGGTCTGCTTTGAGGAAATTTTCGCAGGCTATTTAAACAAAACTTTCTCATTTCTAATTCGGTGAATGCCGAGATACCTATACAAATGATCAACTTTGTTACTTGGATTTGAGTGGTAATACTCGTTTAGAATATTGGAGTCAATATGTTTCAAAGTATGCCATCTCTGACCGAAGTTAATTTATCTGGTATTTATCTGAATTAATCAGCTTAGATCATGAAATCTACAAAAATATCTGGCCTCAATTGCGGTATTTCAATGGTAAATGTTTTTACGAAAGTAAAGGAGTATGGGTAAAAATTCTGACTTTCGGGTTAAGAGTTCGAACTTTATAAGTTTGAAGGCCCATAAAAACTGAATCCATTAGTGACATTAAAAATTTTCTCCGATCGACAGTTTTCGAGAAATTCGAGTCAAAGTGCAAACTTCGATCGCCT